GATAACTTGGGCACCAAGAAACGGTTGTAATCTCAGTTAACAAACTTTCAACGAAGAAATATGTTTTTGGAAGATTTCTATCATCGTCTGTAGGTCTAAACAGAAAAAAATCGTGTAAGTTAAAGCGAGTTGAAGGTAATATTTTCTCCTGGATTTTCTGCGAAAGACATATCAGCAGCTCAGTATCATTATACGCACTTTTGTCATGTACCTTAACGGTTTATTGTTGGCAATTTTTTTGAGAATGTATAGGGGTTCCGTTTACGTAGTAAGGGTTTAAGTTGCGTGAAGGGGAATGTAAATCAAATGAAAAGGAACGGCGTAAGGCAAAACTTAAGTTATGCATTTTTAAAAAAGTGCATATTGAAACGCATACAACTCTATTTTGAAGCATGCATAATTGCATATGATCAACACGAAGATTTTATTGTTGTATTAGCCAACGTTCATAATGTATTTTTAACAAATCATCAGGATTTACTACTAGGCAAAGGATAACAGTTTGGTAAAATGAAAGTTATGACCACATTTCCTGTTATGTGATATTCTGATTAGCTCCCTCTCTATAGCGGCTTGCAATTACTCTATGATATGCAAGCCCCTTTGGGGCCGACTGCTTTAATTTCCGAGTCATGGAAACTAAAATTTGCTGCCATAAAGTAGGCATGAAAATGAGCGTTTCATGACGATTCGGGGTAGAAGTAAGTAAAGGAACTTCTAAAAGCCGCGTCCCGAGATGTGGCTCCCGGTTTGTGAAAATTTTCAGCGCATCAAATGCGATCAATTTATGTGAAACCAAACATCACCAGAGAAATAGCTATTATCAAATAAGCTGTGTTCTCATTTATTTACCTTGTAACAGTTGCAACAATTTTCTTGCTTTTGAAAATGAGGAAAATCAAATTCAATAGGCGTGAAAATTTCATTTTATCACTGTTGTGGACATGTTCCATGACTTGTACTATGGTAATACCTTTCGCAACCTCCTCATTGTCTACCAGGTGGTTGCTCACATATTATGCTTCGCGTGCGACGTGATATTAAATGGATGTAACATGGTGAATATGAAGGCATCCGTACTTAAATCTTGATCTTGATATGTCTTGGAATTCCTATTTAAATTTAATTTACTTCATTTTCCGTTTTATCCCCTTTTCTATGATACGGTTTCTCTAGTCACATGTCCCCTTCTGAAGTAAAATAGCATTTTAAATTCACGTTAACATATAATTCAAAATTCACATGCAAGGTGTCTGCTCTAGAAATTTGTCTATCTCTATCGAGATTTAAGACCTGTAGACCAGTTGTAAGAAGTGCTGAGAGAAGTCCACCTTGCATTAATTCTTGGTCAAGATTTTATTTTTTATATGTCAAGGGAAGGTATGGTCATGGTGAATCGCAGTCTATCATCAGTTAATTCTTGGTGACTGAAAAGGTAAATCTTTAAATAACGAGCAACGATTTTAAAAGCACGGCGACCAAAGACATCTTTTGCTTTTGCAGAAAGAGATCTGAGATTTGTGTTTTCAGTTCCAATTGATAGTTTCATAGTCATATTTGAAGTACCGTTACTTAGCAACCTTTAAAACTGGACGTGCTTTAATTTATTTAAAAATATCTGTTTAATCAATAAATTAGTTTTTTATGTCTTTCCTATCCAAGAATAAGAAATGACTTGCTTACTTCTCCGCTCCATTAATAAAAGCATGGAGTTGTATCACTCACCTGAAATAAAAAAAAAGTTTTTAGAAAATTTAAAATTACACATACTTCCCTAAAGTTTGAATACTATAAGGAATTTATATATAGTACTTTAAAGACCAATTACACACTCGTTTTTTATAGTATTTTTTTTAAATTATACCTGCAATATCTTTTAAAAATAAGGGAAATAATTTACATTATACTCAAATATATTTCTAACTAAGTGGGCTGATTATTCGTAATTCCATGATTGGCATGACAATGTCACTTGATGTTTGCTTTTACAAAGCACTAAATAAAATGACTTCGGTTGGTACCTGTAAAATTCAAATGCAAAAACCTATTATAAAGAATATGAAAAGTTGTGGGGGTGGATTAATGATTGCAGTGGAACAGACTTGGCAGTATACCTAACCTACTCTAAACCACGCGCGTTTAGGAAACTTCTAACAAAGAATACGAGCCACAGACATCTCTTGCATTTGCACAAAGCGATCCGAGAGGATTTTCTATTTCAGTACCAAATTATAGCGGCGTGCTTTAATCGCCTTTTTCCGCAGGTCCAGACGTGTTTTAAATAGCTAGATTCTGATGCAAGTACTTGCAAGTATGATAAAAACAAATTTTCAAACGTCCGTAGATCGTGAAGTATTCATTCAAATGAAAAAAAAAATGCAGGGAGTTTATTTTTAAATTCAAGATGTACCTCAATTTTGAACAGTAAATAGAAATATGTACTTCTCTGCTCCACCCTGTACAAAAAAGTGTATTACACAAAATGTGAGGAATTTTCTTTTCTTTAACTTTCATTTGAACACTGTTTTCGTAGGTCAACCGATGCGTAGTTGTTTTGAAAGAAACGATTTTCTGTACTTTTCTTGCAACAATGCGGCACAAACGGTTGCTCCAAGCCCCCCTCCCCCCTCAAACGTCTGAAATAAACAAAAATGTTATATTCAAAGCCCAGACCTCAACAACATATTCAAAATTACCACTACAACACTTTTTATAAGGCAAAGGCCCTATTTCTCTCCTGTTGACTGGACTATATGTAGTCTATATACAGGGTGTCAGAACGAAAACGAAACAGACTCATAAGGAAATAGTTTAAACCTAAAAATTGACACCCTTACGCAAGGTGGCAACCCCTTCAATAAGTTTAAATTGACCTTTGGGTCGAGTGACATCATTGGAAAGGGATCTTCGGTTCCTACATGCCTATGGTTTAGTTTTCAAATTCGAGGGACTCTTTTCGGAGGTACACTTGGCTGTAGGGTACAGAACTACTACAAATGTATGTAACATCAGTACGTTAGTCTGGTTTACTGAAATAAAATCGTGTTTCTATTTTACTATCGGTACCTAAAAACCGAACTTGTTTTTTGCGTATTTTCCAAAGCCTATTTCCTTACGAGTTATTAAGCGGTAGAGCAAAGCGATGCAAGCCTTATAGGGGAATCGATGGTGTCCGTCTGTCCGTGAACACGATAACTGTCAAACGCTTGAACCTATTCTGTTCAAACTTTCCACAATTGACCTATATGCCACATATAATAAGCCTATTGAAAATGGGTGAAATCCAATGACCCGTACGGTCACACCGAGGTGCTCTGCCGCTTTTTAAAATCTGCTTTAGGGGTTCATTTAGTATGTTTCAGTTTTCGTTGTGCCACTCTGTATAAATCGCATCGCTGCGCTAAAAACTCCTATAGAATTGCATTACCCTATGTTCTTTGTACTGTAAAATAAAGGTGAGACGGACTATAGAGCCTATACTTAAGAAATACAATCGGACAGAAACATCAGTGGATGCGATTTTCGTGTTTCACCATGTTGATCTTAGTATCTTACAGTTCTGTCGTCACTGAGGAAAAGAAGTGGGTTTTTTCGTACTGCAATGGAGCATAATTCGATTTATTGACTGAAAAAATATGCGAATTATAGAGAACACAGTTCTTAAGTAGAAACTTATTATGACCTCAATATTGCTACTCGAGTCTTAGATTCACCCACAATCACGGGTGTTTTAGCGGTGATCCACCCCAGAGACCTTTCCGTAAGGTAAAGAGCGAGAATGCTCTTTTACAGCTATTGATTCTTGCACACAATTGAATTAAAATCAATTGAATTTACCCTTCTAGTTATTTCTTTTTAGATGAAGAACGCGATATTAAACTTCAGTCAATTCTTACGAAAAGTATAAAAATTAACCCAAACATATTTTCAATTTAAAGACATGCTTAACTTTTAGTAAGATTTTTGCTTAGTTTGTGAAACGAAAAGGCGGAAAATATATGCGCAATAGATTTATGTTGTAAAAATGTAAGTGTACGGTCTTAAAATCACTATACAGGGTGGTGACTTGACGAACGCACCATAGGAATTTCAATAGTAATTTTTTAATTTACAATTATTGGCTTCCCTAATTATTTTAAGGCGGCTCCACACGCAGGGGGGGGGGGGTATTTTACTTTCCCAGAATCGTTTAACTAAAGCTCCCAAAAAAACACCCTGTTTAGTGTTTCTGAAACACTATAATAGCGCCAAGATTTTTGTTTACGGCGCATTTTAGCGCATGATGAAAGGTACGATGTAGTAGAAAAAACATGTTAAAAAACGTAACTTTTGAAAATGTTAAGTTAGCCCCCCCCCCACTTTTTAAAATTTTTTTATGGCTTAACCGTAATGGCGCTAGCTTGAATTCAAGTAGCGCAATTGAGCGCATAACCAGATGTATCAAGTGGCACAAATACCGGTAGCAAAATGCGTTATGGGGGATTCCGTTCACTTGGCCCCCCCAAATATATTTAAGGATAACCAAAAAACAATAATGGCGCAAAGATATCTTTTTACGGCGCATTTCAGCGCATACCTGAGAGTACAATTTCGTATGAAAAGATGTTAAAAAAAAAAACTTTTAAAAACGTTAAGTTGGCCCCCCCCACTTTTTGAAAATTTGTCACGGCTTAACCGTAATGGCGCTAGCTTTAATTCAAGTGGCGCAATTGAGCGCATAACCAAATGTATCAGGTGACCTAGTTACAAGGAACAAAATACGTACTGGGGGGGGGGGCTACGTTCACTTGCCCCCCCCCCCTAAATGTTTTTTCGGATTTCTAAAAAACGATAATGGCGCAAGTGTTATTATCGGGGGCGCATAACGAGCGCATTCATTTCAAAATATCAAACTATCAAATCTTTCAGTGGGGGGGGGGGGGGAAGTTAACGGACCCAACCTGCAGGACACTTTGTATCAGAGGTACCGTGATTTTATTTATGTAAAAAGTTGTAAAATCTTAGTGGTTTATTCTTACCATTTCGGACTCCCTCGATTTATCCAGATCGAGGCTTAAGCGCTGAATTGTGTTTTGTAAGTACGAAACGCTCCCCTCGAGTGCTTGTCCCTGTTTTCTCATCTGAAGGATCGAGAGTTAGCCGCGTAAATGGCAAACGAGCGCTTACCTCCTCCATGGCGATTCGCGTTTGCAAAAGCTCCTGATCCTTGCCCTGAATTTGGGCGTGTAACGTTTTCGCCTCGCTCGTGGACGTTTGCAGCTTACCTTCCAGATTCTGGATTACCTGGACGTTGTAGATGTGATTCCTGTTGGCGGTCTCAATGTTCCTGTTTAGGGTCGCCGTGTTCGCACGAAGCTCGGTGAGCTAAGGGTGCGAGCGGTTAGTGGGCGCGATGACCTGTTTCCATACCTGTTTGATGTACTCAGATTGAGCGCGGGAGAGACTGTCTCGTTGCGCGACTACTCGCTTGTGATCCTGCAGGAGTTCCACCAAGGCTGCTCTTTCCACCTTTTGCATCTGTTCCGCTGCTCTTAACTGAGGCAACATAGAGGCGTGGGCTACGGGTTTTTGCTTACCTGAGCACTTGCCGCGCTCTCGATTTGCTTTTTGGTGTCGTGAAGCTGATCCAGTTTCTTGTGTTTGCTCACCAGTGAGTTGCTGAGTTTTTCATTTAGAGAGGATACCTCCGATAGCTCCAGGCATAAAGCCACCTTGTCCTTGGCGTACTCGATTTGCGCATTATTGAGCTCTTTCATGTTGCTTTCCAATTCCGAGATCTTGACATCTCGCTCGACCACCTCGCATTGCAGTTTCTCCCCCAATTGCTTATTATAGTCGGCGATTACCTGCAGATGAGCACCTTAGAGGAGGTGCCTTGGTTTCAGAAACCTACCGCCAGTCTGTTGGCCTCCATGTTCATTCCTACAACTTTGCCTTCCAGGGTTTGGACTCTGTTTATTTCATTCTTGAGCTGTAGATAGATTTGTTTCAAGACCGATTTTTCCTCTTTGAGTTTATTTCGTTCGAGCCTAAGTGCTGGAAGAACCTGCGGGTAAGTTAGACCTGCCCCGTCGGCACTCACTAATGGCCTGCTCGTGCTCCACGTCGAACTGCTGCCGCAGTGATCTGTAGTCCCTCTTGATAGCGTCTAGTTCTTGTTGCTGAGCGTGCACGAATTGCGAGGTGGTATTCTGCAGTTGGCCCAGAGAAACCTTATCGGCACTTACAGAGTGGAGCTTCTCCAAGAGGGCGTTCTTCTCAGATAGAATCTAGAGCTCAAACTCAGGCCCAATTCCCTCCAGCGGTTACCTACCTGATAGTACTGCGATTGGAAGGTGGCCAGCTTCTCCTGGACGTCAGCAACCTCTCCGGTACCATTAGCCGAAAGCACCTGCCTCAAACCCTGCATTTGCATCCGCAGCGTGTCATTCTCCGACTTGTACGTTGCGTTCTGCTCGTGAAGCAGGAGCAGCTCCTCGTCCTTTTCAACGGCCTGAAAGATATCGGTTACCTACTCGTCGAGGAAGTTGAAGACCACCTCCTTCTTCAGCTGGTCGAAATCTGACAGGAGGACGACCGGGGCAACTTCTTTCCCCAACGTTTTCTCAGCGTTCGAAAGCTTGGCCCTGCAGTTCTGCAGCTCCAACTCCGTCTGCGCCAACAGCTTCAGCTCATTACGCAGGCGATCCTCCTCAAACTTGTGCTGCTTCAGCTGCTCTTCATTTCGCGCAACCTCGTCCTTAAGGCACTGCCTAAATTCTCGAATCAGATGCGTCATAACGGAGGTTACTTACAGGTCCTTCTCGTTGTTGCGGGCCACCTGCAGCTCGCTCGACAGCTCGCTGATGCACGACCGAAACAGCGAGATGAGATCAGGCAAGCTGTGACTTTTCAACTGAAAGTTGTCACAATTATGAAAGACAGTGGCGAACTGACGGCCATCACATGCGTCGCGGTCAATGTTACCCTGGAGGCATGTCTGGAGGAGCTGGCAATTTTAAAGGCAATTCTCAGAGAAGTGGATCGCGAGCCTAGTGAGGGGTTGTACCGATACACTGCGCCGCAGTTGCGCTTTATCATAACACCAAAAGAACGGAAACGTCTCGAGGAGGAGGTGTACGAGTCGATACCCTACACAAACGTGCAGAAATTGCGGGCCGACATCGACTTCGTTTGCACAACCCTGATGGAGACCTGCGCGCAACTATCCGAAACGGGCAACTTCACCACGGTGCTCCAGGTGGTCGACGACTTCCAGCGGGAGGCTGCAGAAAATGAGGCCATCGTGGCGGAACATCGAGAGAACTCGGCCAGGCTTGTCGAACTTAGAAAACAGCTGAAAAGGGACCGCAACTCACTCTCAAGACAACTAGACGCGAACCGCAAGGCTCTCCTAGACCTGCGCGACCACTACGAGGACATCTTAGGTCATTGCGCGCACTCCCCCACTTAAATTACCTAACTCAAATTTCCAGGCGAGGGAAATCGGCAGCTCTCATACGCAAACCACTGGGAATCCTCCCGGGAGGACCAGAATCACCTCGGCCTGTTTTTGAAGGAGAAAGTCTACACCGACCAAATCAACGCCTACCTCGGCAGGCTCGACGCCGAGGAGCGGATCCATAGCGAGATCCACAACTTTATCGAGGAGAACGTGGAGGACCTGAAGAACGGCATTCAGTACTGGATGGAGCGCTACGACGGCGAAATCGAGAAGATCGAGGCCGAAATTTTGAAACTGAAAATGGGATGCGAGGGCCTCGAGGCCGATCTGGTTCAAATGCAGTGTGTCTACGACGTCGACAAGGTCAAGGTGGACAGGCTGCTCTGGGAAAAGGACGAGAAGAGGAGGCAGGCGGAACTTTTGGAGTTGCAAAAGCGAGCCGCTGTGTGTATCCAAAGGTGGTGGAGGAGAGTGATGAGGATCAGGCAGATTGGTCCCTACAAGGTCGTCGCGAAGAAGGGGAAGGATAAGAAAAAGGATAACAAAAAGAAGGGGAAATAGATGTATTTACATTAAACTTTATTATTATTGCACCTGGTATTTGATACCGTCCAAGACGAGTTTCACAGTCTCTTTTCCTTCCGAAATTTCTAGTTATATTGCGGTTCTAGGGTTAGTCACCACAGCACGACCCGTACTAGGAGTTTTGGGGTTCCATACATATGTACCGCTTCATGGCGACCATGAAGCGCGTTTAAAAATGTGTGACCTTTGCGATAATCCAAGCTAGTCGCGAGATTGGCGGCGGTTCCGTATCGGTTTTTCTGGCGGGCAACAACATAAAAGGCGAAGTTAAAGTAAAACGGGGACTGGTTGGTAGCAATCGTTTGATAGTGCAGCGTTTTATGAAACTTAATCGCAATTACGCAGTTACAATCTAGAGGTATTAGAATTTTCAAGCGGGCCGTTATACATTTTTTGTGTATAACGGAAGGACGACGAAGAAGGGCTTTGTTTATTTCGCATTGGGAAATACGTGACGCAATACTCGAGTCGGTGCATTATTTCGTGCTAGCGACTCGAGCGACGACAAATTAATTTCGTCTTAAATCGCGCAAACTAAAAATAGAAAAGTTATATTCTCAAGAAACACAGATGAACTTTTATCTCGGAAGTAATTAATCCATTATCAACAAAGACGCACTTTGACAGAAGGAAGGCTGGAGCCGCCCTTTAATCTGTGCGGAACTTAAGGCAAATTTAATAAGAAAAAGTGTTTTCCCGAGAAATTTTGGTGCAGTCGATTTTTGGAAAAAAGGAAGGTTATACACTGCCTTTTTTTTGCCCCGAAAAAAAATTGTCTCAGATCGTCCCGAAAAAAAATTTTCTTATAGAACGGGGCCTGTAGAACCCATAATTTCAAACAGTTCCAAGATTGGGCTACTAGTTCAAAAGTTACAGCCCTTTCAATTTTCTTTCGAAATTGGTTTCTAGTCTATAACTTTTGATTGAGAAGTCTGATCGAAAAAGTACGAATTGTTTGGGATTCTACGCACCAAAATTAATAAGAAAAAGTGTTTTCCCGAGAAATTTTGGTGCAGTCGATTTTTGGTAAAAAAGGAAGGTTATACACTGCCTTTTTTTGAGCCCCGAAAAAAAAATTGTCTCAGATCGACCCGGAAAAAAATTTTCTTATAGAATGTGGCCTGTAGAACCCATAATTTCAAACAGTTCCAAGATTGGGCTACTAGTTCAAAAGTTACAGCCCTTTGAATTTTTTTTCGAAATTGGTTTCTAGTCTATAACTTTTGATTGAGAAGTCTGATCGAAAAAGTACGAATTGATTTGGATTCTACGCACCAAAATTAATAAGAAAACGTGTTTTCCCGAGAAATTTTGGTGCAGTCGATTTTTGGGAAAAAAGGAAGGTTATACACTGCCTTTTTTTGAGCCCCGAAAAAAAAATTGTCTCAGATCGACCCGGAAAAAATTTTTCTTATAGAATGTGGCCTGTAGAATCCATAATTTCAAACAGTTCCAAGATTGGGCTACTAGTTCAAAAGTTACAGCCCTTTGAATTTTTTTTCGAATTTGGTTTCTAGTCTATAACTTCTGATTGAGAAGTCTGATCGAAAAAGTACGAATTGTTTTGGATTCTATGCACCAAAATTAATAAGAAAAAGTGTGTTCCCGAGAAATTTTGGTGCAGTCGATTTTTGGAAAAAAGGAAGGTTATACACTGCCTTTTTTTTGTCCCGAAAAAAAAATTGTCTCAGATCGTCCCGGAAAAAAATTTTTCTTATAGAATGTGGCTTGTAGAATCCATAATTTCAAACAGTTCCAAGATTGGGAAAGTGGTTTCTAGTCTATAATTTTTGATTGAGAAGTCTCTTGGCCCTGGGAAGAGAGGGGTTCGACTTCTTGTCGTGTATAGTAGATTAGAAATTCGGTTTGGTTGTGACGAAGGGGTTGTACCACTTACGCTAGACTTTGCCTTGTTTATCACGGTTGATGCCGATTGCCACTGTTGTTTAATACCGTCCAGATCGTCCAAGAGCAGCTTCCCAGCCTCGACGCTTTCCTTCAGCAACTCCCGATTTTTGTTTAACTCCTGGGTTAGCTGCACCTGCTCCAGTTTGTGTTCGACATCCCAACGATGTTCGAGATCTTTGTAGGCGTGCAATTGGGAGGTGGCATCGTGGAGTTTCTCTTCCAAGACGCGATTGTCGCCTTGCACTTTCTGCACGTAGTTCTCCAGGTGCTCAATTTTGCTTACGGCGCTGGAGACCTGGTCGCGAAGCACGTCGTTGTTCTTATTCATGGTTTCCAACAGTCCACTGCATGTATCTTCTCGAAAGCTCTCTTAGAAGAAATGCCGGTCAATTCCTAAGGCTTACCTGGAGACCTTTCGCGGGAAGAGAACTGCTGAAGCTTGATGCAGAGCTTCTCGTTCTTCCTCGCCAATTCCTCTACGTCGTCCTGCAGCATTCGATTGTTTCGAATGAACGAGTTGAGACGCTCCTGCGTTTCTGTCTCGCGGATTCGTGCGATTTCGTTGCTGCGCTGCAGCGAGTCGTTCGAAAAGCTGCGCGTATACCTCTCGGCCTCCAAGCTAAGCTTCGAGTGCTTCGTCAAGGCTTGCACTGCAAAAACATACCGGGGAATATCTGGGGGACTCTCGGAACGTAACTTACATAGCTCCTCCTTAAATAAGGAATCTTGGACGTATTTCGATAGCAAGTGCGCTATGTGCATCTCGCTCGCCCTTACTTGGGCTAAGAGTCTGTCAGCTTCTCGCATACTCGAGTCAAAACTGTTGAGCTCTGGAAGATTGCTAAGAAAGGTATGGTGGGCGCCTCATCTTCAAATACCTACCAAACAGGCATATGTAGCTCTGTGTGCGAGGGGTACTTCCAAAGAGCTCCGTTCTTCAAATCAATGGCGCTCGTCGTTCCCCTGCTACTACCGAAACTGGACTTCTTCAGAACCGGAATTTTACTTTTGGAGGGTACCTCCTTGATGGCGTCCGAGACCGTGCACTGCGTCGTGTCACTTTGGTCATCTTCGGAGAAGCACGAGTCGCCCTTCTCCACGAAGGGATTGGAGCTGTACTCGTCCACGCTCTTCTTCTTCTTTTTCGCTTTCCCGATCAAATTTTTAAGAATGCCGCCGCTACCTGACCTTCTGGAGTTGACACTGACGGCGCTCGAGGACGAGAGTGTCGCCGATTTATTATCCGAAAACTGCAAACTTCATTACGCGGGTAGTCCAAGTGAATTACTCACCCCCTTCTGTTCCCCGCTCATGGTAAACATGTACATGTAGAAATCCGAGGTGGGGCACACGTGGGTGCGCGTGTCGGGCGGTGCCAGATTGATGTACCTGGAGAACTCGACGCTTTGTCGAGCAAGCGCAGGGTGCGGTTTCTGGGTTCGCAACTTCCGGAGCATTGCGAACACGCCGGAAATGATCGAGAGAGCGGGGGTAGACTGGAAATTTGCGAGGCAACCGCACGAGTCCAAAAAAAATTCCTTGCACAGCTTGCAATATTGTATCTTCCACTCCTACGAGAATGTTAGTGGCGGACTTTCGAACTGTTGGTCTTACCTCGCTCATGGCCCGGGAGCTTTACGCGATATTCCAAAATTTCGTAACAAAAACGCTTCCAAACTGGCAGATAGTTGACGGAAACTTTAGGTGACTAGATCTATGGCATTATGGCTCAATGGTAGAGCGTTGAGTTATAAATCCGGAGGTCGGGTGTTCGAACCTGGGTTGAGGTGAATTTTTCATCTGTGGCAGAGATGGAAATTACCTTAGACCAGTTTCGAGCATTCTGCCGGCTACTCCGAATTAGGTTTTCCTAAAGCGTAAGGTAAATACGGAGTAGTATAGAACAACTTAAGACTTTCTGCAGAGGCACCTCTAAAAAGCATTATGCGGGTCACTCTGTAATTGGGCGCAAGCCTGTTGAGGGCCCAGAACAAGAGAGGGATAATCAATACTGTAGGGCAATGCGAGGGGGTCCAACGCACCCTCTCCGGTTCCAAATAACTGTTGTCAAGGAGCTGGTGTCAGTGAACAGAACCTCGTCATAGAACCTGCAAGTTACAGTAGTTGACCATCCACCCGCCATTTTCCTAATCTGGCTTCTATTCTTTTTCAGACTTAACATTTGTTAAGGAGCTTTGTTAAAAAGGCCCTGTACTGGTCGCCCAATCTTTAATCCTGCCCCTGACAATGGAGGGAGCAGTTCCTAGGGTCCGACTAAGACCCTACGGACCTGGTCAGGTCAATTTGACGTCCCATCAAGGTCCGCTTTCCCTTTAACGCACCCTCGATATCTTAGTATGCTCCCAAGGTTACCTCCCCAGCAGACATTCCCCTCCCAAGCGTGCACAGGACACTGTAAAGAGGCGTCTCCGTGAACATACCAGCCCTGTAAGCATTTCGGAAGTTTGGGTTAAGATAATGGCGGATGGTGGTTACCGCCGCGGGCGAATAATAAATAATACCCACCTCTAATGGAGGTAATCGAAACCAATATACTCGAAGCCATCGCCATTATAATCTTCGTCCGCGTAAATAAACGATAATTTTTATTCGGGTTTTCGATGGCCGTCGAAAAATCGCTCTCGCAATATGAAATTGGAGTGATCCTGAGTTAGACAGGAAAAAATTGGACAATTTATTTTAGAAAAGTGTAAACCGAGGCGTGGAAAATTGAAAAGGCTAGCAAAAGGCGCCGGAGGGGAGAGAAATCCCCCCCGTTTCACTTCTACGCTCGGTGTAAAATGAGAAATGGAACATTACACGAATTGGTCCTGAAGTCTAGTACGTTTTTAAAGTTGAGAGCGTGCGAGATGTCTTGTTTGGGGGCGGCGGCGGTGGAATCCGTAGGGACCACCGGTCCCCTTTGTCCGTCGTCGTTCGTTAACGATACTAGCAAATTGGTATCGTTATGCCGTTTCCGTCATCGCACACGTCACTATTTAATTGCTTTCTTGACAACTACAGGCCCGGCGTCAAGCACTGTAACGGGAGCCTGCCTGGAAAATTTAAATTTCCTTTCTTTTCTCAAATTGTTTCCTCATGTAGGGATAATTTCGTGACTTAGTCTTCTGTACATCTGTTCCCCACTCCACTCCGCCATAACGCTTCCTCCTGATTAGCTCCCAACTGTTATGTTCTTTTCTATGTTCCTTGAGTTTCACCTGGAACTTGTCACTGTGACACACAAAGAATTCAACTGACTCTTCAAAAGGGTTGTTTGAATCGTTCGGAAGATTCCGTTAGCCAGGTAAATCCTAGTCGGGAAATCAAAAGGGCATTGCTACATTCCCTTTTAAGAAAAACTGGAGTTCGTGCGATAGGGGAACAGTAGGTACCTACAATAAGACCACGTGAGAGGGTCCTTAACCTCCGGATTATACCTACCTGCAAATTGGAAAATGTTTTTGTACCACACAAAAGATTCTCCACACATTTACTTTCACCGGGGAGTCAAGTGTTTTCCCGAGAAATTTTGGTGTAGTCGATTTTTGGTAAAAAAAAGGAAGGTATAATAATAATAAATTAATAAAATAATAAGTATAATAAGGTAGAATAAATTGCCTTTTCTTGAGGCCCGAAAATAAAATAAAAATAAAAGTTACAGCCTTTTGAATTTTCCCGGTCGATCTCAGACAATTTTTTTTTCGGGGCCCAAAAAAAGGCAGTTATTACCTTCCTTTTTTACCAAAAATCGACTGCACCAAAATTTCTCGGGAAAACACTTTTTCTTGTTAATTTTGGTTTGTAGAATCCAAAACAGTTCGAACTGTTTGAAATTATGGATTCTACAGGGCACATTCTATAAGAAAATATTTTTTTCCGGTCGATCTGAGACATTTTTTTTTTCGGGCCAAAAAAAGAGGCAGTGTTATACCTTCCTTTTTTTTACCAAAAATCGACTGCAATTTTGACGGCGCCAATCGATAGCGCTGGTCGAGACCTTTCCAACGAGGGGTCGGAAGGCATATCTACGACGCACCGTTCTCGAGATATTACGGTTTGTCAGAATTTTTGGTCGAAATTTCAAACCGTAATATCTCGAGAACGGTGCGTCGTAGATGTGCCTTCCGACCCCTCGTTGGAAAGGTCTCGACCAGCGCTAACGGTTGGCGCGGTCAGAATTTCGCCAAAAATTCAAAGGGCTGTAACTTTTGATCTAGTAGCCCGATCTTGGAACTGTTTGAAATTATGGATTCTACAGGGCGCATTCTATAAGAAAATATTTTTTTCCGGTCGATCTGAGACAATTTTTTTTTCGGGCCAAAAAAAGAGGCAGTGTTATACCTTCCTTTTTTTTACCAAAAATCGACTGCAATTTTGACGCCAATCGATAGCGCTGGTCGAGACCTTTCCAACGAGGGGTCGGAAGGCATATCTACGACGCACCGTTCTCGAGATATTACGGTTTGTCAGAATGTTTGGTCGAAATTTCAAACCGTAATATCTCGAGAACGGTGCGTCGTAGATGTGCCTTCCGACCCCTCGTTGGAAAGGTCTCGACCAGCGCTATCGGTTGACGCGGTCAGAATTTCGCCAAAAATTCAAAGGGCTGTAACTTTTGATCTAGTAGCCCGATCTTGGAACTGTTTGAAATTATGGATTCTACAGGACATTTTTTGGCCCGTTAGGAATCCATTAATTTCAAACAATTCCTAGATTGGACTACTAGATCAAAAGTTATAGCCCTTAACTTTAATATATATATATATATATATATATATATATATATATATATATACTAAATATATATATATATATATATATAAATTAACCATTTCTGTCAGAATGTCGAAAAAAGCCCTCAAGCGGTGAAAACTAACAAAACTTCAAATAGTATAATAGTTGTAGCTGAACAACAGCTCTAACCTGAGTTTTTATAAATCGGCTCAGCCGTTTCGAAGATACAGGGTGTTCTTTACGGAAACCTTTGAATACCCTCCACCACTTCATTTTTAGAGATACAGGAAAAATTGTCAAACAAAAATTGTTCACATTATCGTCCACTTGAAAGATCGGACATTTTTTTGTTAGGTTACAGTTTGCAGTTACGCCTCCTAGCGGTGATTTCAGAAACTTAAAAATTTTTTACCGCAAGCCTCTACGATTCTCAGATACAGTACCTCGCATTCTTAGTTGGCCACCCTGTACTTTTCCAGGCAATCGGACATTTGTAAATAACATGGAGACGGACGGACAGACACCAATAAAATACTCTAAACGAGCTGGACGATTCTTAATAATTAAGCAGTTCCGGGTAAAATTGCGTAAGTCTATCTCATGATTTTTTTAAATCCAATTCTGTCAATGAAACTGAATTTGAATGCGGCGAAATATCTAAAGAGTCATTATCCAGAAATTTCCATACTACGAAAGGCAGTGTTGTACCAGAGTGGGTCTCAAAGGTTCAACCTCAACAACGATTCAGTTTTCAAGTTTTCGTGGGGGGAGCCTTTTCAAAGGAGGGTTGTACTCTTTGTAACCCAAACAAAAACCGCGATCTCGGGCGATCGGGTGTTTTCAAGTTCTCAGAAGGCCAATGAAAAGGGACGGCCAATCTATACAGTAGATATTGTTCTATTGAGAGCGCAAACCTTCAATTTCTGAATTTTCAAAGGCAAAAAATCGAAATAATTTCCAAACGGTACGAAACGGCCCCGAAAGAAAAATTGTCTCAGATCTCAGATCATGTTGGACCGGATGTAGTGGTCAAGGACCAGTACCCCATTCCTTATGTATGTAACCGCCAATTTCTCCCCCGTTTTTAAAAACGATAATAGGCTGATGGGCCTGTAATCCTTCGCCATGTCACATTAGGCTTAGGTAGGTACTTTTCTCCCACTTTCGGAGATCTACCCTAAAGCCAGGGAGGCTCTAAAGGGCAACAACAAATCCACCACCAATGTGTTTATAAATTGAATGCGGCAATACGCGGGTAGTTACCATTTTCTAGTTTGCGCAGAAAGAGGTTTGTTAACAGGGATAAAAGAATCGATAAGGGAATGGGGAGAGGAAGGGAAGAGGAGGAAGGTATACAAGAACGACAAGTGGAGGGGAAGAGAGAAGGAATGATAGAGTTGAAAAATGAAATAGAAAATATGGTACATGAAAGGGGTGAGAGCCCAAAATTGAGGGCCTTCGAATAAAGGAAAACACGTCGAGATGGGAAGAGGAACACACGATAGAATGTTCAACAAAGAGGGAAATAAGAGAGGATGAAGAATATTCAACGGAAATATGGAGGGAGATAGTGACGGCCAATACAAATACATGGGAGGAAGAAGGAGGTCGGTAGATTTGATTACACGATAATACGGGAAGAAAATAAAAGAACGTAATGTAGAAAGAACAATAGAATAAGTCTAAAAGGGACGATAAAGAGATCAAACATATAAAGATAAAAAGACGAAGGGAGAGACAGGAAAAAGGAAAGGTGGAACAGAGAGTGTACGAAAGAGAAACACAGATACAGAAAAATGACGGAAAGGAAGAAAGAGAGACATATAGAGAAGGAGTTGAGAGAACAGAAAACAAATACAAAAGGAAATGTAAGGAAAGAAGATGAAGAAACAGAAAGGATATTTTTGGGAGAAGAAAAAGAGAAAAAACATAATAGGTGGGAGAGAAATGCAAATAGGATAGAAACAGCACGGCAATATTATTGTAACCATATCAAAATCTACCAATTCGTTTAAACCAATCAACTCCATGGCACATTTGCAAAAAGCGTGGTCGACATATGACCACTCTGTCTTTATACAATCACTGTGCAGAGTTCGAGTGACCTCTAGTAATAGAACAATGAACTAAGAAGTGAAAAACTTACCAACAGAACTAATTACAACGAACTTGCACGAGACATATAGATAGAGGGTGTGATAGAGGAAGATAGAAGGGCGGAAGACAGAAATAGGGGACATAGTGGAAGAAGACCTCACGAAAAGGGACCAAGATATACCAGTGCAGCAACAGAGAGAGAGAGAGAGAAAATCGAGGAAACAAGGAGCTAATAACGGAGGGGATGCCGAAATATTAATTTATATTTTTCTCGTATAGTTTAATACTAATGGTTTAGATGTGAACAAACCAGGAAAGATGAAGGGTGAAGGAGAGAGAAAAAGAAGAAAGAAAATGTAACCTATGTAGAGAGAAAGAGGAAAGTGTTGACCATCTGATTTGAGAATTTTAAGAGGTAGAAAGGACAACGGAAAGCAGCAAAGAAATACTGGTCGAGGGGGGAAGAGGAAGAAGGACGAAGGGGCTAATAGAAGAAAGGGAAGAAGTGCGAACAAAAAAAATATGGTTTTGCCAAAAGGCGGTTATCCCCCCTCAACGTCGCTGTTGACGGGGCTCGAGCACCCTCAAGCTCTGTTAAATTGCCCCTGAGTAAGTAAGCCCTTGTGGATGTGGATAATTATCCGATATCTTTCTCGCGGGGAGATGCTGCCAATCGAAGGAAGAAGATATGCTTCTAGGTCTCGGTTGCAAAAGGAATCCGTGCAGATTAAGAAAAATTAGTGCATCCGCCAAGATAAAGCGAGTCGATGTGAGTAATTAAATATTTATTTCGGAAGATCCGTTTCTCTCTTACGAAATTAAACTGGGACACGCGCCAACATTTTTTCTACCAGTCGGCGTTCTTCAGTTCGGACGCTAACCGAAAGTTTTCTGCCAGACTGGGACGGACGCATGGAGGCCGTGATGAAAATATAATGAAACGGACGTCATATATGGTTGGTTAAGCACGCATGGTGGTTAAAACGACTAAAATAACCTACCAGTAGCGCTTTAACGTTAGGCCTTTCAGCGTGCGTGCTTGGCTTCCGACTTTTGCATTTTAAAACGCCGCGCGCGCGTGCTATGAAGATTCGCGTAGCGTCTTAAATTTGGGGTGGTGTGGCCATAGAATCGGTTGCGATAATGTGCAAGTGGACGCTGTGTCTCGCATTACTAATCGGATTATTTCTCGAAGGTAAGACTGACCCCCTACATACGTGACAGATGGACAAACGGAAACGCAACATATTTCCGTTGGCACGTGCTGAAGTGTAACGCGTTTATAACCGGAAGTGCGACTAACTGCCCCTTTTGCCCGTCAACATATTAAAAGGGCGGTATCAGATTTTAATACGCAGCCTTTCAAGGATCCAATCTTGAAACTTTAGCGGGCAAGATTTGGTGACTTGTAATTGAGTACGTAATTGGATAACGAGATCTATCTCTTGTCCGAGCTTATTTGAATATTAAGGCCATTAAAGTGAATTTAAAAATTAAAAACGCGCCTACTCAGCGCGTCTTTTGCATTTGTTGGGCTCTGATTTCACTTAAAAGTAAAGAAGCAGGTGTAATTTTAGCGTTACGCTTATAGTTTCATCCGATTTGCATGAGGAATTCCGTAAAAGCACGTGCCCTGTGCAATATTCCTAGCAAAAAATGTACACACTTACACATACCTACACAATTCTAATTGTGCGATATTTCAAAATTACTGTTTACGAATGAAAGAGGATTGGCCTGGGCGCAGGGGCTCGAGAAACAACGGGGTTTGTAAAGTTGGCAGAACATTGGTGGCACAAATTTTGAGACTAGCAAATTATTTCGATTTTTTGCCTTAGAATATTCAGGAACTGAAGGTTTGCGCTCTCAATAGAACAATATCTACCGTATCGATTGACCGCCCCTTTTCATTGACCTTCTGAGAACTTGAAAACACCCGATCGCCCGAGTTCGCGGTTTTTGTTTGGGTTACAAAGAGTGCGAACCCTCCTTTGAAAAGGCTCCCTCCACGAAAACTTGAAAACTGAATCGTTGTTGAGGTTGAACCTTTGAGACCCACTCTGGTACTACATTGCCTTTCGTAGTATGGACATTTCTGGATAATGACTCTTTAGATATTTCGACCGCATTCAAATTCAGTTTCATTGACAGAACTGGATTAAGAAAATCATAAGATAGACTTACGCTATTTTACCCGGAACTGTTTAATTATTAAGAATCGTTTAGAGTATTTTATTGCTGTCTGTCCGTCCGTCTCCATGTCATTTACAAATGTCCGATTGCCTTGAAAAGTACAGGATGGCCAACTAAGAATGCGAGGTACTGTATCTGAGAATCGTAGAGGCTTGCGGTAAAAAAATGTATTACTAAAACGGCCACGAGAAAAACCTGGAAAATATTTTTAAGTTTCTGATATCACCTAGGGGGCGTAACTGCAATCTTGAATCTAAAAAAGTGATGTTTCTGTGAATTTCGCTATATTAATCTAACAAAAAAATGTCCGATCTTTCAAGTGGACGATAATGTGAGCAATTTTTGTTTGACAATTTTTCCTGTATCTCTAAAAATGAAGTGGTGGAGGGTATTCAAAGGTTTCCGTAAAGAACACCCTGTATCTTCGAAACGGCTGAGCCGATTTATAAAAACTCGGGTTAGTTCAAAAGAGCTATTCTTTAGCTGCAAATATTATACTGTTTGAAGTTTTGTTAGTTTTACATATCACCGCTTGAGGGCTTTTTTCGACATTCTGACAGAAATGGTTAATTTTATATATATATATATATATATATATATATATACACAAAGTTCAAAGGACTGTAACTTTTGATCTAGCAGTCCAATCTTGGAACTGTTTGAAATTATGGATTCTACGGGCCAAACTCTATACGAAAATGTTTTTTCCCGGTCGATCTCAGACAATTTTTTTTTCGGGGCCCAAAAAAGGCAGTTATTACCTTCCTTTTTTACCAAAAATTGACTGCACCAACATTTCTCGGGAAAACACTTTTTCTTATTAATTTTGGTGCGTAGAATCCAAAACAATTCGTACTTTTTCGATCAGACTTCTCAATCAAAAGTTATAGACTAGAAACCAATTTCGAAAAAAAATTCAAAGGGCTGTAACTTTTGAACTAGTAGCCCAATCTTGGAACTGTTTGAAATTGTGGATTCTACAGCTCTCATTCTATAAGAAAATTTTTTTTTCCGAATCGATCTGAGACAATTTTTTTTTCGGGGCCCAAAAAAAGGCAGTTATTACCTTCCTTTTTTTCCAAAAATCGACTGCACCAAAATTTCTCGGGAAAACACTTTTTCTTATTAATTTTGGTGCCTAGAATCCAAAACAATTCGTACTTTTTCGATCAGACCTCTCAATCAATTATTATATAGACTAGAAACCAATTTCGAAAAAAAATTCAAAGGGCTGTAACTTTTGAACTAGTAGCCCAATCTTGGAACTGTTTGAAATTATGGATTCTACAGGCCACATTCTATAAGAAAATTTTTTTCCGGGTCGATCTGAGACAATTTTTTTTTCGGGGCTCAAAAAAAGGCAGTGTATAACCTTCCTTTTTTACCAAAAATCGACTACACCAAAATTTCTCGGGAAAACACTTTTCTTATTAATTTTGGTGCGTAGAATCCAAAACAATTCGTACTTTTTCGATCAGACTTCTCAATCAAAAGTTATAGACTAGAAACCATTTTCGAAAGAAAATTCAAAGGGCTGTAACTTTTGAACTAGTAGCCCAATCTTGGAACTGTTTGAAATTATGGATTCTACAGCCCACATTCTATAAGAAAATATTTTTTTCCGGTCGATCTGAGACAATTTTTTTCTTGGGCCAAAAAAAAAGGCATAGTATAACCTTCCTTTTTTACCTAAAATCGACTACACCAAAATTTCTCGGGAAAACACTTTTTCTTATTAATTTTGGTGCGTAGAATCCAAAACAATTCGTACTTTTTCGATCAGACTTCTCAATCAAAAGTTATAGACTAGAAACCAATTTCGAAAAAAAATTCACAGGGCTGTAACTTTTGAACTAGTAGCCCAATCTTGGAACTGTTTGAAATTGTGGATTCTACAGCTCTCATTCTATAAGAAAAATTTTTTTCCGAATCGATCTGAGACAATTTTTTTTTCGGGGCCCAAAAAAATGCAGTTATTACCTTCCTTTTTTACCAAAAATCGACTGCACCAACATTTCTCGGGAAAACACTTTTTCTTATTAATTTTGGTGCGTAGAATCCAAAACAATTCGTACTTTTTCGATCAGACTTCTCAATCAAAAGTTATAGACTAAAACCAATTTCGAAAGAAAATTCAAAGGGCTGTAACTTTTGAACTAGTAGCCCAATCTTGGAACTGTTTGAAATTATAGATTCTACAGGCCACATTCTATAAGAAAAATTTTTTCCCGGGTCGATCTGAGACAATTTTTTTTTGGGGCCTCAGAAAAGTCAGTGTATAACCTTCCTTTTTTACCAAAAATCGACTGCACCAAAATTTCTCGGGAAAACACTTTTTCTTATTAATTCTGGTGCGTAGAATCCAAAACTATTCGTACTTTTTCGATTAGACTTCTCAATCAAAAGGTATGGACTAAATACAAATTTCGAAGATATATATATATATATATATAGATATATATATATATATATATATATAGAGTATCTCGTGATGTCCAGCATTTCGAGCATTTACGGTGGCATTAAAAGGTTCCTTTTTTAAATCGATCCACCTTAGGGCCACAAATTATATAATAAAAATAATTCCGGAATTATTAGCTTAAAACAATATAATTTTGAGGGTATAAAATTTTCTTTGGCCTAAATTTTAGGTTAGGAACAAGATATCGAGACGCGGTTTTCGCGAGCTTGTTTAGGCATAATTTAACCACTTTTTCATGAAAAAAAACGCAAACCAACGCATTTAATTTTTTTGAGAAAATTAACCATTTCTGTCGGAATATCGAAAACAAATCGGCTCAGTCGTTTAGATGATACAGGGTGTTCTTTACGGAAACCTTTGAATACCCCCCCCCCCACCACTTCATTTTTAGAGGTACAGAAAAAGACTACCATAGAAACGTTAGGGATGATAGATCCAGAAAGGTTGGACTCTTATATTCTGGGTGGTATTGCCACCTCCCCCCTCCCACCCCCACGCCTAGTGTCTACGAAGATTCGATTACCTTTTTCCGAGGGGGTGGAATCCCCCCCCCCCCCCCCGCCAGAAGACCCATTTTACTAAGCGTACGTGCAAAGAGGCATACATTTGCATTTATTAGTGTAATTCTAGTACTTAGTATGACTTGCAATAGACACTAGCGTTTACATCCGAGAATCTTATCTTTAAAATTATAAACAGAAGAAAAGATAGCATTAAGTCTAATTGTGGGTGAGATGTTTATTTTTATAATTATCAAACGAACTAAATACCTGCATGATAGCGGACGTATTTCCTCCAGCTAATTTATAAACATTTATAATTTTAAACATTATTACACCATCTAAGAATATCACAAGGCAAAACTGTGTCACTGTACAAAAATGCGAGGTTTCCCAGTTTTTATTTTTAAACTAATTAACTCTGAAGTTTCTGAAGTATTACAGCTTCTGCTACTCTTTGTAATTTTTCTACCTCGCATGGTTTATGTGTTCTTGAATTTCTGCAATCAATGTAGTTTTTGAAACCTCCCCCGTAATTTCTGTAGCCCCTATAATGTTTGCGGTACGCGCAGCCTGTGTATTGTGTAACCCTTGTAATCTTTCTAGCCCCCTTTAGTACTTGATTTTCATTATGTTGCATCTGCACCTTGTTGTAGTTTTTTTGCGGCCTGTCTAGTGAGCTTGCAAAACTTGTTTGCACAAAATACCCCGCACGCAGACGTTGGACAAAAAAAAATCTTAAAATTACTTACACTGTTTTTCTCTTTTCCTAATAATCTGGTCGTTCAAAGGTTTGCGGTAAACAACACGAAATCCGCGAATAAAAATAGCGTAAAGAAACGTACGCTCTCTAACCGTCGCGAATCAGCTTGCTTTCGGCCTCCTGATTGCAGTATTTAATGAAACACCGCTTCACTAATAAAATAAATCTCCTTCTTCCGGTTTTTACAGATAAAGCGCCAATGTACTCTGTGATTGTTACAGTCTTTGTAATTTTTGTGGTTTTGTTACTCTTTCTCATCCTCTGTACGCAGTTTGTGTTCTCTATGTAATTAATGTAATTTTTCTATTCTGTATAGTATCTGCAGTACACTCTTGGTGCGTCTTGGTTTTCACCACGTTTTCCCCCAATTCCTTGCGCCTCGGGTCCCCTCGTACTTTCAGGGGGGAGTGCAGCGTCCGTCTTCGCACTTTCGGTAGAATTCGTGGCCACTATTGTCTGTTTTTTGGGTAGGGCTGAAGAACGCCCAACGTTAGAAATAAACCGAAAATAGAAACCAAAATCAGAAATTGGCGATTGGAATCAAAATGAAGACAAAAAATCGATTCATTAGCACCACATCTCTTTGTTTGTATACGTAAAGGTGCATTAAAGTGCATGAAGCAGCTCATAATATATACACCGGAAGGGAAGGTTGCGCTTGAAAGATATGCTGGTAGTGGATATAATAATCGCGCATAATTTATAAAATTACCGAGTAATTTACCATCGGACTGCAGAACGTTACATTGCCCTATTCCATTTAACCGTCGCTTATTTTCACTTTTATTTAGAAATTATGTGTCAAAGCTCGAAATCGGGCGGTGACGCCCGCGAATTCGCATAAGCATTTCGACATTGAGGTTGAGCACTATTTTGGCCCGGCGCCAGTAACGTATTAAAATAAACTTACCCATTTCCGGATTTATGGCGGTGGTTTCATGAGGTAAAAGTAGTGATTATTCGAAAGTTAAGCTTTTACTCTCGGCGAAAGAACACTCTGGGGGTGGTCGGGCGAAAATCGTCCACCTGCAAATGTAAATTTTCTACGCCATCAAATCATTCAATTTTTGCAACGACTTCGCCCATAAATCAAATTCGTAAAACCGCCCTCTCGGTAATAACACGTCTTCGTCCGCCCTACCGTATTCCAAGCCACTAAAGTTTCCCAATTCCTAAATTCCCGAGTTTCAATGTTCGCAGTTTCCTAAGTTCTTAAATTCCAAAGTTCCTCACTTACTTAAGAGTTAGTAAATCATCAAGTTCCTAAACGTCCGTGTCTTTTGATAAGGGTAGAAAACGGCCCCCTTCGTTGAGACCTTTAATTAGAATACCATGAAAGATAAAATGAATCCCCCCCCCTCTCACCCCCCGGTCTCGAAATAGAGTGGCGTGGGAAAGTTGTAGTTTGTAGAAACCAATTTATTTCGATGAGACCTTTCATTAGAATACCATGAAAGGTAGAACGTGTGTTAACCCCCCCCCCTCCCTTTCAATTTTCAAAAGTTCCTTGGCACCACTAAAGACACGCGCATGCTAAATCTGAGACCGATTTGTTGTCGGATGTAAAAGTTTTACTTTCAAAAACAGCACCTTAGGAAATAATCCTTGCCCCCCCCCTCCCCCACTTAAGACAGCAAAATATTCCCCTAGCAGAAATGGGACCGAACGGACCGACAAAATCAGACCATAGCACATTTCTTTTAATTCTTAAAAAATGCTGTAAACATGGCATGATAGGACCAATTTTGGAGAAGGTTTGGAAGGTGCTGGAGTCAAAAGTTTGCTAAACACTTTTCGCCATTTTCAAAGCATCCATAGATTTCCGATATGGATACCCACCAGCGCCCAGAAGATCTTACGACACGTGCGAGGAAATGAATATTGAATCTGTCTTTTTTCTGGGGGGTTTTCCATACCGCCCCAGACTCCCCCGGTTTTACATTCTTCTCGTCAGCAATAATGGAGCACCCTGTGCAAATTTGGTGGTTTTTTACGAACAAACAAAGTCGGTTTATTTTACTTGAATTTGTTTTACATTTTATAAATTTTGTTATATGCGTTCATAGAAGGTTACATCTGGTCGCTGCGATAAGAAATTTTATTCTTAGGCGAAATTTAATTAACGCACGTGTTTTGAAGGATTGCGCGAAGTGAATGGCGTTTATCTAATTTGATCGTTATTGGCGTTTTATTTGAATATTCATGAGGAAGGAGATTATTTTATGGGAGAAGCGGTTGTTTCCTTAAATACGGGAGATAACGAGAGAAAGCAAACAGTTGTAGTGCAAAGTGAAGTTCAAAATCTATCAGCGTTTTTGTGTCACTTTAAGTGTGCCTGAATATCCAGATTAATGACTAAAAGTAATTAAGAATCTTTATTTGTCTGTCGAACGCCTGCGTGCGTGGTATGTGTAAAAACAAGCTTTGAATACTTTTCAGGGATTTGTTTTAATTCTTTCATGTGTTTCCGAATAAATCGTTGTAATTGTCACTCAATTAATTGTGTATTTATTCGAATCCAAAGTGCAATCCACGTAGAGTTCCTATTTGTGTCGAAAATTTATTTCAAGTGTTGATCAAAATTTTTTGGAATTTTTCGATTTGAGAGATTTTAAGTCAGTATTAGGATTTTTCTTGTAGCAGATTATAAAATTCTAAGGTTCAATTCTGATTTGTTTTGAGCTAGCTGGACAGGTGTTTCGCGAATGGTGTAGTAGGTTTCGTAGAGATTTCCAAAATTCCAGGAGCTCCATGACCATATCGTCACCTTTTTGTAGCAAACTGTAACGTAAATTTAATTACGTAATTTATTTATTCACAATTAATTATGAATAAATTTATAACATTTAAAATATTTTTCTCTCAGATAATACATACACAATCTATAACAGCACGAACTATTTATTACTTTGGCGTTGAAATTGGAACTGTCCTGAGACGCGATTCGATTTTTTTATATTGCCAACTCCAATGCTCTCGATTGCTCGCGAATGTTCTCCAACGAAAAGAGACAGCGATGTTAAACCCTCGCTCCGCTACGAGTTCAAGGATCAGTGCTAGTGAATATGAGCCGGATCAAAAGTCTGGTTTCCGAATATGTTGGGAGTGACTGAAAATTGTATGCGATTCTTCGTATCCTGTTTATTTATCCCCCCCCCTCCCGCACCGTTCTGAGCTCACGAATCACGAAAGCTTCTTCTGAATTTTTTATTTTGGAAATATAGTAGACGCTCGCTAATCCGGCGCTCGATAGTCCGGCACATCCAGTAGTCCGGCGCATTTAGCGACTCCTGCCGGATTACCGAGCGCTTACTGTGTTGAATATAACAATTAGCGATTTTTAAAAAAAACCATTTATCTGTCCGAGTGCTGAGATCTCAGCACCTGAGACCCCGAAAGATTTATACAGATTTTGAGTTGTAGAAAAATGAAAAATTTTTATTGTCCAACAAAACGTTTCGTAAATTCTATTTTAAGTTTGGCAATCGTCCACGAATTTTAAATGGCCGTGTTCCAAATCAAGACCTGCGCCTACGGCCTATTTATAAACCTCCGCCATTATTACGCAACGCCAATTTATTAACATCTCGTTTCGTTTTCAGCACTCGGAACCGTAATAATAAGCGAACTAACGGGAGGCGACACCGCGCAAATCGGCTCGAACAACACGCTGATCTGCAGCTTCGTGCTGAAGGACGAGACCGGAGTGGAGGTGAAATGGTTTTACAACGACAACAAGCAGATCGTCTCGTGGATACCGACGAGGACGAGGCCGCAGGCGATCGGCGCCTTCAAGTCGATATTGGACTTCGCCGACGTCGCCGAGAACGAGACGACGCGGAGCGTCGTCCGGTTTAGGGATCTCAACTTTAACTTAACGGGACGATACACGTGTAAGGTCAGCGGAGATGTGGATGAGAAGTCCGAAACGCTCAACATGATTGTGTACCGTAAGTGAAGGCGCGTGCCGTTTCGTTACCCTCCGTTAATCTCCCACAAAGGCGCATTAAAGCCGTTTTAATTATGCCGTCTCTTGCTTCCAGAGCCGGCGAGTTCCGTCGAATTCGTCGAAGACGACGGTAACGTAACGTGCTCGGCGTACGACGTTTACCCGGAGCCAACGATCTCGATAACGATCTCGTATACTACCGGAAGGTAAGTCGGTTTTTAGCAACCCCCGTTTCTACCTCCACCTTTTCATAACATTTTCGAGAAAGTTAACGTGTAGAAAATGCGCTCACCTCCAGGGCTCTTTTCCAGTAAGGCTGTGGAGAAGGGCTCTTCCTAAGCTACTTTTAGATCCTTCCTAGTCTTGCCTAGTTCCAGATAAGATCTTAACAAGGCCATGGAAGGTGTTCCAGAAGTGACATTTGAGAATGTTCCTGAATGTTCCAGTGTATTCCAGCGCTTTCCAGGTCACCGCCTAGAAGGTCATTCTATTGCTTTGCAAATTGTCTGGAAAGCACTTTAGGGACTTTCAAGTGCACTTGAAAGTCTCTCAGTTCTCTTTAAAATTGTATAAGCACATTCCAGAAGTTGTAGACACTTTCTCAGGAAGCTTTCCAAAGCTAGACCATCGTAGAAAGTCATAGAAATATCCAGGAAAGGCTCCTAGAAATTGTGAAGGGGCGATAACGTGCTCTGGTGGGGTGCCTAAAGTTTTTGAGGGCACTTAAGAAACTATGGAAAGCTTTTTATATTCCAACAGCAAATGTTTCCTCATCCCCTTCCCTTTTCTTCGCCCCTCTTGAAGCAACTTTCCACTTCTTTGTATTCCCACAGCATGCGCTCTACGTCCTCTCCACAGATTCTAGATTTTCTTTCTCCTTCTCTCCACTTCTCCTTCTCTTTATCCTCGTTTTCGCATCTAAACCTCGCTATTATCTTGATATTGTTCTTCCTCCTCCTAGGCAACTACTCCCATATCATCTCCTTATTCTTTTTTCTCGTGAGGTCAATTTTGACCCTCTTTTGCTGTGTTTGTGTATCAATGCCCCTTTATCGTTGATTAATCTTCCATTATTTCGCTCCTCCTTTCACCCATATTCATTCTCCATCTTTTTCTCTTTACACTTTCTTTTCTATTTTTTCTGTTCTCTCAACGATTTATTTCTCCTCTTCTTTCTTTTTCCGTCATTATTTTAAATTTGTTTTTTTTTCTTCTGTACGTTCTGTCCCACCACTTCCTTCTGTTTTTCCCCCTCCCCTTTAATTATTTGTTTCCACGTTATTGATGTTTAAATATTCACCTTCAATTTTTTTCCTCCCCCTATTTCTTCTTCTGGCCGTCTAGTCTCCTTCTATACGACTCCATAGTGTCTCTTGTCCACAACGGTCGTTGCATCCGTCCCTTTCTTGAACTTCTTGTCTTCCCTTTTACTCTCATGAGTCGATTCTTCCATTGTTTCATTTACTATTGCGTAATCGTTTACAGACCCCCCTCTTCCTCCCATGTACGTGACTTGCCCCTTCCTATCTTCTATAATTCTATAACACTTCGCCCTCGTTGTTGCCCTCTTTATTTCCTGATTTTCTATCTTCCCATCTCTACCCATTTTCCTTTACTCCCTGTTCTGTGATTAAAATCTCCACTCAATAGTAGCTCCTCCTTCTCCCTTTCATCGTCCATTTTTTCTATTTCATTTTTTAAGTCTTTCATTCCTCCTAGTGCTGTGTGCAGTGGCGTGCGGTCACTACGCCACCCACCAAACACATTCCGAAAATTGCAAAGAATTAATTATATGAATTTTCATTAACTCCTGACATAATAAAGAAACGCCTACAAAGCTTGTTTGGACATATTACCCCGCACGCAGACGGTCGACAATTAAAATAACAAAACAAAACTTTTTAAGACCTCGTAGAAAGGCTTCACAATGCAACGACCGCTTGCTTTACTCAACTTTTACTAACTACATGTTCCGTTAACAGACAAAACGCTTTAAAAGACTTCTTTCGAACTTTTGGTACTTCACTTGACGATGTAATAACTTAAACCTTCTATTAAAATTGCACACTTTATTACAATTCTGACCAAATACGATTAACATACACAGGCTGACTGCTCAAAAACATTTACGGTAAAGAAAACATTCACCGTCGCGAAAGAAACGGGTTTGTCGTTATCTCTAATATTTAAGGAAACGCCACTTTCACCATAAAATAAACTCCTACTTTATGCATTTTTAAATTAATCACCAATCTCAACGGAATGTGCCAAAACGTCCCCCACATCCCCAAATGAAACGCCCAATTTTTGTAATCTACTTATCAGAATCAAAACGCGTGCGTCGATTGAATGTCGCCAGATAATAAAACTGCTTATTGCAAACGACCAGATGTAACCTTACTAACACCTTATCTAAATTGAAATTACGCAGATAACAAAGTTCTAAGGGGGAAAAACAAACACTGAGACACAAATTCAAGTAAAATAAACTAACTTTGTGTTTATTCGTAAATAATCCCCCATATTATTACTTCATAAATTGAAGTAATTCTCATATAGTCTGTCCCGTTATTATTTTTGGGGTTTAGGCCGAAATAACGTCTACATCCTGTTGTTTACACAACAATAGCTATCACTCTCGTTTTCTTCCTCTCCACTCCCACTATTCTTTCCTACATGCCGTCCTCCCCTTTCATTTCCTCTCCCGCTCCCTTTCCCTGTTAATATACCTCCTTTTGCTCTTCCCTTATTTCTATTATCCTTCTTCGCAAACTGGTTCTATCCATGATTCTACCAGCACCGCGACATCAATACCCTTTTGCGAACTCCTAGAGAGCCTCTTTGCTTGACCATCATTTCTCCATTTTTATTTCGTTTTCGTCCCTTCTCCTTTTGTTAGTTTCTGCCTCCCCATCCCCTAGACGCGTACTCAGTGCTCTAAAATGCTTTAATGACAGCGCGCGTTGAAAAATGGTTTTATACATGTTTTTGAGAGCACTCAGAAAAAGGCGTTTTAGTTTCTTCCGAAGTTTTTCATAGCATTTAAAGGTCGATCAGCAAATTCAATGGAAAGTGTTCAGAACTTTCTATGAGCTTTCCAGAGCATTCTGTCGCTTTTCAAGTTTCCCAGAAATATCCGGAAAATATCTAAAACACCCCGTAAAGGTATTTAAAAGCTTGAGCAAGCTCTTTGGCAGCTTTTCTCGCTTTCCAGAGCACTCTATGCTCACGTAACCCTGGAAATAAATAAAAAATAAACATAAACTTCTTGTCAAAGATCTAGAAAGCTGTGGAAATGCTCCAATAGAATTGGAAAGACACAAGTATGCTATGAAGATGAATTAGAAATCACTCAGTAGCGTTCTTTTCAGCCTTCTGGATTCTTTTTCTGATCATCGTTTACATCTTTCTTAGCCCCGCTTAGTTATAGAAGGGTCGAGAGGTTCTTGGAAAATATTTTGAACGCATTCTAAAATTCAAAAAAGTGCTTTTCAGGGTCTGAAACACTTAGAGACTTTAGTTAGCCATGAAAACAAAAAAACCTGTAATATTCTTAGGGGTCTGCGTTGGGACGTGAGGCACCATCGTGAAGGGCTTTCATGGAATAGTTTTGCAGATGCCTCAAAACGGAACTGACGCAATTTTAAGGACCAACACGTTCTTGCTTATCGCTTGTTAATCGCCAGACTTACTTTCGTTCACTTTCCGTATAAAGCGGTACAAATGTAAATTTCCCTATATCGAAATGAGATGCGAAATCTTAAGAGTCTGTGAGGGTTTCCAGCACCTTCCGATGCGTTTCAAGGTGTGCGCACTTTTTTTTAGTGTGTGAGGGCTCTGATAACGTCACGCGCTTTAGGAACTTGAAACACTTCTTATGGGAATTCCTCCATGATCCACACGATTTTCAGGGAGTGCATGGATTCGTCTGATGAACGTCGCGTATTCGAAATTGACATCCTTCGTGAAGAATAGCGGTGCGCCCCTATTTTCCGTTTGGCGATTGCTCCATCCTGCCGATATTTCCTGAAATAGCTTGTAATTCGGACGGAAAAACGAGGGATGATAGTATAATCAATCGCCCTGTTTACCTGTTCTCGTTAAGGGCAGCGCCACGACTAGGACATCGTGCGGTAGATTCCAGCGAGACGGTTACCCACTTTTAGTTCTATCATCCCCAAGCGGCGTTTATTTCCTTGAAGAGAAATAAAACCGCGAAATTCCCCGTTCCTGTATCGCTATCGCTCCCTTGACTTTAGGAAAAGATCGATAGCGGAACTTCCTTTTCCCTTCCGATAGGGCTATCTGCATATCTGGATTCATCACAAGGAAGGAAGGAAGGAACTTTCTATAGCTCGTAAGTGCTTCCCAAAGTTTTTGAGGGTTTCGCTTTATGCATATGCATTTGAAAAGGATAATGACGTAAAGCAAACAATCGGAAGTAGTTGGCAAGGGGGATAGTCGTTGGAAAGGTTTTGCTTAAGGACTAGTTTTTGTATCTCATTCCTTTTTCAGAGATGATCCAGTACCAACCCTGGAAATCCTGGGCACCGAAGAAAAAACAGACGACAACTTTTACAACGTCACCAAGACGTTGGTCTTGGACAAGTCGCTGCTAAATCAAACGGTCCATTTCACGTGCAACGTGTTCATACCAGGAACGGTGTTCAATGAAACGCTCACAGTGACGATCGAAGTCGAAAGTAAGTATTGCTCGTTCTCGTTGCTCGTGCAGTAACCCGAAGATAGGCGCGTTCGGTTGCGATCGAAAGCTGCAACTAACTCGGCATGTTTGGTGGTTGACTTTTTATTTATTTTGCTGTAGGATACGAATCGACTACCGATTATCCTGACACAACTACTGACCCAACAACTTTTGCCCCCGTCACAACTTCTACCACGATTAAAACATCTACGCTTAAACCTACTACCGGACAAGGTATCTCTTCAACATATTTAGCTCGGCTTTATTTGCTCACAAAGATTCTGTTTCTAACACTCCTAGACGTACTTGTTTGGCTACCAACCCCTCGCGCTTTTACCACCACAATATACCGATAAACACTAAAAATAACCATTAATTTGTTTGCAGGTGACTCGGGAGTCGAAGCAGGCACGTCACCCGTCCACCTTCTATTCTACCTTGCCGTACTGTTGGGGTTGCAGTTGTGAGAATGTGATAAATGTGTATAGTGTGTAAAGAAGAAACTTTGTAAATATGTATTTATGTACGGTGTCCAAATGGGTCACTTTTGTTATTTATTTTTCATAACATATACTAGTCGCCTGTACCAAAACTGAAAGTGTAACATATTGCATGTACAGTTCAGAAATACACCTTATTTAAAAAAAAAACATCCGTTAATTACTTACACTATAAAAGTTCACATTGTATATTTAACCTTCTATTTTTATCGTGAGATTATATTAGGTCAGGACCCTAATTTTTGCAGGTAATAAGTTGGGCTTGCGCGTGAGGCAATATAAGTCGTTCGAAACACAAGAATGTTTTCCGTTTATCTGATTAGTACCTACTCCAACACAGGGGAGTGTGTCACGGATTCTGGTTTTTCTCGCATGCGTTCCTTAAATGGAATCTTCCAAGCGATTCAAGCAACCCCCTTATTAAGAGGAAATCACGTGGGACGGTGACAATTGTGTTTGAGTCAGGTCTATCGAACTAATGCACCAGCCCAAAATGAAGCATTATGTAACGTGAAGTCCACAGGTTTATATGACCTAATTACCAGAGCTGACGTTACAGGGAAGTAAAATGGGCAACGGGTACCAAAACTAAGTAAACCGGTCTGGTGAGTGAGCAATTAATAACGAATTAAACGGAAAGCTATTTGGTGACTGGAAAATAAACGGAAAAGTAACTATGGTATCTGGTCGGGAATAGACTGGAATACGGTTTTGATATGAATTAATTTTGGGAATGATTGAATGAATAGCGTGTTTTAAAATAACAATAGTACGCGCGAGGATCACCGGGGGGTGGGGGGGGGGGGGGGTATGGAAGACCCAAATTTCGACTATATTAGGTTGATCGAAAAAGTACGATTTTATTTGGATTCTACGCACCAAAATTAGTGAGAAAAAGTGTTTTCCCGCGAAATTTTGGAGCAGTCGATTTTTGGTAAAAGAGGAAGGTAATACACTGCCTTTTTTTGAGGCCGTAGAAAGAAATTGTCTGAAATCGACCGGGAAAAAAGATTTTCTTATAGAGTTTGGCCCGTAGAATCCATAATTTCAAACAGTTCCAAGATTGGACCACTGGATCAAAAGTTACAGCCCTTTGAACTTTTTCTCGAAATTTGTATTTGGTCCATAACTTTTGATTGAGAGGCCTGATCGAAAAAGTACGAATCGTTTTGGATTCTAAGCACTAAAATTAGTGAGAAAAAGTGTTTTCCCGCGAAATTTTGGAGCAGTCGATTTTTGGTAAAAAAGGAAGGTAATACACTGCCTTTTTTTGAGGCCGTAGAAAGAAATTGTCTCAAATCGATCGGGAAAAAACATTTTCTTATAGAGTTTGGCCCGTAGAATCCCTAATTTCAAACAGTTCCAAGATTGGACCACTGGATCAAAAGTTACAGCCCTTTGAACTTTCTCCCCCCTATATTATACCGTGAATCTGTAACTTGTTGAGTGGTTATGATTAATAGACCAATGGCAATTCAAAATAATGCACATTTTCAATTTATTACTTTTAGATAATGACTATACATTTATAAAATAGTCTTTCCAGATGGATGGATTTCGAATTACAAAAAATACCCTTTCCAGATGCAGCCCATAAAACCCTTCCCATGCATTAATGTAAATTAGGAAGTTAGAATATGGCTCACTTTAACTGCAATCGCACCAGTAATGGATGCCATTTGTCTTAGAAACGCAAGACCAACCAGTAACCAAAATGTCGCCGTCCGTCGTCATCCTATGTTACGTTATCGCTTCCGTTACCAGTTTCGCTATTGATACACTCGAAGACCTCTTTGACGAGCGCTTGGTAACGGTTGCCAACAAGTACTTCACCCACAAAAACACGCTAGTCGTAAACGCCGAGAATCTGGAGATATCGCTGAAGAATTTCCAGGGGCCGAAAATTGTACTCGACTCCGCGTCAGCTCTAACCAGCGTCACCGAGAAATTCAATCACTACGTAATCAGTTACAAAAACGAGCAGGACCTGAATGAAACTTTGACCGAGCTCAGACAGTACAGAAGGAGCTGGAACTCTAGAGCCACCTTTCTGGTTGCCACCGCGAAGAGTCCATCCGTCCATCAAGCTGGAAGTATACTAGGCGTCTTGTGGAACTTTAACGTTTACAACTCGCTGGTCGCGAGTCACGACGTTTTCTTCAGTTATGACTTCGTCAGATCAAAGTGCGGCAGAAGAATCGTTGCCGAACGCCGCCGGGAGGCGACCAATCTCTTTCCGACGCAGATCCGCAACAATCTCTGTAACCTACCGCTCTTGGCGTTGTGGATTCCGGCCGCTCCGTTTACCATCGACTTTAAGAGGGCGAATCCGGGACTGATGATGTCGGCGCTCCAGCTGGTTGGACAGAGGAACAACTTAAACGTGACCTTCGCCGAAGATACGCCTCGGGGGTTTGTGGATGAGGTTAGCTTTGGAGCGGACGGTGTTATCTTGGAGGAGTTCAATAATAATCGCGGTGAGATTTTTGCGTCGATAACCGGGCCGGAGTACAGGAAGTGCGTGGTTTTGTACGACTGTACGGTACCCTCGGGCTTTGAAACGATCTACTGGGTCGTACCGAAACCGACACCAAAAGCATTTTGGAAGAGCGTAGTCATGGCGTTCTCCTCACTAGCGTGGGCCTTGCTAGGCGTGAGCGCACTCCTTGTGTTTCTATCCTTCTTTTGCTTGCACAAGGCAGTCGGAAGAGCTGCCGGTCTCACTCTTCGCCCATTACTGAGCATCGGCGTTCCAAAACCGCCCCAATCCTTCGGTTCGCGCGTTCTCTTCGTACTGTTCAGTCTAAGCTGCATCGTTCTGGGCACGTCCTACCTGGGGAAGCTGTTCGCTTTACTCAACAACCCGGGCTTGGAAAAACCCATCAGCACCACGAGAGACATTCTCGATTCCGGTTACCCGATACGTTTCCCGGCGTCGTACTCGCGACTGTTTCTGTTTAACGGCGACGAAGCCGAGGAGGTGCTCGATCGGTTCGTCGAGTCGGCGCTGGACGAGAACCAAACGTTGCACGAGGCCGCGTTGCGCAGAGATCACGTCACGATCAGTCGCGACGGACAGATCTCCGTACACCCTCACTTGAAGGGCTCGTTCAACTTGCTCGAGCTCTACCTCTACCACTCGGTTATGCTCGTTAAACGCGACCACGTTTTCTACGACCTCTTCAACTTCAACCTGATGAGGATTACCGAAACGGGCTTCTACGCGAGATGGAGATCGGACATCGAGATGGAGTACTTTGAAAGACCAATTGATGTCGATGGAGGAGGACCCGTCAGTCTCTCAGTGAAACAGCTGCAGGGAGCTTTCTGCGTGCTACTGTTTGGAGGTTTGCTGTCCGCCGCAATTTTCTTCATTGAGCTTGGAGCCGAATACGGTTGCAGGATTTGGAAGAGGCGACTGGGTGCAATACCGTTTCGCTTGTAGTCAATAAAGCACATTTTTGGTACAGGCCACTAATAGGTTAAGTATATAAAATAAGTGTGAAATATGGCTTTGCTTTGCATATGATTTTCTGAAGTTCTGGCTTAATGTGAACTGAAATTTTGAAGATTTCAGGCCTAGTTAAAGCTGCCTTTTTTTAGCCCCGAAAAAAAAATTGTCCCAGATCGATCCGGAAAAAAATTTTTCTTATAGAATGTGGCATGTAGAATCCATAATTTCAAACAGTTCCAAGATTGGGCTACTAATTCAAAAGTTACAGCCCTTTGAATTTTTTTTCGAAATTGGTTTCTAGTCCATAACTTTTGATTGAGAAGTCTGATCGAAAAAGTACGAATTGTTTTGGATTCTACGCCCCAAAATTAATAGGAAAAAGTGTTTTCCCGAGAAATTTTGGTGCAGTCAATTTTTGGTAAAAAAGGAAGGTTATACACTGCCTTTTTTTTCCTCGAAAAAAAAATTGTCTCAGATCGTCCCGGAAAAAAATTTTCTTATAGAACGTGGTCTGTAGAATCCATACTTTCAAACCGTTCCAAGATTGGGCTACTAGTTCAAAAGCTACAGCCCTGTGAATTTTTTTTCGAAATTGGTTTCTAGTCTATAACTTTTGATTGAGAAGTCTAATCGAAAAAGTACGAATTGTTTTGGATTCTACGCACCAAAATTATTAAGAAAAAGTGTTTTCCCGAGAAATTTTGGTGCAGTCGATTTTTGGTAAAAAAGGAAGGTTATACACTGCCTTTTTTTGAGCCCCGAAAAAAAAAATTGTCTCAGATCGATCCGGAAAAAAAATTTTCTTATAGAATGTGGCCTGTAGAATCCATAATTTCAAACAGTTCCAAGATTGAGCTACTAGTTCAAAAAGTTACAGCCCTTTAAATTTTTTTTCGAAATTGGTTTCTAGTCTATAACTTTTGATTGAGAAGTCTAATCGAAAAAGTACGAATTGTTTTGGATTCTACGCACCAAAATTAATAAGAAAGGTGTTTTCCCGAGAAATTTTGGTGCAGTCGATTTTTGGTAAAAAAGGAAGGTTATACACTGCCTTTTTTTGATTCGCGAAAAAAAAATTGTATCAGATCGACCGGGAAAAACAATTTTCTTATAGAACGTGGCCTGTAGAATCCATAATTTCAAACAGTTCCAAGATTGGGCTACTAGTTCAAAAGTTACAGCCCTTTGAATTTTTCTTACTAATTTGGGTGCGTAGAATCCAAATCAATTTGTACTTTTTCGATCAGACTTCTCAATCAAAAGTTATAGACTAGAAAAAAATTCAAAGGGCTGTAACTTTTGAACTAGTAGCCCAATCTGGGAACTGTTTGAAATTATGTATTCTACATGCCACATTCTATAAGAAAAATTTTTTTCTTGGTCGATCTGAGACAATTTTTTCTTCGGGGCTCAAGAAAAGGCAGTTATTACCTTCCTTTTTTACCAAAAATTGACTACAGCAAAATTTCTCGGGAAAACACTTTTTCTTATTAATTTGGGTGCGTAGAATCGAAATCAATTTATACTTTTTCGATCGGACTTCTCAATCAAACCTAACTATCACCCTAACCTAACCTCACGAACAATTTTTCCTAACCTTAATCTCCTCGCACATTATATTCTCCTGATACAAGATTTTTGAGCTAACCTAACTATCACCCTAATCTAACCTCACTAATTTTTTATCCTAACCTTCAATCTCCTCGCACATTATATTCTCCTGATACAAGATTTTTGAGCTAACCTAACTATCACCCTAACCTAACCTCACGAACAATTTTTCCTAACCTTAATCTCCTCGCACATTATATTCTCCTGATACAAGATTTTTAAGCTAACCTAACTATCACCCTAACCTAACCTCACTAATTTTTAATCCTAACCTTAATCTCCTCGCACATTATATTCTCCTGATACAAGATTTTTAAGCTAACCTAACTATCACCCTAACCTAACCTCACTAATTTTTTATCCTAACCTTCAATCTCCTCGCACATTATATTCTCCTGATACAAGATTTTTGAGCTAACCTAACTAGCACTCTAACCTAACCTCACTAATATTTTACCCTAAAATTCAATCTCCTCGCACATTATATTCTCCTGATACAAGATTTTTGAACTAACCTAACTAGTATGCTCTAACCCAACCTCACCAATGACCAATAAACTCCGAATCACCTCGTGCGAGAACAACCAGACCCTTAGGAGTTGAAGGAGGTGCTTGGATGCCTCCTACAATTTTTGGAAATACACACCTAAAGCAAAGAATACTTATACTCTCTGCCTAAACGTGGAACAGGAAAAGGCAGCTTTTATAGATTCCTCTAAGTTGTCATCTGAGTGAGAACCTGACGACAGTTAAACGGCGCTTGGAGGTGCAGAATTCCTGGGCAAAAGTAGGCAGCTGTCAGGAGGAATGGGGTCGTAGGAAGTCCTGGACAAGTAGACAAGATTCCCGAAGTCCAGAAATGGCACCAGAGAGGTACACCAACATCTAACATAATGCTTAAAAGGACACGGGGAAAACGCAGAGTATAGCTAGTAAAATGGCAGTTAAAAATGTACGGACAAGATCTGTACTGCAATTGTACTCCAATTGTCAGATTTTTGAAAAATTATTGGAAATATAATGGCTGCAAGTGCGCCATCTACACTTTCTTTCATGTTTTAGTATTACAAGTTTAGTTGAGATGTCGCCACGTAAGTAACTTCATTTGAAATTGCTTTTCAATTTATGGGATTAATAGCCGCCTTGGACTTAGTTTTCCTTAAATGGAACTTCAAGATGGACGGAGTCCTTTTGAACTAGTAGCCCAATCTTGGAACTGTTTGAAATTATGGATTCTACAGGCCACATTCTATCAGACAATTTTTTTAAATGTATTTGAGTGACAAGTATTTGAATACTTATTTTTTTAAGTATTTGAATACTTTTCAATGTATCTGTATCTAGTATTCGCTTGTGCTGGACGTAAAAGTATTTAGGATTCAAATACTTTTTGAAAGTATTCTGCCCAGCTCTGCCTGCATTAAAAAACGTATATGTATATGTATATGGTGAATGGTATTCGAATTTGAGAAGTGTATTTACAGGTACCTATTAATGTGAAGCAATCATATAAGGAACACGTTTAAAATGCGCACCTAAACCTTGAAAATAAAGAGAAGCGCCCTCTTGATCGTCTCTTAATTTAATCACTCTCCAGATTTTTCACAAACGTATAGTGTACACGTAAATGGGAAAATATCAAGAAAATGACCAGTAAATAGCGAGTAAAAGGAATTAACGGCGAAGGGGCGAGTAAATGGAAAATAACAAAAATCTGTATGACTGGATGGGATATTTCTAGCTGTTCTGCAGATTTCTGGATCAGATTTGTTTGACAGTGAATTGATCCATACTATCATGAAGACTTATTTAATAATAATAATAATAATAGGACCCTACATAACTTCACCAGACACAGACACTAATCGTTACTTGATTTTAACCCCTGCGATTAGTTAACCAGAGTTCTCACAAGAAACACTGACTATAATAATAATAATAATAATAATTAATTAGGCCTGAGACTAGGTAGTCATTTGACAATAAATATATGTATAACCGAAAAATTACAAACAAATAATTTATTATAAATTTTGACACTCTTTGGCTTCTCATAATTAAGTTTCCCCTAATCCCGATTTGTACAAATTAATCTCATTTACTACGTAACCGTCCGCTCCGTTCTTGCAGGGCATCCAGTAATTTATAAGCCGGCAAGTACCTCTTCCCGCTGTCACCTTCATTTATCACCAAAAATGGATTCGGAATCGTATTGGTCGTGTCCCCTAACGACGTATAGCCCATATCGTATAAGCCACAGTAAGGGATTTTCAAATGGAGCAAATAATCCCATATTTGCGAGTAATGCCAATCTAATATCGGGCTCACTCTCATTATTTGCGGCCAATTCTGATCGGTCATCTGCAAACACACGTTAGAGACGCTAATTTACTCCACAACCTACCTGAAATGGTCGCAAATGTTCCGAGAACGGATCAGATCTTCGTGTACCCATCAGCACCGCCTTTATATTCGGTTTACTCGCGAGTACATCTGTCAACGAATCCTTAATCGACTTGCTAAATTTGAGAACGTCTAAATTATAATACTCTCGAGATTCTTCAATGAACTGATTCAATTCGTGAAAGGGACTCGCGTTCTCCATGTAAACGCAGCAGATCTTCCCGCGGTACCGGGGATAGTTTCTTCTCAAGACGCCCATCGTTAAGTGGAGCAGTACGGTGCAGTCTTTTCCGCCGTTGAAGCTCACAAAGACGTTTTCGGGCCCGTATCTCTTTAAACACTCCTCAATGCACTACAATTGGAGCATCGTTAATTAATTGACATACTAAAAAGGTACATCCTGTAGAATTGTTTAAGTGAACAGGTCACATCTTACCTGGTACTTACTTCGACTGATTTTTTGACATGCGAGTCGCTCTGGCTGTACACGAGATCCTCAATGTCGGCATTTTCGCGACGATCCAACACCTTATAGTCCTCGAGTAGTTTATTTTCATAGTCGAGTAACGCCGACATGTTCGACGATGTTAAATGCAGTATCGCCACGTCCGATGCCGTACATAGAGAGACGTGCACTTCACTACCACCGCATATCTTCGGAGGGCCACCCTTCGCTTCTATCGTCAATTTTCGTTTAAACACAACATCGCCGTTCAAATGCGTCAAGAACGGAACGGCAATATTTAGAATTGACGATTGCAATAGTTTCACGTCGTCCGTCAGTAAGAACAAACCCTGCACGTACATAACGGGGAAAGTACCGTTGTGTGTATACTCGAAGCATTTGGCGTACGCCGTTGTGTACTCCACCGAGTTTGTGTATTTTGCGAGGTGCGGATTTACGATTAACTGCTGATGAAATACTTTCGCAACGGCCTGCCAAACCAGGCCCGAGTACTCCGTACCAACGCCACCGATGAACAAGACTACGTCACACTGTCTAACACTGGACCCGATTTCTTTGCATAAGCTCTCCTCTTTAGCTTCAACGGTCGCCCTTTTCACACGGTAATTTATCGATTCCAGTTTTTCACTTATGAAGTTTAAAATGTTGTCATTGGTTTCTTTACTGTGAATTGTGAGTATTTTTAAGGTCTTTTTTGCCATGATTTCAAATATCACAGCACACGTATCAAGGTCAGCCTAGAGCACTGACATAACCTCAATGCTTGAACCACTTCCGTTTCAAAGAACTGACAAATGTAGGTATCTTTGTTTATTGCACGAGTAGACAAAGACATTTACTCTCATTGATTATACACACTGTACAATCGGTAACCGTTGAGCGGTAAGTGAGGCACCGCAAAAGAACATGGCAACCTTGTGCCCTAATTATAACCTCAATTTCGAAATTTCATTTTATAATAAATTCAAGAGTTAATTTTAAAGCAATGCCAGATACACTAAGAGAGAAATTCGCAAAATTATCAGGCGTAGCGTTTCGCCGTTACCTGATGTATACAAACGTGGCAATCTCCTGCACGTTATCCGGTGTCGGGGACCTAATCCAGCAGCGACACGAAATAACGACTAAGAAAATACCGGAATGGAACGAGAGGAGAACGCGCAAAATGGCCCTGACCGGTCTGCCCATCGGAATTATTTGCCATTATTATTACACGTTCTTAGACCGAAAGCTGCCGGGTCGCAGTTTGAAAATACTCACAACCAAGTTGCTAGTAGATCAGTTTGTAATGTCACCGATATCGTTGGGTACGTTTCTGGTGAGTGTCGCGTATTTGGAAAATGCGACGGTCCACGAGTTTTTCGAGAGTCTTAAAAAGAAGCTGTGGCGGTTGTACGTCGCGGAATGGGTCCTGTGGCCCCCGGCGCAGGCCGTTAATTTTTATTTTGTTCCACCAAAGTACAGGTTGCTGTACGATAATGTAATTTCGTTAGGCTACGACGTTTATACATCGTATGTAAATCATGACAATGATGATTGATCAGTTTGTAGCATTCCTTTATCTGTGATATTGTTAAATATTTATTAATTGTTAAATAAAACCATCATGACAATTTCAAATGTGCACAGTCTTATCTGATCATCCTAGGCCCTTTTTAGAATGTTTTCCAGATTTTTCTGGTCCAACAGCCGTAAAAGTGTAGACAAAAAAGCACTATACAAGACCTTCGAAATATTTATTGGGGGCATTCGGTTTTCCTCTAAAGCCTTCTAGGCCTCTAGGGGATTTTTCAAATTTACTTACGCCTAGTTCCAAAACAGGAAAGGGTGCTTTATAAAGAAAGCATTTAAGAGACCCTGGAGGGCACTGATATCTATTAAGAATACTACGAGTGCATTCCAGAGCCGTCTTGCTCCTTTCCAGAACTGCGCAGACCGTTTCCATAGATTTTTAAATCATTTCCGGAACGTTTTAGACGCTATGAGGTACCGTCTGTCTGTCCGTCCGGACCCACGATTCTTAACTGCTTTTAGGGGAATTGTTCTAGAGCCCTGAAATTTTCTGCAATAGCTAGCCTATACCGTGAAGGTGTGCCAGGCGGCCATCAAATTTCGCTGTCTCAAGGGCCCCCTACCCCCATAAATTATTTTCCGAGATGCCGTTTTTGAATGAGAAACGTGCATAACTTTTACATGCGACAACCAACAGGTCTCAGAATTTGCATGCATTTTGTGGGTCAAGTAAAATTTTTGAAAATGGGGGGGGAGGGAGGGTTAACGCACGTTCTACCCTTGATGGTATTCTAATGAAAGATCTCGCCGAAATGAAGAATTGGTTTGTATAAACTATAACTTTCCTGCGCGACTCCTTTCCGAGATCAGGGTGGCCGGGAGGGGGGTTAATATTAATTTTATCTTTCGCATGGTACCTACTCCTATTAAAGGAATCAACAAAAAGAACTATTTCCTACCAACTACCGCCCTACTTTCTGACTCCTTATCAAAAAAGGAGCATGGGGGGGGGGGGCTGGTCTTCATGGTACTCTAATGAACGGTCTCAACGACCTTACCCCCATAAATTATTTTCCGAGATGCCGTTTTTGAATGAAAACGTGCATAACTTTTACATGCGACAACCAACAGGTCTCAGAATTTGCATACGCATGCATTTTGTGGGTCAAGTAAAATTTTTGGAAATGGGGGGGGGGGGTTAACGCACTTTCTACCCTTGAGGGTATTCTAATGAAAGGTCTCGCCGAAATGAAGAATTGGTTTGTATAAACTATAACTTTCCTGCGCGACTCCTTTCCGTGATCAGGGTGGCCGGGAGGGGGGTAAAAATTAATTTTATCTTTCGCATGGTACTTACTCCTATTAAAGGTCTCAACAAAAAAACTATTTTCTACTAACTACCGCCCTACTTTCTGATTCCTTATAAAAAGGATCATTGGGGCGGAGGTGGTGGGGAGGGGGGCGGTGGAACTGGTCTCCATGGTACTCTAATGAAAGGTGTCAACGAAAGGAATTAAATTCTACGAACCATAGCCTCCCCCTAGACTCCTTATCGTGATCGTATATAAATAATCCTAATACATCAGATTGTCTGAGGATGGTACCCACAAAGGGCGATTGGGACGTCTATTGGTGATACTTTACGAGCGAGTATATCGAAAACGCTTTGTCGAAGGCGACTCGTAATCTAGAGCACCCGGCTATGAAGAAGGGGTCCAATTGTAAACGTATCTAAACGACGCCCGTTGGCCTTTCAGTTCATTGAAAGAATCGCGGATGGGTTTTTATCTCAACGAGTCCCCGATAGCTAGTGAATTACCCAAGACGAAAAAGTGTGAGTAAATAACGGAAATAAATAAGTAAACGGTGCTCGCTGTTTAGCGTAGTAAAAAGGGGTCATTGGATTGGCGCGAAAGGTGGGAAACGGGCGGTAAAATGGGTACCGCGCATCCTCCGTTCAATTTTTATTTCCAGTTTAGTCTTTAACATCCCGTGCTACTTGGTGGTGTCGGGACGGTAAACGTTTTAACGAAAAATAAGCCCGTAATTACTGACCGTACCGGTAGTAATAAAAGTTTCACGCGCCCCAACGATTTGGTAGGTACTTTCGGACTGTAAGAAAATTTTTTATTACGATAATATAATCCACACCCTTAGTCACGCTTGTTTACCCTACTCCCGATCGATAAGATAAGGGGATAGACACGCAGTTCATAATATAAATTGCTTTTTACAGTCATAATTGCGCTCGGAATTTCCCTTGTAGTCACGAACCGCATTCCGGCGCGTTCATGAGAATGAATCATCGCTTTTGGTAACGCAATTAACTTCCACCGAATGTAATACAATTTTACAGAAAATTGATTTGCACGGTTGTTTAATCTGACGCAACGAGAAAGTGTCGTTTTTTTTAATTACGGTTTTTTACCATTCGAAGGTTTCCACGGTTTAATACTTCAAGAAGGTTTTAGCGTTGTTCGAGTGCCACGTTTTGCCATGTGATGTTTTCCGGTTCACGCATTAAACGGCCCATTAACGTGCAATTAGCGTGTTAAGGTCATTTAGTGGAAAAGTAAACGTTTTACAAAAATCAAGTTAGCCCCAGTCTTCCCTAATTATATGTCGATTGTTTCCAATTGTGGCGCCTGTCAGGGGGCTTGAACGATTCGCTAATTTTTAGCGCTCGTACCCAGCCGACCCTGATCTAATACCATGGCCCGAATGGGGAGACTTGGCCTCCCCCGGTCTCCGCTTCAAAATCCATAGCGTTTTTCCCAGGCGAACCAGAACTGATGTGACCTATTTTGACCCAATTCCGGTCCCTCGAGCTCACCTCGAGGTATGTGCCAATTTTTGATGACCCCTATTCCCGTCTTCGCCCGACTGCGTTTCTCAATTTTAACACTGATCTTCTACCCCTCCTCCATGAGGGAGTATAGCTATTTAGTTAAGGTAGGGGCGAACTTACTACCAAAAGTTCTTTTCCATTATGACTCGGAACTACTATTCTAATTTTTACCAGATTCGGGGGGGGGGGGCTATTGTGACTCACCTCAAATTCGAACTCGACTTCTGGTCCTTCCACACCCACCCATGCCATGTTCCGCGCGAGTGCCCACCGGGCATCTCTCTCAGTTGGGGTTTTCACAGAGAAAAGCCACTGCAACAAGGTTGGTGATCAGTCGCAATGGTTACATCCACCCCGTCTGGGTGCAATCTAACGCTGGAAATCCGTGCATCAAACGCGCTAATGCCTTGGGGCCATTCCGCAGTTCGAAAGGCATCCTCGAAAATCGTGGTTCTGTAGGAGCAACCTCACTTCAGTATCCTTGTACACCGTTTGCCTCGTCCAAGTACTGAAACGTGACATTCAGATCATCATAGAAATAACAGCAATTCTGGGCTACGTTAGAGCCAATAAAAGTACGAATTAATGGTCTTTCGACCTTTTACCGGTTGCCGATTTATTTATAATGTTGTTAGAACCTCGTATATAAACAAATTAGGTGCACCACTTGGATTAACAAGCTGGTCTTTTAACGTAACTAGCGCAACGAAATGTCTTGTACCTTGGACCCCAACGCTTTCGTGGTAACTCTATTTGTGTTAACCGTACATTTATTTTTTACAGGTGAGCATTTGAGAGCCAAATAATATGGTACGTATCTTAAACGAGTTTCACACCGTCGTAATCTCTCCCCCTTAGAGAACACCAACAGTCTACCCGCGCGAAGGCTTCAGCGTCGTCGAGGACGGCGAAACGCTGAGAGGCGCGATGAAAGGCTTCGGTACAGACGAGGAGGCCGTAATCGACATCATCTGCACGCGTTCGAACTGGCAACGGCAGCAAATCGCCGCCTTCTTCGAGGAACAACTGGGAAGGGTGCGTATGATCCGTTGAGAAGTTGGGCACTCAGCGGTACACGTTTCAGGATCTCATTGACGATTTGAAGAGCGAGTTGGGGGGCAACTTCGAAGACGTGATCGTCGCGTTAGTGCGTCCGCCCACCGAGTACCTCTGCAAGCACTTGCACAGGGCGATGAAGGGTGCCGGTACCGACGAAGACACGCTAATCGAAATTTTGTGCACGAGGAACAACGACGAGATACGCGAGATTGTCGATACGTACGAGCAAAGTAAATCTCCCGACCAGAGTTGGGTAGTTATAGGTAATCGTGGGGTTTCAGTGTACGACAGGCCGTTAGCGGAGCAAATGTGCAGCGAGACATCGGGCGACCTGCGCCGTCTACTAACATTTATCGTCACTTGTACGCGGGACGATAGTAACGAAGTCGATTGCGAACGAGCCCGCGAGCAAGCCGAGGAACTCTACGCTGCCGGAGAAGGTCGACTAGGTACCGAAGAGAGTTCGTTCAGTAAAATTTTGGGACACGAGAACTTCGATCAGCTCCGTCAAATTTTCGAGGAGTACAAAAACGTTTCGGGTAATACGATCGAGCAGGCGCTGAGGCACGAAGTCGACGGGGACTATTTAAAAGCGCTACTCGCCGTCGGTAATTTGGAATTGGGGCGCGTTCCGTTAATGTCCGAGTTGTTTTCAGTGGAATGCGTGCAGAGTCCACCGGCTTACTTCGCCAAACGTCTGTACGGGGCGATGAAAGGCGCGGGTACCGATGACGAAACCTTAATTCGTATCATCGTCAGCCGTTCCGAGATCGATTTAGGTTCGATTAAGGAGGAGTTCGAGAGAATTTACGACAAGACGCTGGAAAGCATGGTCGCGGTTAGTGAGAGCGTAAAGTTTATTTTAATCTGATCTTGTACGTGTTTAGCAGAACGAGACCTCTGGCGATTATAAACGCGCATTGTTGGCACTTCTTCGTTAATTAATTAATGGAGTGGACTGGTAAACGTTGACAATTCTCCATGTATACGTTTTCATTATATACCTACAGAAGTATTTTAATTGTTATAATTCAACCATATAATGTTATATTTGTATTCATTATTATTAAAGATTTACATACATTTATTCATTGTGTAATAAAGTTGGTGTTAGACGATGGATCGTAACACAACGTTTTAAGTACGAAATATGTACAGGGAAATTACATTAATTACAATTAGTTACACGTTAAATATATAATTTTTATTTTAATCTGTTACATAATTTTGTTGCAAGATGTGTAACTAATAAAAGACATTATTATTATTATTATTATTATGGTCGATGTTTCTTGTGAGAACTCAGGTCTAGCCTGGTTAACTAATCGCACGGATTAAAATCAAGTAACGATTAGTGTCTGTGTCTGGTGAAGTTGTCGGGTATTAAAAAAAAAAAATTCACACTATTATTATTATACTAGGGAGCACACTAGATAGAAGCTTGAAGTTCGTCCACCACGTGAAAATCAGGGCCGAAATAAGGCCAAGGCCATCGCAAGAAAACTGCAAATCCTGAGAATAGCCTCGACTTATAGAACGGAGGCGGAGACTAGAGCAGAAGGAGCCACTAGGAAAGACCCCTTGGTTCGCCAACAGGAGGAATGGGGTCGTAGGAAGTCCTGGACAAGTAGATTGATTCCCGACGTCTAGAAATGGCACCAGAGAAAGCACGGAGATTTACACTACCATCTAACACAAACCCTTAACAGGACACGGGAAGAACGCAGAGTACCTACACAGATTCAAAAGGCGACGGGCGACACCCTGTGCGGACATAGAAACACTCCAGGACACGCAGTTTTTTTGGGGTTTTTAAGGGTTCCAACATAAATAAATAAAATTATTATTAAGAAATATAAATTAATAATCATAGAAAAAAAGAACATTGTTCTTTTGCACAAACGTATTTATTAAGTTTAATTGACACATTTGTAGCTTACGCGTTCGTTTCATCTCTGTCAATACCGCCTGTCTTTTTCTACTTTCCTTTTCTTCAGCATTAGTTTCAACTATTGCTTTCTTTATACACTCTTCAACATCTTTACTGTTTTTGATTGATTTTATAGGTATTAGTCACTCTAAAACACATTTGTTTAGTATTAAGGTTAAGTTGGTAGAAGTTAGTGAGCAGCTCTGAATAAAATCGAACCATAGATGCTTCTAGTAAAGAAAAACATATCACATATATTAGTAAAAATCGAAAACTACAATTAGGAAAAGTGAACATATCGCACATAGTAAAAATCAAATCCACGCATGCGCAGACTGTAAAATGCCAACTTTTTTACTTATGAAAATCTCTCTCTAAAGTTAAACGCTTCTAGTAAAAATAAAAACATGTAAACATCGCATACCTATAGCATAAATTAAATGTGCTCATGCGCAACGCAAACTTTGTTGTTAATGGAGATATTTCTTTGAAATTTTAACTATATATAGGTATGCCTCTAGTAAAGCACATCACAGCGCATGGCCTTTTGGGAAAGTACTGATCATTCTAGGAAAATGCGCTGAACTTACTCGCCTTATGGCGAAAACCTTTTTACTTGTTTTACGCATATATCCATTGGCCACGTTTTAGAATCGAATTTATAAATGCATGCGCAAAAATCATCCTGCGCATGCGCAAAACGCAACTTTTTAATTTATGGAACAATTTGAACGAAATTTTTATTTTCATTCGACATTTCGCGGGTACCTCGATATTTTTAAGTTTTTACCACACATTTTAATTATAATTAATAATGTAATCGGTAAAGGGGTCGAGTACTTTAATTTCCGAGTCAAGTAATGTCATTTTACTGACGAATTTTTATTTAAATTTTACCCGAAATCGTATTTTAATACAAAATTTCAATTTTCATATAGAACACTTGATTAATGTCAATCTGTCAGTGATGACAAGTCATCATAGACAGTTAGCAATGTCAAAAATGCGGCCGGTAAAGTGACAGGTGCGGCCAGTAAAGTGACAAGCGGAAGGAAACGTAATCTGCTCTGCTTCTGTTATGGAAATCAAAATTTTCTGACAGAAAGTACGCATGAAAATGAAGGTTTCAGGACGATTTTGGGTAATTAATAAACAAATACAAGAATTACAGATCACAATAATAAAATAGTTTATTACTAATGACCGAGCAGTGTGTATTTAAAACTAACTGTACCAGTGTTTAGCGTGAAAGGTAAACTTTCTACAGCTTCATCTAACAATCCTCGGTGATGCCACATTTCTTCTTCCAATCTCTTAACGTCGTCTATGTCATCTCCATCAGACTTACTTTTCGATTTTCAATTTATTTCCTCCTCCTTTGGTCAGTTTTACCAATCATGTAAATAAAAAATAAATAAATGCAAAGTTTTTTTCCTCTTATTTGTCATACCGATATAATTGGTGACAACAAGCGGGTTTAATTTATACATTTGTCACTGTCACATCTGATACAGACTGTACAGGGTGGCCAAATAAGAATGTGAGGTACTGTATCTGGGAACCTGTCCAACGTAGAGGCTTGCGGTAAAAAAATTTATTACTAAAACGGCCACGAGAAAAACCTGGAAAATATTCTTAAGTTTCTGAAATGGCCGCTAGGGGGCGTAACTGCAATCTGGAATCTAAAAAAGTGTGAATTCCGCTATATTAACCTAACAAAAAAATACACGGTCTTTGAAGACGACGATAATCTGAACCTTTTTTGTTTGACAATTTTTCCTGTATCTCTAAAAATGAAGTGGTGGAGGGTATTCAATGGTTTCCGTAAAGAACACCCCGTATCTTCGAAACGACTGAGCCGATTTTAACAAACTCGGGTTAATTGAAAAGAGTTATTCTTCGGCTACAAATATTATAATATTTGAAGTTTTGTTAGTTTCACATATCGCCACTTGAGGGCTTTTTTCGACATTCCAACAGAAATGGTTAATTTTCTCAAAAAAATTAAATGCACTGGTTCGATTTTTTTTTCATGAAACAGTAGCTAAATGATGCCTAAACAAGCTCGCGAAAACCGCATCTCGATATCTTGTTCCTAACCTAAAATTTAGGCCAAACAAAATTTTATACCCTCAAAATTTTATTTTTTTAAGATAATTTTTCCGGAATTATTTTTATTATATAATTTGTGGCCCTAAGGTGGATTCGATTTAAAAAAGGAAGCTTTTAATGCCGCCGTAAATGTTCGAAATGCTGGCCATCACGATATAAAAACATATATATATACAGTCAAGTCCGGCTATAACGAACCCTTACTTGTCTTAGAAACAGGTTCGCTATATCCAAGGTTCGCAATATAAGAAAAGACGCAAATTCGATGGCCAAAGTACAAATCCTCAAAAAAGTTCGTTATAGCCGGGAGTTCGCTATAAACGGGTTCGTTATAGACGGACTTGACTGTATATACAGGATTACCCGACATTCGTCGCAGCATACGAAAATGCCGTTAGCTGCGTGCAAATATGAATTACAATACGGCGTACACTTATATAGTAATGCAGGTTTCGACGCAGCATCGGCCGACACGTTAGAAATTCCATGGAAAAGGGAAGTGATCATGCAGGATGAGCACAAGGAAACATAACGAAAGAAAAAAATACATCCTTCGGTTACATTAAAGAAGAAACAGCCTTTGGTAACACAAAAAAAAAGAACAGAGCAGTCTAAGAAAAGAAATTGCGTCGCATCTGCCGTTATAGTATCTAAGTGTTCAAATAAGCCCCCGCCAGTAGGAATCGTGTAATGCAATCGGTTTTCAAATTCTGCAGTCACAGACATGAGTTGGGTATGAGTGATACCCGCAGAACATTCACGGATGGCATCTTCCAAAACAGCAGTGTTCGGAAACGGTCCACGTGCATAAATGGAATCCAGGTGACCCCAGTAGAAGAAATCGAGAGGGTTCATGGATGTTGAGCGTCAAAATTGTGACAGGAATTATCCGATGAGTAATGACAAGCAGTGACGAATCCTAGTACCATCGCTAACTCGTTGACCAATGCTGCGTCGAAACCTGCATTACTATATAGGTGTACGCCGTATTGTTATTTTAAATGGTAACCCCCATTTTTTATTGCATTTTTGGATTCTACGTGAAATTTCACTTCTTTTGATACACAGATGTCGATATCTATCATTTATGGTTTTTAAGTTATTTTGACTTTAAGAAAAAAAATGGTGGATGCAGATGGTACCTTGATAATTGATTACTTGAAAATGGTTGTAGTCATGGCAACCTATTTTTATCAGTGCATAGAGAATGAATAGGGCTTTCTTTTGGTGCACTTAAAAAAAAGTTAAGTTGCATACGACCGCTCCTATGGAGATCCAAATTTATGAAACTTCAAAGACTAAAAACTCAGTTTTTTTAAATGGAATGACCATGTTCTTACTATTCCATGAGATAGAGAATCGAAATGGGCATATTTTGACAATACATGTTCCTATAGCTATCTTTAACAGTTTCTGACTTATTCCCATTTTATTGAATTGACACTATTTTTTTCGGATTTTCTTTTTAGTAGTCGGCCATGATTGTATAACAATTGAATTTTAAACAAATCTAGTGACACTAATCCGTCATTTACTGTTATAGGTTAACGTAGTTTTTCAAAAATCGAAAAATGACTCGCAGTGGTTTCACCTATTTTGGAATTTAATTGTTATTTATGGTGAAATGGGCAGAATCGCCGCGCGTGCTTTCCGTACATTCATTCGAAAACTGGAACGAAATTGTATGCATTTTGGAAATTTTGTACCCCTAATGCACTACAAACCGTTGAAGCACAAGTGATACAAAGCTCTACAAGAGAATATTTAAGAAAATGAATTGAATTGCAAATGCCTGATTAACAAAATATAAAAAACTTCGTTGAAAATGTTTGGTATGGAATTGTTGCTAGAACAGATATCGCATTATCTCTCTTAATTTCCAGACTTATACGTTGTTTAAGAAATTCAGTTGAACGACTCTGTTTAGATTTTTCAAAAATTTTCCGTCCTATATCCTTAATAAATGAGTTATTTATTTATTAATTAATTAGACTAGAACTAGAATCAATGGTATTAAAGAATCCATTCCATGATTTGTTTAAAATTCGATTGATATAAAATCATGGCCAACCACTAAAAAGAAAATGCGAAAAAAATGGCATCAATTCCGAGATCAATTCAATGAAATGGGAATAAATCAGAAACTGTTAAAGATAGGTATAGGAACATGTAATATCAAAATATGCCAATTTCGATTCTCTATCTCATGCAATATTAAGAACATGGTCATTCCATTTAAAAAACTGAGTTTATAGACTTTGAAGTTTCTTAAATTTGGATCTCCATAGGTGCGGTTGTACGCAACTTAACTTTTTTTAAGTACACTAAAAGAAAGCCCTATTCATTCTCTATGCACTGATAAAAATGGGTTGCCATGACTATAACCTTTTTCAAGTAATCAATTATCAAGGTACCATCTGCATCCGCCATTTTTTTTCTTAAAGTCAAAATAACTTAAAAACCATAAATGACAGATATGACATATGGGTATCAAAAGAACTGAAATTTCACGTAGAATCCAAAAATGCAATAAAAAATAGGGGTCGCAATTTAAAATAACGAAGTTACTATCTACTTCCGGTGTTTCCGGAAGTGCGGACATTTTGAAAATATTTTACATAGATTCGGCCTTCAGAGTAACTCCTAAGTACAAATTTTTTTTTGGCCCAAACACTGACGATATACACCCTTAATAATTGTAATGAAAACATAACCCCAGACTATAGAAAAAGAAGACTATTCTCAGGACAAAGTTTCAACAATTTCTTATCCTATCTGGTGCAAGAAAATTGGGATCAGGTTTATCAATGTACAAATTCTAATGAAGCTTTTAACTATTTTTTCGAAATTTTCAGATATTATTTTGAACTATGCTTTCCGTTCAAAACCCTTAGAATTGCTAAAAACGGTAAAAGACCCAATAAACAACCCTGGATTACAAGACAACTTGTAGATCTGAAAAATAGGGTAATTGATTACAGAATAATGTCTAAAAGTTTTCCAGTACTTAGTACAGTATATCGAAACCTTCACATTCACTATCAACAGCAATTAGTAGTATCCAAAAAACTATATTATGATAATATGTTAACAAATTCTTCGAACAAAATGAAAACAACTTGGAATATTATAAATTCCATTAAGAAATCTAATAAAAATACATATATAAAGTTACTAAAAAATGGAATAGAGGTCTCCGATTCGGAAGCAGCCACTTTATTAAATTTACATTTTTCAAGGTTTTCAAATTCAAGCTCGTCAAATCTTCAAACGCCCTTGAATCTTTCTGCTGTTTCCCATGTTGCACAGTCAATGTTCTTTTCTCCAATAATCGCTAGTGATGTGGAATCTATTATAAACTCCTTGAACTCATCATCTTCATGTGGATTTGACCAAATTAGCTCGAAAATATTAAAATTAGCGAAGAATTTTATTGCCAAACCACTTTGCCATATCATTAACTTAACCCTGCAAACTGGAATCTATCCTGACTCCTTGAAAACTGCTATTGTTAATCCGCTTTTCAAAAAAGGTGACCCTCGTGATGTTACAAACTATAGGCCTATCAGCATCCTGTCATGTTTTTCAAAAGTATTAGAAAATGTTATCAATAAGCAACTTATGGTTTACTTACTAAAATACAATATTTTGAACAAATCTCAGCATGGATTTATAAAATCCAAATCCACTTGTACAGCTTTAAATGAGTTCGTATCCGAAATCGTCAGCTCTTTGGATAAGCGCATATTAACACTCGGATTATTTGTTGACTTTTCATCTGCTTTCGACACTGTTAGTCATGAGTTTCTGTTGAACAAAATGAACCGTTACGGCATACGCGGCACACCACTAAGACTATTTGAGTCTTATCTATCGAATAGATCCCAGTTTGTTAAATTACCACAGGGTCACTGCAGTAGCCGATCGTTCATGTCAACTGGAATCCCTCAAGGATCTATTCTTGGGCCCACGTTGTTTATCATTTTCGCTAATGACTTAGCACCTTACTTGTTACATTCAACTGACAATAGTGTGTTTATAACCTGTTATGCTGACGACACCAATATTCTAATAAAATCAAACACTACTAACGATCTTCTATTGAAAGCTCAATTAATATTTGACAAATTAAATCAATGGGGTAAAAATAACAACTTAATTATAAATACTGAGAAAACTTCAGTAATACACTTTAGAAGTAAGCGCAATACCTGCAAAATCGAAAATGCCCTCGGTATTCCATGCTCCACCTCTACAAAGATGCTAGGAGTAACAATAACAAGAGATCTATCATGGTCAGAACATATAGACAACCTGTGCACTAAGCTTCGGAAATGCTGTTACGCGTTACACTTTTTTAAACGTTTGTGCAATCAAAATACGCTTTTAACTTTATACCACGCAAACTTTCACGCTATCATAAGCTACAACATTGGTATCTGGGGTGCCAGTGCGCATGTGGAACGAATCCTTAAATTACAAAAACGTGCAGTAAGAATAATGTGTCAACTTACATTAACAACGTCGTGTAAAACTTACTTCAAAAAATTAAAAATCTTGACAGTCATTGACCTTTACATCCTGGAAACATGTTTATACGCCTTCAAAAATAAAAAACAGTTTATTAAATTAACACATGCCTATAATACACGTAACAAGTTAGTACTAAATCCTGGTCGGCATAGAACAGCACTTTTTCAAAATAACTTAAACTATTTAAGCTGTAAGATTTTCAATGTCCTCCCAAATTACATACAAACTCTAAACGACATTCGCAAGTTCAAAAAAGAACTCAAAACATACTTACTAAACCAAAATTTTTACAACCTAAAAGAATATTTTGAGCATTGAGTTATATAGGTCAACCCAATACACATCATGGTTTTTATTATGTACTTTGGTGTGTATTATTGTTTTTATGCATGACAATTACTGCCTACTATTGTTGTACATCTTGTGCGGCAACGTTGTTGCAGTAAAATAAACATTATTATTATTATTATTATTATATTCAAAAACCTACGTATTTTACTTTCCCAGAAACGTTTAACTAAAGCTCCCAAAAAAACACCCTGTATATATCTCAAGATATCGAGATGCTGTTTTCGCGAGTTTGTTTAGGCATCATTTAGCTACTTTTTCAAGAAAAAAAAATCGAACCAATGCATTTAATTTTTTTGAGAAAATTATCCATTTCTGCCGGAACGTCGAAAAAAGCCCTCAAGCGGTGATATGTGAAACTAACAAAACTTCAAATAGTATAATATTTGTAGCTGAAGAATAGCTCTCTTGAACTAACCCGAGTTTGTTTAAATCGGCCCAACCGTTTCGAAGATACAGGGTGTTCTTTACGGAAACCTTTGAATACCCCCCACCAATTCATTTTTAGAGATACAGGAAAAATTGTCAAACAAAAATTGTTCAGATTATCGTCGACTTCAAAGACCGGGTATTTTTTTGTTAGGTTAATATAGCGGAATTCACAGAAACATCACTTTTTTAGATTCCAGATTGCAGTTACGCCCCCTAGCGGTCATTTCAGAAACTTAAAAATATTTTCCAGGTTCTTCGCGTGGCCGGTTTAGTAATAAATTTGTTTACCGCAAGCCTCTACGATGAATAGATTCTCAGATACAGTACCTCGCATTCTTAGTTGGCCACCCTGTACACGCCTGCGTTGTTCCCGCCATGAATTTTTAAAATTAGTTCGCATATTTTCCGTCTGAATGGTTTGCTTGGTGGAGCTGTAGATCCCATCTGAAAAAAAATGTAATTAATAAAGTTAGGACTTACGCAAGGTGTTGGTTATGTTATACTCAGCGCGCGGACGTGATTATAACATTTCTTCTACTTTCATAATTCACTAACACCTCAAATTATCACTGTTGTTATATCAAAATAATCACAAATTCACGATTTGAATTAGAGACATCTACCGGTGCGCATTATAACAAACCCCCCACCAATATTAGACCACTCGAATTTAAAAATGAATCATGCGTATGCATGGTTCGTAGTAGCCGAACAATAAAACGATCAAAAGCTAGTCAGAAATCTTTTTACTAGAAATACTCAAAACAGCAGGTGTAAATAAAAAACGTTATTTAATAAGCACCATGCCGGCATATATTACTTTACTATTTACAATTAAAATAAATGCTTGGTGACCTCGGAGATGCAGATGTTAGAATGAAAAATTGTCTCAATTAAAACGAGAAGTAGGTCATGGAGGTGTTCAGTTCAGGTCGCGATCTTCTAAGTACTTATACTCGAATGTAAACCCTTCCTTTTTTCGTTGACCCCACTTTTCGTAATCGAAATAAATATACGTCCCCTACAACATTTACACTTGAACAACTCGCCTCCGGTCCAACTTTAAATACCTGCTCGTACTCTTCGTTGATGATCTTCGGCTCTTCGTGCCTCTGAAACCACATCATGTACTTGGTGTGAAACCTCCAGCTTTGTTTTTTTAAAGCTTTCGCCGCCAAATATTGGGCCTTGGTCCCTTCCATGTAGTAAAAGACGAAGAAAAGCGTTTCCGTCGCAAGCCTCTGGTAGAATTCTAGCGTGTCCGAGTGGGGTAACGGACTTTGTAAGTAGTAGGGGGGCGTGTGGTACGGACTTCGGGGCAGGTAGGTGCGGAGCTTTTCGGAGTCGGACGGGTGGGGCATGTGAAAGAAGGCCGATTCCATCATTTGGAATTGCGCCTGGTGCTCTTTCTGCAGTGGCACCGCGCCGAGAGGTGCCACTCCTAAAAGTGGAGGTATTTGGGCTTCCGATTTACTATTATTTTGAACTTTATTGGTGTCTAACATTACTTGATTCCCATCCAGACCGGCACGGTCGATCACTTGCTGCGCGATCGTTTTCAACGATGACATGCCATCTGCAATCTTGGCGAAGCGGTTAAGGCTTGTCGGCGCCGACGCGGTTGTTACCTACCTTGCTGTCCGTCGTCGGTCCGTTCATTATCGGTTGGTTTAACGCCTGTAAGGTTATGTCGATCATTGGCGACGTTCGACTGCTTACGCTAGACACGGGACTGACGCAGTTGTTCGTGATTTGTTCCGCAAAGTTGTTCTTTTGTAAGGTGATGGATAAGTTTTGAGCAGTCTACAAAAAGTCTCATATTAGTGACTGGGATGTTTGATGTAACTAAAGCATGATGACTGCAAGTCCGACTCTCTTTTACAACACAATGAGAGAAAATTAATTAGTTTCAAGATAAGCACGTGTTCACAAAACAGGTGTGCAGTTTATTTTTGAAGCTGGCATTAATCAAATATGATTTTGAGAGAGATCTTTTAAATACGAGAACGTAACAAAAATGAGGCGTTTTTGGTGCTGGCCCGAGAGTGTGCACGTGTTTTTTTGGCAGTCAACCCTGTCTGGATGCGGATACGCAGTTTGTCGTTATCCTAATAACTTTTCTTCTGCTTCTGCAACAAGCAACTGAATGAAAGGTGTCGTCGTTTTTAACCGAAGTCTTTTTATTTACACAGACGGCCAGTTTTATAATCAAATGTCAAGTGACATTTCCATGGCAATCATGGAATTACGAATAAGCAACCCACTTAATCAGAAATGTATTCGAGCAGAAAATCGATACGATTTTAATTTATTTCCTTTATTTTTGAATTATATTGCACTATAATAAAAAATGCTATAAGAAACGCGTCTACAGGGAGGCCAACTAAGAATGCGAGGTACTGTATCTGAGAATCTATCTATCGTAGAGGCTTGCGGTAAAAAAATTTATTACTAAAACGGCCACGAGCAAAACCTGGAAAATATTTTTAAGTTTCTGAAATGGCCGCTAGGGGGCGTAACTGCCATCTGGAATCTAAAAAAGTGATGTTTTGTGAATTCCGCTATATAAACCTAACAAAAAAATTCCGGTCTTTGAAGTTTACGATAATCTGAACAATTTTTGTTTGACAATTTTTCCTGTATCTCTAAAAATGAAGTGGTGGGGGGTATTCAAAGGTTTCCGTAAAGAACACCCTGTATCTTCGAAACGGCTGATCCGATTTAAACAAACTCGGGTTAGTTCAAAAGAGCTATTCTTCAGCTACAAATATTATACTATTTGAAGTTTTGTTAGTTCCACATTCACCGCTTGAGGGCTTTGTTCGACATTTCGACAGCATCTCGTATCTTGATATATATATATATATTTTTTTTTTTTATATCGTGATGAAAGCTTCCTTTTTTAAACCGATCCACCTTAGGGCCACAAATTATATAATAAAAATAATTCCAGAAAAATTACCTTAAAAAAAAAAGTTTGTGGGTATAAAATTTTCTTTGGCCTAAATTTTAGGTTAGGAACAAGATATCGAGATGCGGTTTTCGCGAGCTTGTTTAGGCATCATTTAGCTACTTTTTCATGAAAAAAAAATCGAACCAGTGCATTTAATTTTTTTGAGAAAATTAACCATTTCTGTCGGAATGTCGAAAAAAGCCCTCAAGCGGCGATATGTGAAACTAACAAAACTTCAAATATTATAATATTTGTAGCCGAAGAAGAACTCTTTTCAATTAACCCAAGTTTGTTAAAATCGGCTCAGTCGTTTCGAAGATACAGGGTGTTCCTTACGGAAACCTTTGAATACCCCCCACCACTTCATTTTTAGAGATACAGGAAAAATTGTCAAACAAAAAAGGTTCAGATTATAGTCAACTTCAAAGACCGGACATTTTTTTCTTAGGTTAATATGGCGGAATTCACAGAAAAATCACTTGTTTAGATTCCAGATTGCAGGTACGCTCCCTAGCGGCCATTGCAGAAACTTAAAATTTTTTCCAGGTTTTTCTCGTGGCCGTTTTAGTAATAAATTTTGTTACCACAAGCCTTTACGATGGACAGGTTCCCAGATACAGTACCTCGCATTCTTATTTGGCCACCCTGTACAATTGGTTTAAAGCACATGCACTCGTACATAAGAAGGTGACAGCGGGTATTAGAGTCTGCAGGAGTCAACTGGCTCCGTGGCGAACTGGGAGGTGCAATTAATAGAAAATGAATAGTGGGGATGCGTCATCTTTCGCCTACTTACGTGCCGGTACCCGTACCTGCAGTGGAATTTTCCACATTGTAGTGATTTATGATAACTGTTCGCAAAAAGGTGAGTTTAAAGATCAATTGTGATTTTTCTAATCGGCTTGTGCGATGGATCGGGTTTTTTTTGTTTTATATCGGGGCGTAATAGATTTGCTTACAATGGTATCTATCTTATTGAGTCCAAATGCGATCATCTTTCATGACTCAATTGTTATTTGAATACTGTTATGGGATGGATCTCAAAACTCCTATGTTATTATAATGAAACGGGCCAGCCAAAATGGTGGACGCCTGAGCTCTAACCACCCACACAAATGTTGTAAAAATGTATTTTCCTCGCCCGTTACATCACCGCCTTAGTAACTACATTTATTTCCGTGAAAGGTAATGCCACATTTTAAATATCAATGTAAAATCACGAGGGAAATAAAATTCTCAGATGTCGTCGTGCAAGTGGAAAATTATTATAATGTAATTGTAAAACGCAAATTGGAAAAGAAGTAAAAAAGTAAGTACTGAAAAGCTTTCAGTAGCTCTTTTTCCTATGAAGACCCTAGAGCTACTCTCGTAGAAAACGTAAATAAAAAGGACGACTTACGTGATTCGCTTGATGCGTATTACCAGCCTGAGCAGCCACAGTATGGTGGATAGTATTCGTAACCGTAGACGTCGAGATCACCGATTGATTACTTGTACTTATCACAGAAGTCGGAACACTTTCGTTATTACCTGAAAAATCGCGCAAAATAAATCGCGGCATTTACAGATTCAAGCCTTACATGCGATAGATTTTAAAATATTATTGGCGGCGACGGCGGCGAAATTTCCCGTTGTGGGTACGTGAGGAACCGGCGAACACTCTCGAACCGACGACGGTTTACTAGGCGTGCTGCTTACTAACGTAGGTTTACTGCTAGGCGTCGACGTCGCGCTATTCCCGCTCGAATTTAACGTCGAATTGCTGCTACTGTTCAGGTTCGTGCTCGTCGCCCGCACCGCGGTCGGCTTGACCGGCTTCGGCACGTCCTTGAACTGATTCTTCTTCTCCTCGTTCGAGCTGTCGCTGGAATGATTGTACGGCGGATTCGTCAGTAACGGCGACGCTATCGGCGACGATCCCGAGATAATCGACGTCGGCGTTCCTCCCGTCTCGTTGCTGTCGGTCGTCGCCGACGACGGCAGACCGACGCCCGACAATTCGACCTCGTCCAAACCGATTATGTCGTCGTATATGTACTCGTTCTCCTCGAAATCGGGATCCTGCGAGGAGTCGATGTAATACTCGACGTCGTCTTTTATTTGTTTGATCTGCAATTTCTTTTACAATTAACGAAAACCCTCGCGCGGGCGCTTCACCTGTGACACTTCGACCGACATGTTGTCCAGCATCCGGAGTATCGTCTCCAACTTGCGAATGTGAAACCTGTGCTTTTCGAGCTTCGCCTTCAGCTCGTCCATCCGTTCCTGCTTGTCCTTGTCTAACTTTTTCTTCTTATTCGCCAGTAAAGATTCAATCTCGCATTCAAACGAGTCTATCTGCAATCAATCATTAAATTACAAAGTGCGCCGGCAACCAACGATCGAGGGGTAATGTTTTCGTGTGGGAATGCGTGCGAGAAGCATAAGGGACATTTGTTAGAATTGTATTAGTAAGTTTATTATCGCTACAATTGTGCTTATCGCTAAGAAGTTAATTAATTTTGTAAACAGATGTTGTCGCAGGTGCGCACTTTAGATAAGAGTTGTGTATATGCTAAGAGTAGTACGAACATGAAAAACAGAGGGAAGATGAAGTGTTTTACAGTGGCTTTTGGGCCTTTGGCCGCGACATATTTGAGTTTTCGGATGTACGTAAAGTCAAGTGTTTTCTAGGAGTAATTAAAGCGTTGTTTGTTAACAAAAGTAAAATCAGACATGAAGAGGAGACCTGTTTCGAATGAGCGTGGTATTTGTCTCTGGCCCTGAGGGCCGCTATTACAGCAATTAATGAATAAATTTGTGTTTTGTTATAACATAATATGAATTCGCTTTGAATTCCAATAATTATAGCCTCCACATGAGAGAGAAGTGTATCTCGATTCCAAACTGGTAAATGACCAGAAACACTTTTACTTAATTGTAACAGTATTTTTCAGTATGATCCTAAATTTCAAATAGAAGCTATTTCGGTCTAAACATAAACAAGTATAAATTGTGCACAACTCATGTGCAGATAAAGCGCATTTTTTTCAATCGAAATAGCTTTTGTTTTGAGACGTTTCATTAGAGTACCATGAAGGATAAAACTAGTTCCACCCCCCCCCCCCCGTACTTTGATAAGAGGACCGAAAGAAGGGCAGTAGTTGGTAGAAAACGGTTCCTTTCGTTGAGACCTTTAATTAGAATACAGTGAGATAAAATTCATTTTTAACCTCCCCCACCCCACCCCACCCTCTAAGGCTCCCGAAAAAGAGTCGCACGGAAAAGATATAGTTTGTACAAACCAATTTATTTCGATGAGACCTTTCATTAGAATACCACGAAGGATGGAACATGTGTTTACCCCCCCCCCCCCCTATTTCCTAAAGTTTAACTTAACACCATTAAATGCATGCGTATGCAAAATCTGAGACCAATTGGTTGTCGTATGTAAAACTTATGCACGTTTTACTTTCAAAAACAGCATCACAGGAAATAATTCGTGGGGGGAGGAGGGGGGGGCTTTTAGACAGCGAAATTTGATGCCCGTCTGGCACCTACCGCAAAAAATTCAAGGACTCTAAGACCATTCCCCTAGAAGTAGTTCGAAACGGCAGAAGTGGGGACGGACGGACAAAACACAAACAATAGCACTTTTTTTAATTCTTAAAAAAATGCGCTAAAAATTAGCCCAGGGTGTTTAATGTTGTATTATTAAATTCGCATTGATACAGCGACCCAAGTTTGAGTCAAACATCTGTAATTTAACGCATTTATTGTATATTTGTGTTAGAAAAATCACGTTGAACCGCGAGCGAATATAAGTCAACCACCTGTAATTTACCATGGGGCAACATCGAAATTTGCCCTCAGAAGTGAAACGAATTAAGTTAACTATCTGCGAAACTAGTGCATAATGGCTTTATACATTGGTGTGACGCCCTAATAAACTAGAGCGGAAAAATTTTGTGCTAATACGGTAGTTAAGTGCAGTTTTTAAATACGCAAAATGTAGAGTTCTGGTGAACGTCAATTCAAGAGAATTATAAACTATTACGGTAAATGCGAACAATAGCGGAAGATTTTTTTGCTTTTATCGAGATCACACTCCTTTCGGCCACGTTAATTTAAACATTTAGTAAGACAGAGAAACATCATTACATACAAACAAGGTTCTATGGTTACCAGGTTACTGTGCACCAACAACCTGATGGTTTATGAAGCTACCAGATTTTATAAGAATGTCCAAAATGCTAACATAATAACTCGCAACTCCTAATACTAGAAGTACAACCTCGGTACCAGCATTTGATTTTAAATATACCCTGTATCCAAGAGCTTTATATTATGCATGATAACACTAAAAGCCAGTCTGAAGACAAGTATTTGTTTAATTTAATGCAATATACAGGGTGTTTCAAAATTCGCGCACACGGACTGTGGGATGGTGTTATACAACGAAAACTGAATAAAAAGTTCCTCTACCAGTTTTTGATCAGACCGGCACTTTTCTTTTTTTTCGACGTGCTGAAGCTTGTTTACTAACAGACGGCGGACATTTTGAACAACTGTTGTAATTACGCACTCGTCATAATTATCGTTTATTTTGAACCTTCTTTTGTTTTTAAAAATGTGTTATTATTAAGTTTAACCAGAGGCGCAGCGTAGGGGGGGCGGAGATTTTTTAAATCACGGTAGCTCGAAAAATAGCGGTCTGATGGAAAACTGGTAGAAGAAGTTTTTGTTCAGTTTTTGTCGTATAACATCATCCCATAGTCCGTGTGCGCGAATTTTGAAACACCCTGTAGCATACAAAACGGAATATTGTATGTTTACACAGAATCCATTGAAAGAAATCTGATACGATTGAATACCGAACAATCCTCGAGATCTACATAGCTGAAAAACAATATCCTAAAGAACATGTGTACCAAACAAAGTTATCATGCACACGGACAGACGGAAATACAAGATAGCATACTATCAAATTTTCAGTCTTCAGCTTTTCGAGATATAGAACGCTGCATTCACCATGGGACACCCTGTATATGCCAATGCAGTTAAAAAAAATTTTAAAAAGCTTTGGCCCCCCCCAATTTTTTTACACACTTAATTGTGACGCCCTGTATTATAATTGGCTTTTTTAGCCGACAATTTTAACTTGCGAATCGTTCCTCGCCGACAAACTAACCTGAATGTTTAACTGATCGATGCACCCGACCAACCAGCTCGACATCTCCTCTCTCTCCTTCTGCGCCGGATCCAGTTTCTGCGCCGCCCCCAGACCTTCTTTGGAATACGCTTTTGTCTTAGTCTCCCTCTCCACTATTTTAAACCTTTCCATTTGCTGTAAAGAGCCGGAGTTAAGCAATACGAAGACGTTAAAATCGAAGCACAACGAACCGTTTCGATTAGCTTCCGATATTCCATCAAGGTGCTTTTGTCCTTAATCTCGCCCGACGCGATCCAACTTTTAATTTGGTCGCGTAGCCTCTGTAACTTCTTGATTTCCTTTTTGAGATCCGCCTCGTACTTCTCCTTCTGGTTGCTGTTCGTCGCATTGTGCACCTTCTGCCAGATATCTTCGAACGTTTCGACTCCTTCCGTTACCTTTTTTAAACACCTATCGATTTCACCTGAGGATATGGAAGTATAACTATCGGTTAGGCGCCAACAATTTCATTCAATGAATTGTTAAAAACAATTTTGTTTACTTCTATTCACCTTGCAACTTTCTTGTCGCTGCCATGTCTGACCACTTGCCTCAGCAAGTCCTCATAATCTGCACATCTAAAGCCAGCAATCGAGCGATATTTATTTCAATACTGTTCAGCAAGCTACAATAAACGAGATTTCAGTAATCCGTTCGCATTAAAGACGCTTGTAAGGGGTTCAATTCCATTAATTTCCCAGATGCAGCAGTATACGATTTTGACATAAAATACACTCTGTATTTTTCCGCGGTACCAACTACCAACGTTTATTGCAACCAGTGGCACCAATCTATCGTTACTAGTTATCTCAGTCACTCTTGTGTATTGGTAGGTGTTAAACAGTGACAAAGTTACGCAGGCAATTTAACATTCAAATTTTTACATACAGAATGTTCAATTATTAGTAGCCTACGTATTTTTCATGATTAGGCTTACGTCGTTTTTCTCGTTCTTAGTATCTTTGCTAGTTTGCAGACCTGTATCGATGTGTGAAAAGGTGAGTTCGTGTCAACCTCGGTGGTTAAACTACAGTATGTATCGAGAAAATAGAACGACCATCTTTGTGTCTACTTCAATGTGTCACATATGTCAGTTTGGCATCATTTCGGTGAGGAACAAGGATAGTGTTATCCAAGAATGACGCAAATTAGTAAGAGGCTAGTCCATAAGACCCCATACTACTTCTAGAGGTGTGAACGCATTATAGTTTAACATTTTGAAACGGTAGGTTTAACGACACAAAATCGGTCAATTGCTACTCTACATTTGAACTTAAATTAAACATAACCTTTAAACGGTATATAAAAAATATTTATTAAAATGATTTTGCACAAGTTGTGTCTTCTTCCGAATAAGCTGAGAGTATTTCAGATTTGTAGAGCAATTAAAACGACCCCTAAATTTTGTACAAGTCAAAGCCCGATCGTGAACACCAATCTCGTTAAAGATGTTATTTTGTACAAGTACGATAATCCCAGGTTTTTTAAGCTATTGAACATATTCGCAGTATGCCAGTTCGGCTTTTGGACCTACCTATCCCTGTTTGCCTACACATCGCTACGAGATGCACCGAGTACAAGCTCGCCCGGTGCGCCTTGGTATCAGCGAATTAACCTTGGCGAAAATAAGTACAGGAACGGTATCGCTTTCCTTTCATTTCTACTTGGTGAGTGTCGAAACGGTAGCGCTCGTTTTTCATTTCAATTGTAGGTTACGGTATTTTGGCAATATCCTGGATGTATACGTTAAGATCGGTTAGGTATCTGGTTCTGCACAAGGGCGGTTCAAAGGTGACATTTGTCACGTACGCACCGTTCGGAGTCAACCGAATGATGACTGTCGGATTGGAAAATATGAGTTGCCAGCAGACGCGACAGAACGCCACCACACAGTTACCCATTAAAGTTAAAAATCGTTTTATGTATTATATTCTCGATATGAAAGGGGAATTTAAAAATGCTGCATTATTCGATTACACAGCAGGCCTAAAACGTACTTTAAAATAAAAATGTTTATATGGCATTTTCACTCTCCTCTTACCTCACAGCTAAAAGACCGTAAAGACCTCTTCTCCCAGGATCACCACTATGGTATCTTCCTTGGAGAAGGGAAGATTCTAAGACATCTTCCAAGGGTTCTCTATTGAGTCCCTCCCACTCCTATAATACCAACACCACCTGTATTTAGCTCGTCCTTACCTCACAGTGGACTGCATGACCAAGACATAGGCATAAACCAGGGTGCTATCTAGTGGGCACCTCTCCACGTTTAAATTCCGTTCGTATTTCGTATTTAAATACGTCTGGCAACACTGCTAAGAATAACATTAGATTTGAACTACCAAGTAGTTTTCTAACCTCACTTTCGTTCTTTTCGAAGTAGAAGTGTGCAATAAGTGAGAATAAACATAAAAATGCTAATCTTCTAAAAATGTAACATATTTCAGTGAACCTCTTCTGGTCCGAAGATGAGAAAGCTAATCTTCTGGAGGCGCTCGAAGAGTGCGGATCGACCGACATAAACGCAATTGCCAAAATGATACCTACGAAGTCGCAGACCGAGGTGGAACGAGCGCTGCGCCTGTACGAAAGGAAAGCGATACGGGCGCTAAAAGACGACGGCATCACAAGCACCCAACGGCAGGCGCCCATCGACTGCTGGCTGGAATTCTTCCGCGACAACAGCCCGGACACGTTCGCATCGCGCGACCTCGTCACCGCTCTAAGATTCATCAAATTATTCGAGGAGCGACAGGACAAGAACCTTACGTAAGCTTTACCGCTCTGTCGCACTTAAGCGAGTTAATTTTTTAGGCTGTGTTACGAGTACCTCATCGACCTGATGGCCGGTAAGGCTCCCAGGCAGCTACCGGAGGAGGCGATGCGGATACTAATGGATTGCTTTGAGAATTTGGGGGCGGTGTTTAAGGGTGAAAATATCGGCGAGGAAGTTGATTACATTAAAAAGTTACAGTTAAAGGAGGTGTTACAGAAAACATACGCCAGCAAGGTTTTTAAGTTGCATTTTTCCGTTTGTGTGTGGTTAAACGAAGTTGTTTCAGAGAGGCAACATCCTTGGTGATCCCACTTTGAATGTGCTAAAAGTTCCTTTAAAACTTTTAAGGATGAATTGGGAACCTGACCGTCCTTTGTGATTTGGTAACCACAGTATTATATTGGAAGACTACTAATCTTAATCCTAATTTAATGTCGTGATTTTTTTCCTGTAATAAACAGTATTTTTGCAGATTTTAAATTCATTATCGGAGTATATTGCCAAAACCAAAAGCTTATTTTTGTATTCCCTCTCCTATGAAAAGGTTTACTCGGAAAGATTTTACAGAGTAGGTATTGTCACATAATGCCGCTAGTGAGGAGCATTTAACTGGGATAGAAATTAGTCTCGATTATTCTTTGTTATGCTTCATAAGTATAAAGAATTGTAATTACCCTATAATGGGTGAACAAAGTAGGTAATTAAAAGAATAAAGCAGTTCATGTTTCCTGAATTTTCCTTAGTTTTCGCGCACATGATCGGTGTATTATGACGTCAGCACTAAAGTATGTTTACATAGCATCATGCTGCAATCAAAGATCATAAGATCTTTGATGCAACAATGGAAGAGAATGTAGGCGGCCATATAGACAGTGCTACATCAACGACTTCAATTGTCCTTGAACGTGTGCCAGACGGCCATCAAATTTCGCTGTCTAGAATGGCCCCCCCCCCCCCCACGAATTATTTCCTGAGATGCTGTTTTTGAAAGTAAAATGTGCATAACTTTTACACACGACAACCAATTGGCCTCAAATTTTGCATACGCATGCCTTTAGTGGTACCAAGTTAAACTTTAGACAATTTGGGGGAGGGGGGGGCACATGTTCTATACCCTTCATGGTATTCTAATGAAAGGTCTTATCGAAATAAATTGGTTTGTACAGGGTGGCCAAATAAGGTTGTACAGGGTGGCCAAATAAGAATGCGAGGTACTGTATCTGGGAACCTGTCCATCGTAGAGGCTTGCGGTAAAAAAATTTATTACTAAAACGGCCACGAGACAAACCTGCAAAATATTTTTAAGTTTCTGCATTGGCCGCTAGGAGGCGTAACTGCAATCTGGAATCTAAACAAGTGATTTTTCTGTGAATTCCGCCATATTAACCTAAGAAAAAAAATGTTCGGTCTCTGAAGTTGACGATAATCTGAACCTTTTTTGTTTGACAATTTTTCCTGTATCCCTAAAAATGAAGTGGTGGGGGTATTCAAAGGTTTCCGTAAGGAACACCCTGTATCTTCGAAACGACTGAGCCGATTTTAACAAACTCGTGTTAATTGAAAAGAGTTATTCTTCGGCTACAAATATTATAATATTTGAAGTTTTGTTAGTTTCACATATCGCCGCTTGAGGGCTTTTTTCGACATTCCGACAGAAACGGTTAATTTTCTCAAAAAAATTAAATGCGTTGGTTTGATTTTTTTTTCATGAAAAAGTAGCTAAATGATGCCTAAACAAACTCGCGAAAACCCACGACGAATTTGGCAAGTTTTCCAGTTAGCTACTGTAATAACTAGCATTGTTCAAGGGAAATGAGCACGACTAAAAAAAAACCTTGACATTAACTATGTCAAATTAAATTAAATAAACTAAAAACATAAAGTACATAATCAAAAACATATAACACTGGTTTAGTGGGCGACGCTAAATAAAATGCTATTGTGTTTTATGGAACAAAATAGTACCTGAAGTGCACGCGGCGAGCGCTGTCGTCGGAGTGAGCGCGGTCTTCTTGGTGGAGCGTGGCGCGAGGTCGACCTGTTATGGGATTTCCTTTAATCGCGGCTAGAATGCTACTCAATTTTATGTTAGTCATTGGAATGATGAACCTTATATATAATAGGTCATTTAATTGTTAGGTTTGGGCCAGCGTATTCGCCTGTTTACCCTCCCATTTGTCGATATAAGGCACCTATTACCTACTCATATCAATTGTATACCAATACAGTTGCGTACTTTTTCTTAGTAAACCCGTGGGCATTTTTGAGTTATTTAACTTTTGGCGCAGAATACAGCAGCGAGTCTTCTGTAATTGTTAGTTATAAAATTAACGGATTTTTTATCGGCTAATGTAGCCAAACGCGATAAAATAATCAAAACAGCAGGAAACAGTTGCCAAATTTGACGTGCCGCAATGTAAACGTAAAGTACCACGAGGGTCAAAAGTTCTTTTTGACATTTTTCTTCCTCAAATGTGTGTATTAGACTGTTGACGGTCACATAACGCAATAAAATTTTTGTACTCTCTTTAGTCTGATACGAAAAAAGGTTAAATAAATCTGGTACTATGGCAGTCCATGGAGGTTTAGAAGAAATAAATAACCAATAATACAAAAACATTTATTTCTTACTCTTATCCTTATGCTTCTTCCTATGTTTTTCTTTCTTATGTTTCTTTTTGTGCTTCTTTTCTTTACCGACTTCATCCTTTTCGACCCATTCGTCATCACTATGGGTCACGCTCATAATGTTATTTTGCACGGATACCTTCGTAACGGGCAACTGAGGTCCGTACATATCGGGATTGGCTTCCGGCACCCGACTTTTATTTTCAACGGGCTCTCTTTTTTTAAATTGAATGTTCGACAGTATACCTTCCTTTATTGGCCTTATTTTTGGGACCAACGGTTCCGACACTACACTGGCAGTCAACTGTTCGTTCCTTTCCTTCTCTTTTTCGTCATCTCGCTCTTCCCCTTCAGATTCGGATTCACCGCTGCTCAAGAAGACCGCTTTGAATAGGTCCGCATTTTTGGACACGTCCACGCGTTCGGTTTCATCGATCGGTTTCTGTACCTCGGGTGTCGGCGGGATGACATTCTCCGCCTGCACCTCAACTTCAAGAGTGGGAGCGATTTCGGGTTTTGTCTCGATGACATTTTGCACGGACAAACCCGGCTTGTGGTCGACCTCCCGGTCGACTTGCTTCTGGTACTCGAAGATGAGATTTTTGGTTCTCTTCTTATTCGTCTCCGTAACTTCGAGCTTTGGCTCCGGCACGTTAAATCGCTTGCACAGCAAACCGTTCGGCTGCCACGTTAACGTGACACGCGTGAGCGGGCCGAACATTTTCAATTTGACGGCGGCGTGCATTTCGGACGTACCGTGCGTTGTCTCCGTCGGCTTCACCGGCTCCAGCATGTTCGTGACGTCATCCTCTTGCTTTGCCGAGACAAAGCGGTCGAAAATTAAGGAACTGTCGACCGTTTTGACCGGCTGTTTCTCTTCCACCGGCTTCGGTTTAGTTTGTCCGACTACCGGAGCAGATGGAGTGTGGCTTTTTGCGGAATTCTCGCCTAGATATTTCGCACGAATCGTGGCATCCATCTCTTTTCGTTCGGGAGCTTTAGGTTCCTCGAGGACAGGCTCAAACCTCGATTTTTTAATGTTGTGCCTCCCCGAGAAGCTTCCCGGAATTACGGGCGGTGGGAAGTTTTGAACCGGGCTCGAGGCGGTTTTTGCCACTACGAACACCCCGAAAACGAGGTTCTCCGACTGTGCCACTTTTTCCTTACTAGTTTCCGCGGTCAACTCGAAGTCATAATGGCTCATGTCGTCCTTAACGTATATATCTTCGTCTTCGTCCTCGAACGCCCCCACACCGAACGCCTGCCCCGCAATCGACAGCTTCTTATTGTTACGTTCGCGAACGGTTAGCTTAGCCGGTTGAAATAAGTTAACGTGAGTCTTATTCAACCCGAAATACCCCAACCCGTACGTGTTGATTTTCGGTTTTGACAAATACTCCGTGTACACTCGGTGCAAGTCGTTTTCAACGGGCGAAGGTTCATCCTCAATATCTTTCGGCATAGCACATCCGTACACCTTCGGTCCCGACTTGTCATCCACCCCTCTATTCTTCCGGTTAATGTTCCTCATCAGAAAATAGCCGACAGTTTCATTTCCCGCCTGCAGCAGAGTGTCCAATACCGGCTCACCGGGAATGGGACCGTCGGAAAAAATCTACAACACCTCACTTTAAAAGAGAACAGATCGTAAGCGTTATACCTATTTACTTGCTTTTTCCGTTTTTTGGTTTTGGCGTACTCATCGGTTGCCTTGACGGCTTGCGGGGCGATACCGAACTCGCCAATATCCTCGTCGTCCATAAAATCAGAGGGACGCTGCACGCGGCTTTCGGCCTTCTCGCTTCGCGAACTTCTAAATTCGGCAGGAGCCCAACCCTCCAGGGATCCGACCGTATTGTAAAATCCCGCGGAGAAACCTCCGGTAAAGGCGCCATGAAATCGACGACGTCCCTGCGCATCCTTCGCCACTTGCTCCTCAACGGAAATGGGGCGCTTCTTTGGGAAGGAGTCTAGTAGTAAATAAACAAAATTGTAAACCTAACCTCAATTTTTGGTCACCTTCATCGTAGGGCTCCAACGGCTTGCCGTAATAGCACACTTCCTCTTCGGAATCGGACATTATTTAGGCTCACCAGGCATAAATGTGAAAGCCTATTGTTTAAGATTTCCAAATTTCTTTTACTTTTCGGGGCTAATGAACCGGCTCATTAAAATCCGCCATTTTTAATTTTTGAATCAAGAACATTTTGTTCGCGACCAGCCTGAAGTTACATCCGCTTTTTTTTAAGGACATTCGCTTTTGGGGTAGTACCAACCTACTCGGGAAAACAAAAAATAACTAGGACCGGGCTGAAGTTACATTCGTTTTTTTTTAATCAACGGCAATCGAAAGTGATGGCACCGGGATCAATTCTCATCCCCTTTTTGGAAAATAGCCCTAAACCCTGACAAATTCGTCCCCTAAGTTGACAAATTGCGCAAGTGTGCGAGTGAGTGAGTTTTGCACGCAGAGGATAAGGGCGCCGTAGAGCCCCAAAGGGCCCACTTAAAACCCTCTTCCTGTAGTTTTTCGAAAAGTGCCCCACAGTTCGCGAAATTCCCTTTTGTTTGGTCAATGGCGCGGTATTTGCATTATTCATATAGGTACCGCGCCATTGGCCAAACAAAATGGAATTTTTCGAACTGTGGGGCACTTTTCGAAAAACTACAGGTAGGGGGTTTTAGGTGGGCCCTTGGGCCTGCACGGCGCCCTTATCCTCCGCGTGCAAAACTCACTCAATTTTAATAAATCAATTTAGAATTGCAACTTGCATTATTCGTATACCGCGCCATTGACCAACCACCAGGGAATTTCTCGAACTGTGGGGGCACTTTTCGAAAAACTACAGGTAGAGAGTTTTAGGTGGGCCCTTGGGCCTCCACGGCGCCCTTATCCTCCACGTGCAAAACTCACTCAATTGTAATAAATCAATTTTGAATTGCAACTTGCATTATTCGTATACCGCGCCATTGACCAACCAAAAGGGAATTTCTCGAACTGTGGGGCACTTTTCGAAAAACTACAGGTAGAGGGTTTTAGGTGGGCCCTTGGGCCTCCACGGCGCCCTTTTCCTCCGCGTGCAAAACACACTCACTCGCACACTTGCGCAATTTGTCAACTTCGGGGACGAATTTGTCGGGGTTTAGGGCTATTTTCCAAAAAGGGGATGAGAATTGATCCCGGTGCCATCATTTTCGATGGCCGTTGAAAAAAAAAGCGAATGTAACGACAGCCCGGTTCTAGTTATTTTTTGTTTTCCCGTTTAGGTTGGTACTACCCAAAAAGCGAATGTCCTTAAAAAAAAGCGAATGTAGAATCTATTTCTTTGAATTTTTTTATTAAAAATAGGCATAATTATAAAGATTAAAATTGATAAAAATAGAGCTAATACTCCGCCTAATTTATTGGGGATAGAACGTAAAATAGCATAGGCAAATAGGAAATATCATTCAGGCTGAATATGAATAGGAGTAACTAACTTCGGGCTGTTAAATAAACAAACATTCATTATGCATTTGAGGTTAAAACTTCATATTTCTATGGTTTTTAAAAACTGCGCTCTGACATCTAACGTTAGTTTCATAAAGTACATTACTAAATGAGTGTGGCGACATCTTTGAGGTGTAAGTTCCAACTAAAATAATGGTGGTAATAAAGTGTCTTGCATTTAGCGATAAAATGCTAGTCCCCAATAATAAAGACAGATGTCAGCACAATGTATTCTGCTTTGATTCTAAAAAATCAGGCAAAGCTATAAACATTTTGGGATTTGTGCCTTTCGCTGTCAAAGGAGTAAACCACGAAATTCGTATTCTTTGCGTCGTAGCGTTTTTGGAATGCCAAAGGACAGGGCGGGTAAACGGACGGCCGTCCGTATACCTCTTTGGTATACCTATACCTAGATTTTTGACGATTTGAATAAAGTATCTGTTCCCAATACACGAGTTAAATCGCCATAATGGGCTACTAGTTCAAAAGTTACATCCCTTTGAATTTTCTTTCGAAATTGGTTTCTAGTCTATAACATTTGATTGAGAAGTTTGATCGAAAAAGTACAAATTGATTTGGATTCTACGCACCAAAATTAATATGAAAAAGTGTTTTCCGAGAAAATTTGGTGTAGTCGATTTTTGGTAAAAAAGGAAGGTAATTAACTGCCTTTTTTTTTGAGCGTCGAAGAAAAAATTGTCTCAGATCGACCCGGAAAAAATTTTTCTTTTAGAATGTGGCCTGTAGAATCCATAATTTCAAACAGTTCCAAGATTGGGCTACTAGTTCAAAAGTTACAGCCCTTTGAGTTTTCTTTCGAAATTGGTTTCTAGTCTAGGTATAACTTTTGATTGAGAAGTCTGAATAAATGGCAGTTCAAAATGTACGGAGTCTTGCAAGATCTGTAGAGCAATTGTAGTTTAAATGCCCGTTTTTTGAATAGATAGATTAAATACAATAAATACTAGTGCGCCATCTCCATGGCAATCGATACACTTTCTATCAATTATAGTTTTAGAAGTCTAGTTGAGATGTCGCCACTTACGCAGCTACTTTTAAAATTTTATTTGAATTTATGCGATTAATAGCAACGTTGCACTTATTATTCCTTAAATGCAGTGCCGTTTTTAAGTTTTTCGGGGCCCTGGGCCATTCCTTCGTGGAGGCCCTCCTTACCCTCAATAAAAACGGCAGATTGGGGAGATTCAAGCAAATCCCTAATTTTAATATGGGCACTCGATGTTTGTGTAGCCTGGTTTGTAGGCAACACATCATGCTCAATGAATAGAAAACATTTATTTTTGCAATTCGTAACTTCTTATTCGCGTTCACTTAAACCGGAGGCGCAATTTTCAGTGTTGCTCCATGCACCATTGAAATAATTGGAAGCGTTAATGGACAGCTCTGTTCAGAAGAAGTAGGTCAGTTTAACATTAAGTAATCAGGTTTATTTAAACAACCTGCGCCCGATAAACCGATTGGTTTCGGTTGGTAAACAGAACCGAATCGAATGACCTTGATTGGCGCATGCGCATATCTCAAGGTCAAAGTGGTCCCGAATTGGTCAGTCAATTCTTCGTTCATCGTACAAAACCAATAATAATCGTAAATCTGGCAACGTGCCAAAGAAAATTAACAATTTCTCGTTTGCAAACTTCATGACTGTTATTTTTTTGTGAAAGCAAGCAAATTCAAAAAAGAGCCAGCAAAAATCAGTTATAATGAATGATACCGACAGTCAGTACACTTTTAAATTATTCAACTTTGAATTAGTGGAGTCTTCCGAGGATTGTCCGGTTCCGGAACCGAGAAATGCCCACCGTATCGTGTGTAACTCGAAATCGCTGTATCTCTACGGAGGGTATAATCCGAAAGCGGCAAATGACGGCTACCAAGAACTGTGGGAGTTCAACTTTTGCACGAAGAGATGGAGGATGTTCGATATAACGGGCAACTTTCCCGAAGAGGTGATCTCGTGCTCTGTTCTACGTCGCAAAGATAAACTGGTGGTGTACGGTGGCACGGGTGTTCCGTTCGCGTTCAAGTGCAGCAATAAGTTGTACACGATTAAGCTAGACGAGGAGGTTCGAATTTCGTCGCTTGTCGTTCACGGTAAGAAGCCGAAGCGGCAGTATGGCCAGTCGGTGGTAATGCACAAGAATATGCTGTACACGGTCGGTGGGACCGACTGCTTCTCTTATAATTGTGATGTGCACAGGGTGAACTTAAATAAACACTCGCGCGTGTGGAAGCAATTGTATTCTAAAACGGAGACTGCCCAGCAGTGCAACGGTGTCTACCACCCTATCGGACGTTACAGGCACGAACTTGCATTTGACGGTAAAAACATATACATGATCGGCGGAGGGACCGCTATATCGTCCTTCGATTTGGTCGACATCCCCATTTTCAACACACGAACGCGCAAATGGAAACAGATCAAGGCTAAACCCGATCCGACCAACAATTATCCGGCCAATCGCCGGTGTCACGCTCTCGCCCAGATGAAGACCGCCGATGATGTGCACGTCTTCGTGCTGGGAGGATACGAGAACAACGAGGAGGCCTTCAACGATCTGTGGCGATTGGAACTGTCGACGTTGCAGTGGACGCTGTTGGCTCGTAACGTTTTACCGAAATCTCCGTACTTCCATTCGGTCGCGCTCACACGCGAGGGTAAATTGTACGTGTTCGGCGGAATGGAAGGTGGGACCACGTTGCGGCGGAATAACAAGCTATTTTCTGCGTGGGTTAGGATTCCGACGTTAGCGGAAATTGCCTGGGAGGCTTTTTTGCATTACTTTCCAGATATTGCCCGAACGAATAAAATTAATAGGCTACAATTACCTAATCGTTTTCTAAGCAGAATTGATTAAATTAGTTTCAATAACTCTGGGTGGTTTTATTTAACAATTGATCTGCTTTTTGTTCTGCTCTCTCTTAGTTTTTCTTGTTTCTAGCTTTGTATACTGTGTCCTAGTGTTGCTTTGTTTTTGTTCAATATTTATTGGTTGATCTTTTACGTTAGCAAGTTCTATATCCAAACCCTAACCAGGATACTATGAAGGGAGTGGTCCTTTGCCACCCCTTGTTCGGGTGTTCTCTTGTTAATACAAATTAAATCACGCACTAAAAGTGGTCCAAAACCTGCCAGACTCTCTTTTTAGTCCCTACTCTTAGAAATTCAGAACGCTCCAAAATGGCGTCAGTTACTTTAATCGGCCATCTTTAATCATTCCAATCCAATCCGATTCGTTTATAGCCGCAATTCACACTGAAAATTAAACGTTGCTAAGCGAGAGCGAGAAAATAGCGACCCTCGATCTCCGTTGTGAATATTAAGGGCCGATTGTCCGACTTTATTTCTGTTGAACAACTTTTTGGTTCGTTTAACTGGGGTTGGATTATCGCGATATGTAAATGGTAAACTTATTCTAAATCTAATGCACGCGAGTTGATATCCAGTGTGAATAATTCAAATCCAGAGCGATACATTTCGTTGACACACTAAATGCACACTTTATTTATGCAAATTAAACCGGAGTACCTACCTATATAAAGGCTACGCCAATTGCAAAAGGTAACATTTTCGAAAATGCGTTCTTTGATTTTCGTTTTGTGTGCTCTGGCAGAGTTTTGCTGTAATCCACCCTATCAGAACATAATAACAGTTACAAAGTTTGATTTTCAGACGCCAGTCAAAATAAAATAGTTGGCGGAACCGATGCGGAAAGCGGAGCGTTCCCGTATCAAGTTTCGTTGCGTAGAAGAGGGCGACATTTCTGCGGGGGTTCAATAATCGGCGATCGTTGGATTTTAACGGCAGCCCATTGCATTTACAAGTAAGTAGTGTCTTCGCGTCAATTTCATAATGCTGATCCTCTGAGCCCCACAGGCAAAGCACCAAGGGTTTTACGGTTGTAGCTGGTTCCAACCTGCTAGATTCTGGCGGCGCTTCTTACAATGTCGAGGAACTTATTCCCCACGAGGAGTACGATCCGAAAACCATTGCGAACGACATCGGACTTATCGAGTTGCACAGTCCCATTGCTTTCAACGCTGGGGTAAGCAAAATAGAGTTATCTGAAGAAAATGTTGCGGGTGACGTCGAATTGGTTTTGACCGGATGGGGAATGACCAAGGTAAGGATAATTATTGATCGCGCGAGCACGGAAGGTAACGGCCGTGTTTTAGTATCCCGGAGCGTCACCTAACAAGTTGCAAACTATTAAATTGGTGTCAATCACGAATGATAAATGCGCGAAGGAGCACCAAGACGAAGGGGATGTTACAGAAACTAATATTTGTACTTTTACTAAGGAAGGCGAAGGTGCTTGCAAGGTTTGCCGACTGCACATACAATGCAGATTAACAAAGTTTTTATTTAAGGGTGACTCTGGAGGTCCGCTAGTTGCTTCTGGTAAGCAAGTCGGCGTGGTGTCATGGGGTATTCCTTGCGCTAGAGGTAAACCGGACGTCTTCACAAGAGTGCACAGCTATTTGTCCTGGATTTCCTGTCATACCACAGCTACGTTGTGTAATTTGTAATGTAATGCAATTTAATGAAACACTTCATGGATCAATTTTGTTTACTATTGTGTCATCCTGTATAACGCGTACTCACCTGTTTTAAAAAAGTTAGCTCTTTTGATAGTTTTTATGCGAAATAAGAATTGTTTCTAATAATAATTGTTTAGTTCTTTAACCGACTGTCAGTGTCAATGTAGTCAATTAAAGCTTTTACACTCTTTTTCGAGTATAATTAATTAAAATTAAGTACAAAAATTGCAACAATAACAAGATGCAATCTTCCATGTGATAGTTATAAATAAAATGAGTGTTTTCGGCGATTTCCAGCAGGTGTGGTCGCAAAGATTTCCCCACAGTTCACTGCCTGCAGCTTGGGAGGAGGATGTCAGGGCAAATTTGGCAAAGCATAAACACAAAGTTTTGCTCTTGAAAGAGGAATTGGAGAAGGAGGAGTTTTACGTTGAGTATTTGGAACGGTTGCTGCACGACGTCGAGGAGCACAAGAAGAGAATCGAGCAGGAAAAGACCGAGGGCGAGGAAATCCTAATAAAGAATGATGTCATCGCTGATAAGGTAAACAAACGTGATAAGGCGCGGGGAAAACGTGGTTTTGTTGTAGATCGACAATCATCTACCTACGGCACCACCTCTGGAAGCGGCTCCCGGTTTCGACAGTTGTACCGTAAATCAGTGTGTCAGCGAACTTTCGGCTCGCTTATCCGAAATATCCGCCGAAAGTTTAGCGCATTCCGACGAGGCGCCTTCTAGCATAGATCCCAGCAGTTTCGTTACGGTTATCGAAGTCAACGGACTGAAGTCCGTCGATTTATCGTCACCTCTGAAGTTGCCTCCGAGGTAAGTCGGTTCACGACAATATTAAATTGACAGCACGAACGTTTTTAGACCGCCGATTAAACCCGTGCAGCGATCCAACAGTAGCGCGCAAGAGAGTTCGGCCAGCAATGAATCTCTCGTGTCCTCGACCGAGCAGCTCGGTATTGATGAGCCGTTTTACGATTCGGTAGCAGCGGATGATCAAAGTACGTATTCGGAAACTCAGAAAATGTTCTCCCGAATATACAGAGTGTCTCACAATCTTACAAATAGATACATTTCATCTAGACCTTCTATTTGCCCTTTGAGAGTACCCTCTTTCGACACTGTTTTTAAAATTTAAAGATCTCATTGACAGGTTTGTGCTTTTAGCCAATTTTTGCAATTTTTTTTGTTTCTTTAGGGGAGCAAAAAGGGTAATGTTAGGTGTACGCAAGTAAAGAAGTCAAAAGGAGGATTGAAAGAATTGAAATAAATATTCAAAAAAATTTGAAAAAATTTAAAAAACCAAAAAATTGATAGTGTGTCCCCTGAATACATTATTAATCGTACACAAAAATTCAGGAAAGTTCTGAACATATAGAAAAATTCAAAAAAGGATTTGAAAAGACAAACATTCAGAAACATTTCTAAAATTAAAAAAATTCAAAAATGTCAAGGTATTCAGAAAAATTTAACAAAAAGACACGCAAAATTCGAAGAACCAAATTAAAAAGGTATTACAATTTCGAAAAATTCGCAAAATTCAAAAAATTGAAGTGCACAAATACATTCAGAGTTGGCTCCCGTATTCAGCAAAAATTCTTTTTAAAAAAACTCAGTACAGTTCAGAACAATAGAATGAATTATAAAGGAAAGTATTAAATCATTTCCGAAAAATTTATTGCAGGAGGGGCAATTGCGAGTTTACAAAAAGTAAAAAAATGGTATCCAAAATTAAAAAAAGTTTTATTAATTATTTATAGATATTTTTTTTTGAAATTGACACTAAGGATTCTTCTAGTAAAGACAAGCATATCGCATATTGTACAAATCAGATTACCACAATGTTATCTTTCTTGTTTATGGGGACATTTTTTGAAATTTTAACCACAAATGCTTCTAGTAAAAACAAGCATATCGTATATTGTAAAAATCAGATGTACGCATGCGCATATTGCGCAATGTAAACTTTCTTATTTATAGATATTCTTTTTGAAATTGACACTAAAGATTCTTCTAGTAAAGACATGCATATCGCATATTGTACAAATCAGATTACCATAATGTTATCTTTTTTGTTTATGGGGATATTTTTTGAAATTTTAACCACAGATGCTTCTAGTAAAAACAGGTATATCGCATCTTGTAAAAATGAGACCCGCGCTATGTCATATTTATGGAGATATTTTTTGAAATTTTAACCAAACATTCTAGTAAAAACAAACATATCGCATATTGTAAAAATCAGATGTACGCATGCGCATATTGCGCAATGTGAACTTTTTTATTTATAGATATTTTTTTTGAAATTGACTCTAAAGATTCTTCTAGTAATGACAAGCATATCGCATATTGTACAAATCAGATTACTATAATGTTATCTTTCTTGTTTATGGGGATATTTTTTGAAATTTTAACCACAGATGCTTCTAGTAAAAACAGGTATATCGCATATTGTAAAAATGAGACCCGCGCTATGTCATATTTATGGAGATATTTTTTGGAATTTTAACCAAACGTTCTTCTAGTAAAAACAAACATATCGCATATTGTAAAAATCAGATGTACGCATGCGCATATTGCGCAATGTGAACTTTCTTATTTATAGATATTTTTTTTTAAATTGACACTAAAGATTCTTCTAGTAATGACAAGCATATCGCATATTGTACAAATCAGATTACCATAATGTTATCTTTCTTGTTTATGGGGATATTTTTTGAAATTTTAACCACAAATGCTTCTAGTAAAAACAGGTATATCGTATTTTGGAAAAATGAGACCCGCGCTATGTCATATTTATGGAGATATTTTTTGGAATTTTAACCAAACGTTCTTCTAGTAAAAACAAACATATCGCATATTGTAAAAATCAGATGTACGCATGCGCATATTGCGCAATGTGAACTTTCTTATTAATAGATATTTTTTTTTAAATTGACACTAAAGATTCTTCTAGTAATGACAAGCATATCGCATATTGTACAAATCAGATTACCATAATGTTATCTTTCTTGTTTATGGGGATATTTTTTGAAATTTTAACCACAGATGCTTCTAGTAAAAACAGGTATATCGCATATTGTAAAAATCAGATATGCACATATTGCGCAATGTCAGTTTTCTTATTTATAGAGGTTTTTAGCGCGTTTTTGAGAAAATATTCACTTTGGCTGTTCGGACGGTCGGTCGGCTGCAAAGGTTTTTTAAGTATAACTCTCGAAGGAATCATCGTAGAATGCTCTGGTTTGTAGCGTTAGCTTTGTGTCAGTTCTTTGCATTGCGGCGCTAATACACCATCGATCTATCGCACAAAAACGCGTTGAGTAAAGTACGTAGGTCGCTTTAAAATGTTGCATACCTTACAAAACAAACTTCAATATTATCTTGTCTGTTAATTCAACTTTGAATGGCCCCCTTCTGAATGTTCTACACCCACAATGGCGAGTTCTCTTCAAAATGGCGATGTCAAACTTTTCAATTGGTTAATGTCCCTTGCGCCACCAATCACAAACGGTTTTTTGATCCCTGACGTAATTCAAGAAAACCGAAAATGTGTATGGAAAACTAAACTTATCGAAATTTAAGGTGAGCAAGAGTCGAGCACCGAAAATGTTTTTACGACATCGAGCACGCTACCGCTTCTGGCAAAACGAAGCGCCCTAAGCGAGATCAGCGACATAACGGAGCCCCAATCGCCCGGGACGGCCTCCAATTACGTAAACATCGAATACTTCATTAAGTAAGTGTTGAACGGGTGAGGTGTTTTTATTACGTCCGTGATTAGGAAACGTTCGGGACCCGACGGTCACAGCAGCAGCGACGAGGACGAAGTGCCCGAGTTGCGGCGGAGCACCGACGAGGGCTCGTACGCGAGCTCGAGCTCGTTGGAGTCGACGACCCCCTCGGCGCGTCGGAAATTCAGTCATGTACGTTGAGGCTTTGTACGCCACTTCTAATTTGAGTTTTAGGACGGGGACAGCAAGGGCGAAGTCGAAAGGATGTACAGGTGCATGCTGTCGAATATTATCGATAGCGAGGCGAATTACGTCGAATGGCTTAACGTCATGCTGCAGTACATGAAGGCGATAAAGGCGACGTTGGGCACGTCGCATCCCGTCATAACCGAGGCGGAGTTTCGGACGATATTTTATAAAATTCCCGAACTGCATTTGTTGCATTCCAATTTTCTGGAGAGCTTACGGAGGCACGCGCAAAAGTGGGACAGCAAAATAGGAGACAGTTTTAAAAATATGGTGAGTATGCGCGCTAATTGGATTTGATTAGGCCAATTTATGAGCGTAGTTCACTCATTACGCCTTAATTGTACCGGTCGGTGATGTGTCATGCAAATTTAATCGTGTCGTTTCATCAGGTCACAGATGAATTAATTGTAAATTAAGTATGTACTGGTTCTGGGGGAGTCTACTATTATTCCCTTAAGATAAATTTAAATATAAAATATTACTATGTAAATAGCAAATGGTTTCTAAAACCACCCACAATAAAACACAGGTAAGTATTAAAAAAACTTCGTCGCAACGAAAATCTCGATACTGATGTAAATTTTATTAATTTGAGACATTCAGTAGTCGCCTCGAAATCTATGTCGTTATTTGGGCTAAATTCGACATAAATCAATCAAATAAGCTGAAAGAAAAATAGGCCCTCAGGGCCAGAAAAACAAATATCACGCAGCAAACGATCGATACTCCCTTTAACGGGTACTGATAAACAACCACTTCTTCCATTTGATTTGGTTTTAAAAGCAATTCACCGACTCGAAAATGTTCCTTCGCGTAAATTTTACCACTCGTAACAGAACAAATTCGGTTAAAACTACAGTTTTCAGTTAAAACAAAAACAAAACGAGAGAGACGGCACGAGACAAATCTAACGTTTGACACGTCAAGCAACTCGAATACTGACAAACTGTCTCGCTTCCCCCCCATCTCTCAGCCTCGTTTCAAATAATTATTTAACCAGTGTCGTCTCCGCGCTTCTCGACGTACCTGGACTATAGCAGGTCCCGACCGTCTCTATCCTTGTCCGATGCTGCTAACTTAAAGTCTACTGCCCTATTGTAAAGTTTCTTTATTTCAGGCTTTAAATTTATCGATGTATGGTGCTTTCTTGGGAAACTACGGAAGGGCGATCGACACGGTACGCAAATGCAGCGCCTCCAACACGCAATTCGGCGAGATAACGAAAAACATTATCTGCAAAACGTTATCGGGAGGTCCGTCCATCTCCCTGGAGGATCTCCTCCACAAACCCGTCGCGCGTGTACAAAAGAACGCGCTCGTCCTGCACGATCTCCTCAAGTATACGCCCGTAACTCATCCCGATTACAGCAGCCTCTCGGAGGCGCTGCAGTTAACCCAAGTATTTCTGGATCAGTTCAACATGATCCAGACCAAGTCGATGTTTCCCGTACGTATTGTCGACGAAGTCGCGCGTCAACTCGGATTAATCTTACATGTTTTTCAGGCGTCGGACCGAGCTCAGAGGCGTCTAGTCAAAAATTCCTTTATCGTAGAGTTAGTCGACAGCCATCGAAAGCTGAGGCATTTATTTTTATTTAATGACGTAATTGCCTGTGCGAAGTACAAGGTAGGTAAAACTGACGCGTGACGTCATCCCGTGACGAATTTATTAATGACACCCAGTTCAGAGAACACTAAAAAGCAGATGTTAATACGATGACAAACCAAAATAGGCGATTCAATCAATATGTGAGTTCTGAGTTATTGGACTCCCCTATTGACCTTCGCTTATACTGTTATCAATGGCACAAATTATTACCTATAATTAACAATAACCTTAAACTCATTTTATTCACCCCGAAGCTCTCAAATACGGTTTAAAGAGATCACCACTAAAGATTATTCTGCTAAGCTAGCTCCTAAATTTGGAGGACCTTTTATATATATATTTTTGTAAAAGCTCTCAAAAACGTTTTAAAGAGATCACCACTAAAGATTATTCTGCTAAGCTAGCTCCTAAATTTGGAGGACCTTTTATATATATATTTTTGTAAAAGCTCTCAAAAACGGTTTAAAGAGATCACCACTAAAGATTATTCTGCTAAGCTAGCTCCTAAATTTGGAGGACCTTTTATATATATATTTTTTTGTAAAAATTCCCATTATAGTCGTCGGGCCGTAACGAAAAATACACCTTCGAATTGAAGTGGTTCATTCCGGTGGAGGATATCTATATATTGGAGGAATCGACCGCGAATCCGCACGAGGTGTCCTCCTCAAATATAGTGGCCTTAAAGTCGCAAGCATCAAATGTGCGCGACCAGTTACGACACGAGGAGAAAAACGAGGACAAGAAATTGCGGCTCGGAAGAGGATCTGAGAAGTATCGAAAAAGACTGCTAGAACTAGAAAGTCAACTCGTCTTAGTTTCGCCGAATTTAGTATTTAGAATAAAGCATCGCCAAACGCAGAAGACCTTCATCTTCTTTCTTTCGTCCGAGTTCGAGCGGACGCAGTGGATCGAGGCGATACACACCTTGCAGCAGACGAGCACGCCGCCTGCGCCCACCGTCAACTTCAGCATGCTGGAGTTGCAAACGTGGATTACGGCGTGCCGAACGTTTTTAAAGACGAACATGGGCTCGTACCTCTTGCGCAGCGGGCACGACGAGAGCTTGCTCGTCGGCGATCTTCACGTAACGATCCGCGAGCTGATGGGAATGGAATACTGCGCGGATCTCTACGTCTGCATTGAGGTCGACTTCTACGGGCACTTCTTCCGCAAGGCGAAAACAAAGATGGTGTGCAATTCGAGTACGCCGGTGTGGAACGAGTCGTTTGTCATCGATCTGGAAGGATGCGAGAATCTTCGGTTCTTGGTGTATCGCGAGAACGGATCTCACGCGAACCTGTTCGGTAAGCATACGCAGAAGCTTAGTCGCCAGTGGCTCGGGCAGCATCAGATCGAGAAAATCCTGCAGCTAAATGGATGCAGCCTTCGTGTGGCTTTAAAGTTTGTACCTTGCGAGGTCAGCCTAAGGAGAGTGCCTACCGGTAAAGCGGGCTCGTTGTTCGGGGAGAAAATTCAAAATGTTTGCAAGTAAGTATTCTCAGTTGAACTATATATTGTTAGATATCCCACGTTGGGCGGCAAATAATTTAAAAGAAATAAAATAAATATATTTTGTTGCTGACCAAAATTTAATTGGCGTACGCAGCGATAACAAAACTTCTTATTGGCGACCGGAGAAAAATATGAGATAAATTTCAAGATGTTTAAATCTAATCTTATAACACGTAATTATTAAACAAAAGGTATCAGTGGAAGATCCCGCGCTTTTGGCAATGAGTGCATGAGAAACAACCCCTCACCTTCTAGCAGTTAATTGTATTAACATCTTACAGGCGACAAAAACGCGATATACCGTTTATCGTGTCCGCATGCATACGTGAAGTCGAAAGGCGGGGAATGTCCGAAGTCGGCATATACAGGGTGTCCGGTTCCGCGTCCGATCTGGCTCGACTAAAAAAGTCGTTCGAAAGCAGTAAGTTTTCGTTATCGCCACGCGGTTCATCCGCAGCCGGAGACGTTTCAGATTCGTACGAGGCGGAGCAGCTCTTGAAAGAGGTGGACATTCATTCGGTAACGGGCGTGCTCAAGCTGTACCTGCGGGAGTTGCCCGAGGCGCTGTACACGGACCAACTGTACCCGACGCTTTTGGAGGCGTTCAATCAGAGCAACGGAAATCTGATTCGTCGAATGGAGCTGCTCAAGGAGTGCTTTACGAAACTGCCGCAGCAGAACAAGGCGACGATTCAGTTTATTTTGGACCACTTAATTCGGTACGTTCCTACGGCGGCCAATTGAACGAGACCTAACCTAAAATCGTCTTTTAGTATAAACCAGCACGAGAACGAGAACAAGATGTCCCTTCACAATTTGGCGACGGTTTTCGGTCCGACGCTTTTACGGCCTGGCGGCAAATCGGATAGCAATAAACAAAAAGATTTGCTGGCGACAGGTACGGTGGACGTAATGGCTCAGGCGGGCATTCTCTATTGCTACCTGCAAGATATAAGTATCGCCCACAAGAATTGTTGACAAGAATACGCTGTTCGTGCTTTACATTGTTCAAGTGATAGACTGAAGGAGTCGTTTCTTCGAGTATTCAAAACATTCGCTCTAGTATTTTAGGTTATGTACTCATTCATACCAATATTTGTATCTTTGTATCCATATAAAAATTTGTATAATTAGTGTGTAACTTATTTTGTATTTAAGTACCACCTGAACTTGTACTATTCATACTATTTGTAAATATATATCAAATAATTCGCGTTTGTTTTCAATAATCATTGCAGGTTATTCATAATCGAGGCCGATCGACTTGTGGTGGAACGTATGGTAGCTGATATGCATCACACCACATTAGTAGAATCAACACGGCGGGATCACTCCCACCGTCGAGCTGCCCAATAGTGAGGCATCAACTACGACTACGCAAGCTCCCTGTAGTACGATATGTAATTATTCCCGTAGAGATATTTTAATTATTCTTACAGCCTCCGAAAGTCAAGAATAAATTGATATTGTATGATTTCTACATTAGTTCGTTTCCCAATGTTAAAGCGAAAACAAGCATTAAAACTGCAAGGCCGTGCAGCATATTTAGTTATCGCAGACCGTGAACCGTTCACCCGAAATTCCAGTTAACAATTAGTCTACAGAATTTTGCAATTTGAACTCTGCAAAGGTGCAAGGTAAGCATAATAATTAACCGTCACTAATTAGATGTGTTGCAGCAAACCTCGTCTGATTAGTTTGCATATGGTGTCAAATGAAGCGCGCTTAATTAGCATGAATTTTAAGACTGGTCCCAGATTTATATGATGACTGGACACCGAGAAGTCAATTAAAGAAGTTTTAATTGTTTACGCCGGCCGGCTGGAAAATCACTGCAATATTTTGTCGCGGGAAATTGCAACTATTGTATTTTATCGCTTTCCTGCAATACTGCCCAGTGTCATACGAGGAAGCTCCAATTATTTAAAGAAATTGGACTCTCAATTTTGCAAGGTATGAGTATCTCATGTCCTGTTATACGTTGTAATTAATCCCCGAGCATAATTGGCCGTCGGCTTTGCGAAAAAGCAGTGCCATCTCGACTCACATCAATCTATGTTGTACTACAACTATTTTTTGTCGCCGAAATATTAAATTAGCCTTAATTGGATTCTCCTAACCCCCTAATAAAGATTATTATTAAGTAATGAAAACCGACAATGTGATAAGGATGGCATTTAAGTTAATTACTATCGCCGTAAAACAAAAATGATCAAGTACCTACGTTGAAACGGCGTAAAATGAGTAGGATAAGTAGGTGTTCAAAAACTTCAAGTTTAAGTGTTCTTCAAATTGGAAATTATTTAGAGTAAGTGTTTTTTTTCAAACATGAAAAAGGAATTGAAATATATACGTTTTATTGTATATATCGCTTATTTTGGAAAATGTGTTTGAGGAGTGGGGAGGGGGAGGGTTTTAATTTTGGTTATTCATTGGCGTTCTTAAAAATCCACAAACAATCTAATAATCGCGAAATGGCATCGGGTTAATTTGTGACTATGAACTTTCACGGATTGAAAATGTTATTTCTACGTCGCTAGACCACTGTTTCACAGTATATCCAGGATATACTGTGACTGTTTGATGATTTTACTTACTGACTCGCCAACTCGTAGTTGCGCCTTATATATAACTAACCTTTTTTTTTTGGTTTGCCGACTGTTACGTATTTATGTGGTAAATAAACAATGTGATATCGGTATATCCAAACTTGATTTGGAGAAATTTATGACAAGAAAATTTGGAAACCTACTCAGATAAATCGCTAAACATAAATATCTCAACATCAAAATTAATACGTTACCTGAATTATACCTTTAAATCAATAAATAAATACGGTAAAATGCACGTAATAGATCTACTGTATTTATGATGCAAATGTTATAGGCTATAAATTAAATAACATTGCTACAACCCTGTCATTTAATCATGTTGCGAAATGGAATTTTGTCGAGTTTTTTTTTTAATCTTGAACAAATTGACAATGTTATGTTACGTAGGTATAAACCTCTCGCCAGGAAAGATTGCCGGTCACAGAACACTTGATCCCGGTCTACAATGTATGTTTTTCTAAAGATGCGAGCGATTTCCGGCATAGTATCGTGTCAATGTTGAACAAAAAAACTTTTCGTTCAACACTGGCACGATCCTATTCCGGAAGTCGCTCGCATCTTAAGAAAAACATACATTGTAGATCGACACAATGTGTGCTGTGACCGGCAATCTTTCCTGGCGAGAGTTATACCACAATTTTATTACTATTTTTTTAGGAAAACAGAACCAATACCTAAAGCGAACTATCCACCTGTTTCCTTTGTCGAACTGGTAATAATCCGCCTTTTCTCGTCAAATTAAACTTGACCAATATGTTTTCAGTACAAATATGCATCGTTTATGGATAAACTTTTCATCGCCTTAGGGTCAATCATTTGCACAGTGGGCGCTGTTGCCAACAGCTTGCCTTCAATTATAATTGGAGACGCGACCAACGTAATAGTGACCTACGTTTCTGCTTTAAATGGAACAAATGCAACCCTCATTGAACAGGCCGAGGAGAACTTAAAGAATGGATTAATTACGTTTGTCATCATCGAATGCTCGCTGAGTGTTTTTGTTATGGCCGCCACGTATATTGCAACGGTACTATTTAACTATAGCGCCTTAAAACAGGTAAATAATCTCGGCAATGAGATAAGGTAAAAGACGTATTTTAGACGTATCGAATACGCGAGCTGTTTTTGCACAAAGTGTTAAACCAAGACATTGGTTGGTATGACGTTCGCCAGACGGGAGATTTTGCAAGCCGCATGGCGGAGTAGGTTGAAGATGCTTTTGGTTATTTTGGGGTACCTAACTATCATACTTATCTCAACGACCGGAGATAAGCCTTTACAAAACAATGCAGGCACTTGTATCTGAATAATCAAATAAACAAAAGGATGATTATTCAAACAAAACGGTAAATTCAAATGATATGATCGAAAAATGCTATTTCCTAAAGTCGGAGACACCCCAGGCTACGACCCTACACCATAAAACAAGGCCACGTCTGATTTACGTAACCGGGGATTAATTAATTTATGAACGCAGATTTTGCAAGGCACCGAATTAACAATAAACCCCGGCGAAACTGTTGCTATAGTTGGGAGTTCCGGATGTGGAAAGTCGACGTGTATACAGCGCTTTTACGACCCGTCGTGCGGAAATGTGCGTTAGCTTTTTTTTACGTTTCGCGATTTTACGCTACTTTTAGGTTCTTATTGACGATCACGACGTGGTCGACTTGGATCTCGCTTGGATGAGATCTCAGATTGGGGTTGTGGGTCAAGAGCCGGTACTGTTCGAAATGACGATAGCCGAAAACATCAAACTCGGTGCGGATAATGCGAGCGAAGACGATATTAGACGAGCCGCCGAGAAGGCGAACGCTCATTCTTTTATAAGCTCACTTCCTCGGGGTTACAATACGCTTGTCGGCGAAAGGGGCGCCCAGTTATCGGGGGGGCAAAAGCAAAGGATAGCGATAGCGCGAGCTCTGGTGCGCGCACCTTCAATTCTGCTTTTGGATGAAGCCACTTCTGCCTTGGATACAAAGTGCGAAGCGGTCGTTCAAGCTGCTCTTGACGCGGTAAGATGTTGTTGAACACCTACCCTTCCTTAGGATTAAAGTAATGCAGGTCAGCTATGAATGTACAACCGTAATTGTGGCGCACCGATTGTCTACGGTCAGAAAGGCTGATCGCATTGTCGTCATAGGCGCCGGAAAGGTCGTAGAACAGGGTGGTCACGATGAACTTATGGATAAAAAGGGCGCTTACTTCGAACTAGTAACAGCGCAAGTATCACCAGCAGACACAGGTGCAGATGCATTTATTAAGACTGAAACCGGGGAGATGCTAGAGCCCCAGGATGGTGTAAATATTATTTCTGATGGCAAAGAAGTGCGGTACTTTTTAGATGCTAGAAGAATCTAAGACCGAAACAAGTAGGTCGTCATTGTGGGCTATAATGAAATATAACTCCCCGGAGAGGTGAGCTATTCTGCTCGGGTGCGTTGGGTCAATAGTAACTGGAGCGGGTATGCCAATGTACGCCATCGTACTTGGACGCGTAATGAGCGTCTTACCTTCCCACGATGCTGATTATATTGTCAGCGAAACAAAGAAGTTTGCCATCTTTTTCTTAATTATAGCAATCATTACTGGAATCGCAATACTGTTGCATGTAGGTAGTTGTCTTACCAAGTTTTTATGCGTTTATCTCTTTTCTTCAGACGTATATGTTCGGAATTGCCGGTGAAAAACTAACAATGCGCCTGCGCAGTCAAATGTTTAAGTCGTTTCTTGCGCAAGAAATCGGCTACTTTGACCGTAAAGAGCACGGTGTTGGTTCGCTGTGCGCACGTTTATCTGGAGAAGCGGCAAGCGTTCAAGGAGTAGGCGATTGCATCTTTGAATTGTCAATGCAACTCTTATTGTAGGCTACCGGTCAAAGAATTGGAACGATCTTGATTTCGCTTTCCACTGTAATTCTAGCTCTTAGTACGTCTCTTTACTTTGAGTGGAGAATCGCCTTTGTAGCTTTGTGTTTTTCGCCCCTAATCGTTATGGCCTTTTACTTAGAGCAAAAGATTATCGCGAAGGAAAGCCAAGGATATTACGCATCTCTGCAAAATTCCACCAAAATTGCCGTCGAAGGACTTAACGGCATTCGCACTCTCGCCTCCTTGGGAAGCGAACGGAGTTTCCACACGCGTTATATGGCCGAAATGGTGTCCTACCAACGAGTGGCCCAACGTAACACTCACTTCAGAGGATTAGTTTACGGCTTATCAAGAAGTTTGTTGTATTGTACATACGGGGCTTCTCTTTATTTTGGATCTGTGCTTCTCAAAAATGAAGGAATCGATTATGCTAACGTAATCATGTAAGTAGGTACCTGCCTTATCGTAAAACCATTGAAATCGTTTTTCAGTGTTACCGAGTGCATCATCACTAGCTCATGGTCAATGGGAAATGCGTTAGCATTCACGCCAAATTTTCAAAAAGGCCTAATAGCGGCTTCTCGTATTTTTCAATTGTTTAGTAGAATTCCTCTGATACGCGATGGTTCTCCGCACACTAACGGCGAATGGGTAGATATCCTCCATATCTTCGCATCAATTGTCAAACTACTTTCAGGGGAGTGGAAATATTGCCTACGAAAAGGTTTACTTTTCATACCCGTCTCGACCAACTATTCCGGTATTAAGAGGGTTAAATTTGACAATCCCAAAAGGAAAAATGGTTGCGTTGGTGGGGCCGAGTGGTTGCGGCAAAACAACCGTTTTACAACAATTGGCACGGTTTTATGATCCGACGTCCGGTTCCGTGTCCGTTGATGGGAAACGTATTAACACAATGCAGCTTTCCACCTTAAGGTCACATTTGGGGGTTGTCTCGCAGGAGCCCGACCTCTTCAGTAGAACAATCGCGGAGAACATTGCCTATGGAGACAATGAACGCGAAGTAACACGTGAGGAGATTATTGACGCCGCCAAAAAAGCAAACATTCACACGTTTATTGCGTCGTTGCCTTTGGTAAGTGAAGCCTCCTAAACGGCGTTAAACAAAATTTGTCCAGGGCTATGAAACTAAATTGGGAGAGAAGGGCACGCAATTGTCAGGTGGTCAGAAACAAAGGGTTGCAATTGCGAGAGCTTTGGTTAGAGACCCTAAGGTACTGCTTTTGGACGAGGCAACGTCAGCACTAGACGCCGAAAGCGAAAAGGTTGTCCAAGAAGCTCTAGATAATGCTAAAAAAGGACGCACTTGTATTACGATTGCTCACCGTTTAACAACGATACAAGATGCAGATGTCATTTGCGTGATTAATCACGGAAGAGTTGCGGAAATTGGCACGCACGCAGAACTTTTAAGTTTAAGGGGAATTTATTACAACCTTTACAACTTACAGCATTAGCTTTGTTCAGACAAAGACCCCTAAATTCTTTGATGACTAAAATAAAGATAAAACAAATAAGCTTTATTGTTAACAGTTATAGATTTTGTTATGAGACAGACGAGACTAGTTTATCATCTAGAATTCTAGATAACCAAGGATTAGTAGAACTTTAGTGAGGCCACGCGTTATCCGCCTGTAATCTAGGCATACATAGTTTGGTGCTGACATCCCTCCTTGTGAGTAGGACAACCGGGGACGCCCAGGGTGACTGACATTCGCACATACATTTTAAATCTGAGAGTTTTTGTGTTAGCAGGGTCTCCCCCGGAGACAGGTAGCCTTTGCTCTCGTGCAGGATCTTCAAGTCTATAGTGGAGAGCCGAGGTCAGTCCCAGCCTTAGGTGTCGTAAACAGTTATATAACCAGAGACTTGCTATAACTAGACTGCGCTTAACGTATCTAAGGTGTTGTCGACACAGTATGCAACACACAATGCACCGCGGGGCAAAAATCGCTGAGATGATATGCAATATAATGAAATAAGCTGTTATTTTAGATGTTCCGTTCATTAATCATTCTCGTGATTAGCTCGAATTAGTGAACAGATAAATTTCTGTTGAGAATAAACCAATAAACTTAGGTTAACTTGTGCCTATCAACATGTACTCTGTCGATAAATTTTTAAATAATATGCTGATTTTCAACGGATAAAAGTTTAAAGGGCCAATGGATCAGAGCCATTCGAAGAGAAAAATTTACTCCCACCATAGTGCATTTGCGGGGAATGAAGCCGATTTTAGAAAGGTACCTACGAAGGTGTTAAACAATAATGCAATACCGAGCTTTTTCGACTTTCCCATTCACTTAAAATAACGTAGAACTATTATTCGACATCCTTTACCAGCAAGACAACGGCAATACCTATTTGCCTACTAGGTATAGACGTAACTAAGTAAGAAACCAATTTCGAAAGAAAATTCAAAGAGCTGTAACTTTTGAACTAGTAGCCCAATCTTTGAACTGTTTGAAATTATGGATTCTACAGGCCACATTCTATAAGAAATTTTTTTTCGGGTCGATCTGAGACAATTTTTTCTTCGGGGCTTAAAAAAAGGCAGATTTTTTACCAAAAATCTACTGCACCAAAATTTCTCGGGAAAACACTTTTTGTTATTAATTTGGGTGGGTAGAATCCAAAACAATTCGTAGTTTTTCGATCAGACTTCTCAATCCAAAATTATAGACTAGAAACCAATTTCGAAAGAAAATTCAAAGGGCTGTAACTTTTGAACTAGTAGCCCAATCTTTTAACTGTTTGAAATTATGGATTCTACAGCCCACATTCTATAAGAAAATTTTTTTCCCGGATCGATTTTAGACAATTTTTTTTTGCGGGCCTCAAAAAAAGGCAGTGTATAACCTTCCTTTTTTTCCAAAAATCGACTGCACCAAAATTTCTCGGGAAAACACTTTTTGTTATTAATTTTGGGGGGTAGAATCCAAAACAATTCGTACTTTTTCGATCAGACTTCTCAATCCAAAGTTATAGACTAGAAGTACTTACTGGTACTATTTCAGGTTTTGTTACAAGAAAAATAGCTAAGTGTTAAATGTTCCATATGTGCAGATGCGATATTCGCATCAGAGAGTCATTCAAAGCTTTTAAGTAGAAAAAATCGTGGAGGATTGTTGCACATATCAAGCGATGCATTAAAAATTTGCCAAATTGCTGAAAATGTGTTCAGGTTTTTCATTCAATCCACACCACACCGCGTTGTAAACAAAATTGTTATCAGCAGTCAGAAAAATAAATAACAGTTACAGCCCATTTGGGTTTTTGGATAGGCATATATTGAATCAAAATCCGCTAAATAATCATATCTACTACTTACATCTTTAGTTTTAAGAGTATATTTTCCCATACGTGTTCACCACCAAAATACATATAAATCAAATTAGGACTAGAGGAAGGCAGTTATATACCAATTTAGTTCAAATAAAATACCAATAAATTCGATTAAAACAGTTAACAGCTATATGTTATCTTTTTTTGCTACTAAAATTTAGAATAAACATGGCTAAAGCAAGCTGCAGAACGTACGTCTGCCCCGCGATGAACAGTTGGTTGCCTATCCTATCTTGACAACAGGCGTTTATAGCAAAATCTACGTTACTCGCGGTCTAGTTATAACAGGTCTCTGTATATAACGCCTTGCATGAAACTATCGAAACGGATAAAGTGCATGTTGAAGAGCGGGGTGACCAGTGATAACCAAAAGAGCGTGCCCTCAAGAAGTGGGGGGTCACTATCGCCATTGTTGACGGCCATAGTACTCACACAAACAATACAATACCCTGTACAATACTTGTCAATGCGTGGGGGGCGTGAGCCACAGCTGCCAATCATCTGCGCTCTGTCATTTGTCAATTTAAAATATTTATTTTTGTAAATAAACCCAAATAAATAATAAAATTATGAGTACGAGCATATCTGGTGATCCTAAAATTATAAAAAAAGTGTTACACGCGGGCAGTAAGGCAGTTAATTTTGGGAACGATTGCAAAGTATTCGGAGTGGAGAGTCGGTAAGGTAATGTTAAATGCAGCTTATTCCAGGTACAATTTCACTTCCAAACGCGACTATGCGACCAAGACAAAACACTCCTCGACGACTCGAGACGGATGGGCGACGGAAAGCCCCTCGAAATAATCTTGGGCAGAAAATTCAAGTTCGAACTCTGGGAGGCGATCGTACAATGCATGGCCATCGGCGAAGTCTCACAATTTACTGTCAGCAAAGACGTACGTTTAACTTAGCTGTAGAACTAATGCCAATCGTTAGCGTTTAGCTACTGACACAGTACCCATTCGTATCAAAAACGCTAAGGGACGTCCATCTTCCCGCGGACAAACGCAATAATCACCGTTGCGTGATGACCGCACACCAGCACGGCATCGGACACGATGATCTGAATCGTCTGATGTCGAATCCCGCCGATCTCGAGTTCACGATCGAACTAGTGAAAGTGGAAGAGCCGAACGAGTACCAAAAGGAATCGTGGCAAATGAACGAGCTGGAGCAGGTCGATCGCGTGCACGAGTTAAAGGAGCTCGGTAACGCCGAGTACAAGAGCTCCAATCACGAGGCGGCGTCGAAGATGTACGCCGAGGCGATTGGAATTCTCGAACGTCTGATGATCAAGTGAGGTTTTTATTGGGGGGGCCATTTAAAACCGGTCCAAGATTTTTAGGGAGAAACCTCAGTCGGAAGAATGGAACGATTTAAACAAAATGAAGATTCCCCTACTGTCGAATTACTCCCAGTGCATGATGGCGAAGGGCGATTTCTATGCGGTCATCGAGCATTGCACGTCCGTTCTTAAAATTGAGCCCGGTAGGTCTGACAGTTTACGTGGTTATTCAATGGATTATTGCAGATAATGTGAAGGCGTTGTTTCGCCGGGCGAAAGCTCACATCGGTGCGTGGAATCCGACCGAGGCGAGAGCCGATTTTGAACGAGTTGTAAAGTTGGACCACGGTCTGGCGGCCTCGGTTAAAAAGGAAATTGATGTTTTAGATCAACTGATCAAGTCAAAGGATGGTACAGATAAACAGTTATTTAAGGGAATGTTTAGTAAATAAGCGTATTTTATGTTGGCACTATAAATGTAATTATGTACATAGAATTTTAATGAAAAAATAGGGTCCACTTGCACTGAGTATAGGGTTGCCATCTCAAAACTCTGCCAACTAGGACAGGAAGCGTGAAAACCCCGGATTTAGGGATTATAAACCCGGACATATCAACTGAATTTGATAAAAAATATTGTCTAAAGAAATAATCTGTTGCAATATTCAATAAATTCCTTTCTTTGGTCCAATGTTATGCCACTAGTGAAAATATTCTTTCAATGTTTGCTTTATGAGCAGGAATGCAAAAAAAGCACTAGGCAATTTTGAATAACTCCCAGTATAAATGATGATTCAGTGTTTTAAAAAATTGTAACCAAAGCTGATGGGCGCTTAAAAGTTTACCTTGTTGGCTTAAATTTTGACAGAAACTCATAGATGTCTCGGTAGCCTAAAACCCGGGCTACCAATGAAAACCCGCTTGGACGCCCCCTAAACTAGGACAAATCCGGGGAAACCCGGACGGATGGCAACCCTATGTGTGTTATATGTAAATGCGTGTTACTGTTAGTCTGGTTGTAGTAAAATCTAAAATGACGTTTCCAATATTACCTATACACTGTAATCAAAATGGAAAAAAATAAATAAATATGAAATATGAAGATTGGGCTACTAGTTCAAAAGTTACAGCCCTTTGAATTTTTTTCTAGTCTTATAACTTTTGATTGAGAAGTCTGATCGAAAAAGTACAAAACTGATTTGGATTCTACGCACCCAAATTAATAAGAAAAAGTGTTTTCCCGAGAATTTTTGGTGTAGCCGATTTTTGGTAAAAAAAAGGAAGGTAAAACACTACCTTTTTTTGAGCCCCAAAGAAAAAATTGTCTCAGATCGACCCGGAAAAAAAATGTTCTTATAGAATGTGGCCTGTAGAATCCATAATTTCAAACAGTTCCAAGATTAGGCTACTAGTTCAAAAGTTACAGCCCTTTGAATTTATTTCTAGTCTATAACTTTTGATTGAGAAGTCTGATCGAAAAAGTACAAGACTGATTTGGATTCTACGCATACAAATTAATACGAAAAAGTGTTTTCCCGAGAATGTTTGGTAATTTGTGCACTTATTTATAATTTATTTGTGTTATATGTAACATTTTATATGTTTTTTATAGTTTTCCATCTTTGTTTTTGAAACTGACTTGATTTAACCTTCATGCAGAATCACGTGTTTGATATTGGTAACTTATTGTCGCATTCATTTTTGGCGTGAATGTTTGCTCAGTTTATGTTTTGATTACATAGTCTTGACCCCAAGTTAAATTTATATTTTTGTATTTAGTTATTTATTTAAATATGTGGAAGGTAGTAAATTGGTTGATGTATGTGCCCACTTGTTATTTGTAAACTAATATTTTTTGCCGTAATTGAGACAGTCATGATTTCTGGAAACTCCTGTCTTTAAATTTTATCTATTCGTACACATGCGAACTTTATTCTCCTAATAATTACACGTTGTTGTCCACCTACAGAATTAATTTATACGAACGTTTCGCCGTAAAGCTAACCATCATCATCAATGCTGCACTATAGCCGACCTAATTCCGTTTCAATTTGCCGAAATTACCGTTTCAAATGGTAATCGGTTATATTGACTTAACTAAATTTGATAAGATAACTTGGATGGTGTTTATGTATGACCGTATTGGTTCAGATAGCGAGCCAGGTTATTATTTCGACATGGACCAAAACGGTGATACTCTCGACTCCTTCAGTTTGACAAGTTTCACAAGGCAAGTTTAAGAATTAATTCTCTAAGTGCTCAGTGTATGATTTTAAAGGTGCGATTCGTTCCAAAACGCGCCATCGGGCAGTGCAGACCACCCACTCGCGGATTATTACAATATGAATCACTACAGAAGAGGTCACGCGATCATCTTCAGCCATATCCAATTCGACGGGGATCTTGCGAAGAGAGAGGGTGCAAGTAAAGATGCGAAAGACCTCGAGGAGGTGCTTGTCGCGTTGAAGTTTAACGTTAAGGTCTACACCGATCTGAAATACGGAGCAATTTATGAAGTTATCACGACATGCAAGTATACCTCCCCCATGGTATCTGATGATGTCGTGGTTTTTGTAGTATCACAGAGTGACCACTCGGACGTGGACTGCCTCCTTGTCGCAGTCTTGTCGCACGGTGACCGCGGCAAAGTTTACGCGCGCGATCACCAGTATCCCCCCGATTTTCTCTGGAAGTCGTTCTCCGGAGACAAATGTCCAAGTCTGGCGGGAAAACCCAAACTGTTCTTTGTGCAGGCATGTCGTGGTGATGAAACGGACGATGGTAGCAGGGTACGCATGGCGACGCAGGTTGACTCCCAGGCCAGTTACACTATACCAGTAATGGCCGACATACTCGTAATGTACTCGTGCTACGACGGTACACACTGCAGAACTTAATTGCTCAGTCTAAACCTACACGTTACAATTGCAGGGTACGTTTCCTGGAGAAGCACACGCACCGGCTCATGGTTCATTCAATCTCTGTGCGAAGAACTGAAAACGAGGTCCAAAAGTACTGATTTATTAACAATTTTGACCTTTTTAAATAGAAGAATGGCGATCACCTATAAAAGTGTCGCCCCAAGTAAAAAAGAGATGCATGGAAAGAAGCAAATTGGTACAATTGTTAGCACGTTGACGCGCTTACTTTATTTTTATCCTGTCGAATAAATTGGGGTTCAAAGACTCTTTTACTGATTATTACTTCGACGTAAAAGTCGTGTGTCTAAAAGTTCTGCCTCCGGAAGAACATATCCTCCATAGAGGCTCGTCCTGAAACCAGGATTTTGCCTCTGGAGGCGTTTCAAGATGGTGGCCGTGTCATTCGGGAGCCCGTATAACACAGTCATCACCTTGGTCACCCTAGGGACGTGTCTCTAAACTTTCGGAGACGCGTCATTCCAGGGCCTAATGTAGAGGGACGGTCTTCTACACCCAGTGCACGGTCCTCGCATTCGGTCACGATGCAACCTGCGAATTACAGCGGAACCCTACCAGCCCAGGACTCCCCCCCCCCTTTCACGCATGGGTACTCCAGAACCTTTAGACTTCTTCTCATGAAGCTGCTCTGAGCCCGACTCTGGAGTGCTTCCCACGGGTCTGAGACGCTTGGTCTCTGATGTCGAGTTGCCCCCTTGGGCCAATGACCCACACCCAGCCTTAAAGGTTGGGTGCAGGGGCCGGTTGACCCGAGGTTTTACCAGCCTGGTCATCCCTTTTTCGTGCGCCAATCCTATTCTTCTTGCGAATAGGAGCTGGCCAACCACCAGGGTCCTCGAATAAGATCGTCCCCTCTTTCGGGGAGTCCGTCCCGTTACCGGCTCGGCTTGCTGATCCCCTTTGACAAGGGGCCCAGAAAGGGTTAAATGCAAAATGAACACCAGTAACGGCCCCGAGCCAACCAGGACCAGTTGTTTTTCCAAGAAAATTCAAGTTTCTAATCAACAATTTATTTATTAGGTGCAATACGAAGTTCAGCTTATCAATAATCACGTGCAACCCATTTGCGTGCGTATTTCGAATCGGACTTTATAATGAAACCTATTTCTGTCGGCCTTGCAGCTATTATCTAATAAAAATTAATTAGACGGGTAATCATAATTTGGAGGGGAATCAATAAAAGACATAATTTTCCTCTCTTTTATTTGCTACATTTGCACATTGGGGTAGCATTAGTATGATAGTTATCTTCTTATCTTATTTAATGATAAGTGCAAAGGATTCATAGTTCAACTGGATTCTGAAGTGTCGCACTCATAGTTGACGATTGGTAGAGTTGTGGTAAGGAATTTTTAAGAAATGGGAATTTTTTGATACGTTGAATGCACCTATTTTGTTGACGTGAAGAATGACAATTGATTTAACCTCACATTTTTAAAAAGTAAAAAAGAATTTTATATAATTGTATGCGACGTAAGCAGAATCGCAGATTGGAAGTGAAAGTTAGCAAGTGAAAGTATGGATAGTACCCAGGAAATTTACAAAAAGCAGAAGACAGGCATGCAGGTGGCAACGAATGTAACCGAACAGAAGCATCATGTTTCGAGGGCGAAGAGAGGACAGATCTTGGGCCATTTGCGCGGTTTTCGCGGCTGCACGGTGTGGTTTACGGGACTTTCGGGCGCCGGTAAGACTTCGATAGCTTTCGAGCTCGAAGCCTACCTCGTGGCGCGCGGGATACCCGCCTACGGTTTGGACGGCGACAACATGCGAAGGGGACTCAATCAGGATTTGGGATTTTCGAAGCGCGATCGGGAGGAGAACATTCGGCGGGTGGCGGAGGTCGCCAAGCTGTTCGCCGACGCCGGACAGATTTGCCTTTGCAGTTTTCTGTCGCCGTTCGCTGTCGACCGGGAATTAGCCCGGCGTATACATCGCGACAACGATCTGCCATTCTTCGAGGTGTTCGTCGACGCGCCACTTGAGGTGTGCGAAATGCGCGACACGAAGGGGCTGTATCAGAAGGCGCGGCTCGGCAACATCAAGGGTTTCACCGGGATAGATCAGGCGTACGAGAAGCCGGAGAACCCCGAGCTCGTCGTGAAGACGATCAATTGTAGCGTCGAGGAGTCGACGATGCAGGTGGTCGAGATGCTACAGGAGAACGGCATTTTCCCCATAGATAGTGAGAGTAACGACCAGGTTAGAGAGCTCTTCGTGCCCGAGTACCGCCTCGCCGCCGCTCGCGAAGAAGCCAGCTATCTTCCCGCTTTAAGCATCACCAAGGTCGATCTGCAGTGGGTGCAGGTGCTCGCCGAAGGCTGGGCGACCCCGTTGCGCGGTTTCATGCGCGAAGAGCAGTTCTTGCAATCGCAGCATTTCAATTGTCTCGTCTCCGACGGTGATTGCATTAATCAAAGTATTCCGATTGTTTTAGCCGTTACAGCCAGTGATAAGGAACGTTTTGATGGGAATCTGGCGGTTGCGTTATACTACAACGAGGTTTGCTACGCGATCATGCGAAAGCCCGAGTTTTATTACCATCGCAAGGAGGAACGGGTTGCTAGGCAATTTGGTATGTATTTTTCTAAGCTCAGATTCGACTTTCTACACGTTAATCTGGGACTCAAGGTTACATTATATAAATAATTAATATTTGCACAAGATTAGCGAATTCCTACATTTATAAAAAATCCTCTAAATGTTTCGGTTTGCTCGGCTTTTAAACACTCTTAAAGACTCAATTTTTAGTAAAGGTCTTTTGAGTCCTTGGATCCGATTATTTTCAAAACGGTCACCCGTTACCAATCCCATAGGTCGGTTGCTTTAGAAATATAATAACGTGCAAATTCCTAAAAATAATCGATCAATGTTCATACAAATCAATAAAATTGAAATAACTCAGTTATCTCCAGACGTACTTTCGTTCAATTTTACTATAAAGCGGTATATGTGTTAATTTCGCTATGTTGAACGAAAAAATAATTTTTAAAACTGCGAAGCGGCTACCCGTTACCAATCCCATAGGTCGGTTGCTTTAGGAATATGATAACGTGCAAATTCCTAAAAATAATCGATCAATGTTCATACAAATAAATAAAATTGAAATAACTTTCAGTTATCTCCAGACGTAGTTTCGTTCAATTTTACTATGAAGCGGTATCTGTGTTAATTTCGCTGTGTTGAACGAAAAAATAATTTTTAAAACTGCGAAGCAGCCACCCGTTACCAATCCCATAGGTCGGTTGCTTTAGGAATATGATAACGTGCAAATTCCTAAAAATAATCGATCAATGTTCATGCAAATCAATAAAATTGAAATAACTTTCAGTTATCTCCAGACGTACTTTCGTTCTATTTTACTATGAAGCGGTATATGTGTTAATTTCGCTGTTGAACGAAAAAATAATTTTTAAAACTGCGAAGCGGCCACCCGTTACCAATCCCTCTTTAAGTGTTAGACAAGACTCCTTTTGAGAACTCTTTATAAAATCCCCCTTATTATTGCTAATAGGTACGACTAACAAAGACCATCCGTACATTAGCATGATTTACCAATCCGGCGATTGGCTGATGGGCGGCGAGCTCGAGGTTCTGCGCCCGATTACCTGGGGCGACGGTCTCGACGAGTACCGTCTGACGCCGAACCAGCTACGCGTCCGCTTCAAGCAGATGGAGGCCGACGTGGTGTTCGCCTTTCAGCTGCGCAACCCGATTCACAACGGTCACGCGCTGTTGATGACGGACACGCGCAAGAAACTGGAAGAGCGCGGATTCAAACGTCCCGTGCTCCTGCTGCACCCGCTCGGCGGCTGGACGAAGGACGACGACGTTCCGCTACCCACCCGCATCCTCCAGCACGAGGCCGTGCTAGACGACGGCGTCCTCGACCGCGCCTTCACCGTCCTGGCGATATTCCCGAGCCCGATGATGTACGCGGGCCCCACCGAAGTCCAGTGGCACGCGAAGGCCCGCATGAACGCCGGCGCCAACTTTTACATCGTGGGCCGCGACCCCGCCGGCATTCCGCATCCGTCGGGCAAGGAGGGCTCGCCCGACGGAAACCTGTACGACGGCTCGCACGGCGGACGAGTGCTAAAGATCGCGCCCGGCTTGGACGCGCTCGAGATCCTTCCGTTTAGAGTCGCCGCGTACGATAACAAAAATTGTAGGATGGATTTCTTCGATCCTGCGCGAAGGGAGGATTTCGACTTCATTTCTGGGACCAGAATGAGAGCGCTGGCTCGTAACGGCGAGGATCCGCCCAAGGGTTTTATGGCCGAAAAGGCCTGGAATATCTTGGCGGATTATTACCAGATGCTATCGAAAGAAGAATGTTGAATTTCCACTCAGATTCCTTTACAGCTTTAATTAGAATAGTTTTTAATTGTTGATTCTTAGAAATTTATGTATTGTTGCATTTATATTTTCTTTATCTGTATAGTGATAAAGAATTGCCCTTCACTGTAAGATACTTCTGAAATCCATTTACCTTTGTATTATACACATTTATGTTATGTAATTGTATACATATATACCTAACATGATAAGCTATGTACAGATTTATTCCAAATTATACCTGTACGTCCTAGAGAGTTATTGTAAGTTCCTAAAACCAAAAGGCAATATTAGTAGGAAGACATTGAAGATATCAGGGAACTGAAATTGTCGATTGATTAGAAGATCATCAGAAGGGTTTTATGTAGTTGCTTTTGGCACCAAGTTAAATTTATATATTTGGTCGTTGGTAAACTAAAGTTTTTCTTCGTGAAGAGACAGTCACGGGGGTGGTAAATAACTGTAACTACTTTAGTTACGACTCCTAATACTGGGACCGATCTCGAATTTCAATTGTAGCGTAGGATACCCCGAACGAGGGTTGTGTTACCTATTCCAGGGGTGGAATTCTGCTATTAAAAAGGTCAGTTTAGAATATTTGTGCGATATATGAGTTGCGATTCATTAATTTTCACATATTTTGTTGTTCACGTGCCATGTTGCTTTAAAAAATGGATTTTATTACACTTTAGGAACTGTTATATTTCATAGTTTATTATAGGTTTTTTAACACGAACACAACTACGTCTAATACCAACAATTAAAACATTTACACATTTTACACGCACTCTCCCGCTTAAGGTTGCAGGCAGCGATGATAGTAAAACAGGCAACGGCGAGACCTGCAGAACCTCTTCTGGATAATGACGCTTGGGCGTTACTGGAAGCGGTCACAGTGGATTCGGTACGGGGGACGTCTTAGAGTTCCGTTTATGCCTTTTCTCGTTCTTTGTAGTTTTTGAGAAGGATACATAAAGGTTCGTGTCAGCGATTTTTATTCCTTGCACGATTGAACTATTTATTAATTAATTTTTTTTCTTAGCCTACTATTTTTACTTCGTGAACTACTATTTTGCAAGTTTATTCTTGCAATGTAATTTACGAGTGTATAACCTTCCTTTTTTACCAAAAATCGACTGCACCAAAATTTCTCGGGAAAATACTTTTTCTTATTAATTTTGGTGCGTAGAATCCAAAACAATTCGTACTTTTTCGATCAGACTTCTCAATAAAAAGTTATAGACTAGAAACCAATTTCGAAAAAAAATTCAAGGGGCTGTAACTTTTGAACTAGTAGCCCAATCTTGGAACTGTTTGAAATTATGGATTCTACAGGCCACATTCTATAAGAAAATTTTTTTCTCGGGTCGATCTGAGACAATTTTTTCTTCGGGGCTCAAAAAAAGGCAGTGTTTTACCTTCCTTTTTTACCAAAAATCGACTAAACCAAACATTCTCGGGAAAACACTTTTTGTTATTAATTTGGGTGCGTAGAATCCATACTTTCAAACAGTTCCAAGATTGGGCTACTAGTTCAAAAGTTACAGCCCTTTGAATTTTTTTCTAGTCTATATAACTTTTGATTGATAATAATAATAATAATAATAATAATAATAGAGATTTATTGCCCAACAGAACAGACCTTCCAATTACAGGACAATACATAATAGTTAACGCGCAATGATTTAGTGTAATAAGAAACAAAAAGAAAAAGAAAGAAACACAACAAAAAACTCAAAATCTTAACATAACTAAACAACAACAAAATAATTAAATTCATATTTCAAAAAAAAAAAACCAAATTAAATTGTCGACAAACCGCAAGTTACATTCTATGCATATAAAAATATATAAAATTGAGAAGTCTTATCGAAAAAGTACAAATTGATTTGGATTCTACACACCCAAATTAATAAGAAAAAGTGTTTTCCCGAGAAATTTTGGTGTAGTCGATTTTTGGTAAAAAAAGGAAGGTAAATAACTGCCTTTTTTTGAGCCCCAAGAAAAAATTGTCTCAGATCGACCCGGAAAAAAATTTTCTTATAGAATGTGGCCTGTAGAATTGTACTGTTCGGAATTGTAACCTTATCGACTTACTTCGGTGGAACCGGCCATTGTTAAAATAACATTTAAAAGGTTGTTAACGTTATATCAACATTGATGTGTCACTAGCGTTAACTTAACGTGCAGGTTATCTGTAGAAAACGTTATTTTGCCCATCCTAATCATAATAACAAAAGTCCCAACACAAGTGATTTTGAATTATTTTTCGTCATCACGCTGTATATTATTTCAGCGCGATTGTGGTACTTTTTGTTATCAATGTTGGTAGCATTGTAAACATAACCCCTAATTTCAAATTTGACAGGTTATGTCCGTTGATAGTTTGTGAGGTTATGTCTTTGTGAAAATGAATATTAATTAATCAACTTTTATATACCCCCATTGCGTATATAAAACTGTACATAGCGTTGATTACATATCAATCCACGACCAAGGAACGACAGAATGAAGGTCGCGATCGAAGGTTGTGCCCACGGTGAACTGGAAAACATTTACAATACGATCAAAGATATGGAAGTACAGGAGAAGATGAAGGTGGACTTGCTAATAATTTGCGGTGATTTTCAAGCGACTCGCAACGAGGGGGACTTGTACTGTATGGCCGTCCCTCCGAAATATTACGACATGTGTTCATTTTACAAGTGAGATACGCTTTCGTTTACTTTACGTCTGCACTTTGTACGTTTAGGTACTACAACGGTGACCTGAAAGCTCCCATCTTGACCATTTTCATTGGCGGCAATCACGAGGCTTCGAATTACCTACAGGAGCTACCGTACGGAGGGTGGGTCGCGCCCAACATTTATTACATGGGATATTCGTGCGTTCTGAATATTGCAGGTTTCGTCACCGCTTATTAGTCGATGTGGTACGTGTAATTTCTCTTTGTAGGTATACGGATAGGAGGTTTGTCGGGTATATATAAAAGCCATGATTACTTAAAGGGTCGTAGTGAGAAGCCGCCGTATAGCAACGACACGAAACGAAGCGTCTACCATATACGTAATTTAGACGTTTTCAGGTTGAAGCAGGTGACGGGCCCGCTCGACATTTTTATCAGTCACGACTGGCCTAGCGGCATTTGGAATTATGGCAATATTAGGCAGCTGCTCAAGTTCAAACCCTACTTTAAGTATGCTTTAACTGGGGGGGTGTCTTACATCTCGAAAATGTGTACACTCCTTCCTTATACTTTCCACTAACTAAAAAATCAATAGCCGGTCGATTACTTTTGTACCGTTTCGGTACTGTTGTGGTCCACGACGTTGCAAGTGGTGATTTTTTGCTGTAATCAATGAAAATGTGCTTATATGGGTACACACTTTGTTTGAATTTGGCGTTTCTTATTTTTAAATGTTATCCGGCTGCAAGGACCATAAATCAAACATGATCTATACCCGGTACTAATTGTCAGGCCTGTAAACAGGGTGAAGTAGCAGGAGTTGCAGGTATTTTTATAGGTGGGGCTCAAGAAAAAAAGAAGAGCCCCCAGATAATTATTATCCAAAATATTGATTGTAAATTTGCGAATTTTTTAAGAAAAAGTGTGCTTTTCGGAGGTAAAATGGGTTTTTTTTGCGGGAAAAATAAGAAAGGGCATTACGGGAAGGCGTAGGTAGCGAAACGTATGCGGGACGGCGAAACGTATGCAGGACGTCGACACGCTTCGAACGTCCCCCCCCCCCCCCCGCCCCGCCTTTCCTAGAGGAATGACAGGAAATCTGTGCGGTCGTACCGGCGAAAGGGGGGGAGGAGCACTTCCGAGGTTCGATCGCCGGCCGGCTGGGGACGGGGGGGGGGGGCGAGGAGACGCGAGTAACGTTTTTGAGGCACTTCTTCGTGATTCCTTATATTTTAATTAAACTTTCACCATCTCAAGTACGGGCCGGGACACGTCATCTGTAATTTAAAAAAAATACCTTTTGGGGGAGGAGGGGGTCGAAAATATAAAAAAGAGCGTTTTGGGATAACTGGCACTTTTTGTTCTTATTTTAGCGTTTCTTCGGAAACGAGGAGAGTTAGAACGATGCTGTTTTGACGTTGGATTCCTATGTCGATCGGTCGCGTTCTAGAATCGACGGGCGCGATTTGAACAAATGCGCGAGGCGAGGCGGAGCAGCCATGCGACACCTTCAATCGTGTGTTTTAATGTGCGAGGCGAAGCCGAGCAATGTGTCAACGGTCCTAAGCAAGCGTAAGACTAGGTGGATTTTATGCCCCCCCCCCTTCTCGATTGCCTAAACATGTCACTTTTTCATATTTTAGCGTTTCTTCGGAAACGAGGAGGTTAGAACGATGCTGTTTTGACGTTGGATTCTATGTCGATCGTCGCGTTCTAGAATCGACGGGCGCGATTTGAACAAATGCGCGAGGCGAGGCGGAGCAGCCATGCGACACCTTCAATCGTGTGTTTTAATGTGCGAGGCGAAGCCGAGCAATATGTCAACGGTCCTAAGCAAGCGTAAGACTAGGTGGATTTTATGCCCCCCCCCCCCTCTCCCCGATTGCCTAAACATGTCGCTTTTCTCATATTTTAGCGTTTCTTCGGAAACGAGGAAAGTTAGAACGATGCAGTTTTGACGTTGGATTGCTATGTCGATCGGTCGCGTTCTAGAATCGACGGGCGCGATTTGAACAAATGCGCGAGGCGAGGCGGAGCAGCCATGCGACACCTTCAATCGTGTGTTTTAATGTGCGAGGCGAAGCCGAGCAATGTGTCAACGGTCCTAAGCAACCGTAAGACTAGGTGGATTTTATGCCCCCCCCCCTTCCTCCCTCCCCAATTGCCTAAGCATGTCGCTTTTTTCATATTTTAGCGTTTCTTCGGAAACGAGGAGAGTTAGAACGATGCAGTTTTTACGTTGGATTCCTATATCGATCGGTCGCGTTCTAGAATCGACGGGCGCGATTTGAACACATGCGCGAGGCGAGGCGGAGCAGCCATGCGACACCTTCAATCATGTGTTTTAATGTGCGAGGCGAAGCCGAGCAATGTGTCAACGGTCCTAAGCAACCGTAAGACTAGGTGGATTTTATGCCCCCCCCTTCCTCCCTCCCCAATTGCCTAAACATGTCGCTTTTTTCATATTTTAGCGTTTCTCCGGAAACGAGGAGAGTTAGAACGATGCAGTTTTGACGTTGGATTCCTATGTCGATCGGTCGCGTTCTAGAATCGACGGGCGCGATTTGAACAAATGCGCGAGGCGAGGCGGAGCAGCCATGCGACACCTTCAATCATGTGTTTTAATGTTAGCCGAGCAATGTGTCAACGGTCCTAAGCAAGCGTAAGACTAGGTGGATTGCGCTAAAAATCGCACTACGCATGCGCAAAATGCAACTTTATTATTTATGAAGCAATTTGAACGAAATTTGTATGGTGGGTCCCTCTAATGAAGGCAAACAAAATTCGTACGCAAAAATCGGGATGCGCAAAACGCAAGTGTAATCGGAGCGAGGCGAGGCGGTTAAGCATTAGGTGCTAATTATGTGCCCTATTCCCGAATTAAATGCTCCTTTTTTTTTAAATTATGAACCTGGAAAAACATGTAATAATTTAAAAAAAAAGGAGCATTTAATTCATGCACCTAATTAGCATCTAATTATAGTTAGTTTGAATATTTAAAATTATACAGGGTGCACCCACAAAGTAGGGCGCCAAAATGGTAAATTTTTTTTAATAGAACCCCTGTAATTGAATGCATTTTTTATTTCTACGTGTAATTGTACGTTTTTTTATTATATGGTTAATATCCGAGAAACTAGTAGTTTAAGTGCACTCAAAAATACTTAATTTTATCCAAAATCGTCCTGAAACCTTCATGTTCATGCCTACTTTCTGTCAGGAAATTGTAGTTCCCATGACAGAGGCAGAGCAAACTACGTTTCCTGTCGTTTGTCACTTTACTGGCCGCAACTGTCACTTTACCGGCCGCACCGTTATTTTACCGGCGGCATCTGTGACATTACTAAACATCTATAATGACTCCTGTCACCACTGCATCCTGGGCACTCTCCCGGCGGAAAAACAGACGAAATTTATTTTTTATAGTTATTGTTTTCTTTGTTTTTAAATATTTCGTTTAATTAAAGTTTATTTATTTTATCAAAAAAACTTCCCATTTTTTAAAAAAAGTTCTATAAGTATAAAAATTGAAATTTTATATTAAAATTTGATTTTGGGTAAAATTTAATACAAAACTCGTCAGTAAAATGACACTACTTGACTCGGAAATTAAAGTGCCTACGCGAGACGTTGTTATAATGTAGCCGAAGCTGCGGCCGCCGTAGTCCAATATTCGCTTCCCACAAAGTCAAGAAAGAGGTACGAAAAGGCGTACAAACCTTTTAATGACTGGCGCAAAACTAAAGAAATAATTACTTCCACACATATTCCATTAATTGTTAGTAATTAGTTTCAGGTACATATTTGTATTCCCTTGTTTATTCGGTTTTCTGAACATCCCCTGTAATTTCTCAAAAATGTTGTACATCGTTCCCGAGAGTGAAACACCCCTTGCTTTTAACTTGCGAATGTCCGTGTCTTTACCGATGATTGCAGGGACGATATGGAGTCCGGTAAATTGGGTAGCAAGCCCTGCGAGGAATTGCTGAAGTATTTACAGCCGAGCTACTATTTCGCCGCGCACTTGCACTGTAAATTTGCGGCGTTGTTCAAGCACGACAGCAAGCGCGTCACCAAATTCCTGTCTCTCGACAAGTGTCTGCCCCAGAAGCGATTTTTACAGTTCGTCGACGTTCCGCACGGCCCGGATTCGAAAATCGAACTAAAATACGACCTGGAGTGGCTCACGATCCTATCCCTGACCAATCACTTGGTCAGCGTCAAATCGGGCATCAACTACATGCCGAGCTGCACCGGTACGTCGACGCGATGGGAGTTTAATCCGAGCGAAGCGGAAAAGTCGGCGGTTTATAGGAAATTCTCGGAAAATCTGGTGATACCTCACAACTTTACGAAAACGGCCAAAGGGCACGTCGAAGGGCCGTTGCAGCGCAAGTTCTCACACCAGCCGAGGCCGAAACTCAACCCTCAGACTACCTTATTTTGCAAGACGCTGAACGTAGACGATCCCATGGTGCTTTTAGGCGCACTGGACGAGACCGACGGCAGATTGGAAAGCGGCGACAGCGCCGATTCCACCGACAGCGAAGGCTCCACCGACAGCGAAGTTGAGGACGACGCCGTCATATACGAAACGTTCATAAGTACTATGCCGACGAAATTCAAATTGCCGAAGCCGAAGGTCGAGCAGCCTGATTTAAGTGCAATGACCAACACGTCACCTGTTCCCAACGAACCAGACTCAATTGCGGTTGAAAATGACAGCAGTACTCCGTCGCATCCAAAAAAATTCAAGGGGCGAAATGCGAGTCTGTACGAAACTGAAGATACATAAACCGAAAGAGGGGGATGATTAATTTTAGGTTTAAGAATTTGTGTAATTTTGTTGAAAGGGATGTCAATTCTGCGCGGTACAAATTTTTAGTGTAAATACGGAAATTTTAATTATATTTTATTTTGTACTTTTGGTTTTATTAAACCTGGGGGCGAAGGAGGTAGAAGGGAAGGGCTGGAAGAAAGTGGGAGCGGTAAAGAGTGAAGGGTGGGAAACGGAACCAACGAAATTTCCGCGACTAGCGTTCTTTATAAACAAAAGTTATAGACTAGAAACCAATTTCGAAAAAAAAACAAAGGGCTGTAACTTTTGAACTAGTAGCCCAATCTTGGAACTGTTTGAAATTATGGATTCTACAGGCCACATTCTATAAGAAAATGTTTTTTTCCCGGTCGATCTGAGACAATTTTTTTTCGGGGCTCAAAAAAAGGCAGTGTATAACCTTCCTTTTTTACCAAAAATCGACTGCACCAATATTTCTCGGGAAAACACTTTTTCTTATTAATTTTGGTGCGTAGAATCCAAAACAATTCGTACTTTTTCGATCAGACTTCTCAATCAAAAGTTATAGACTAGAACCAATTTCGAAAGAAAATTCAAAGGGCTGTAACTTTTGAACTAGTAGCCCAATCTTGGAACTGTTTGAAATTATGGATTCTACAGGCCACATTCTATAAGAAAATTTTTTTCCGGGTGGATCTGAGACAATTTTTTTTGAGGGCCTCAAAAAAAGGCAGTGTACAACCTTCCTTTTTTACCAAAAATCGACTGCACCAAAATTTCTCGGGAAACACTTTTTCTTATTAATTTTGGTGCGTAGAATCCAAAACAATTCGTACTTTTTCGATCAGACTTCTCAATCAAAAGTTATAGACTAGAAACAAATTTCGAAAAAAAATTCAAAGGGCTGTAACTTTTGAACTAGTAGCCCAATCTTGGAACTGTTTGAAATTATGGATTCTACAGGTCACATTCTATAAGAAAATGTTTTTCCCGGATCGATCCGAGACAATTTTTTCTTTGGGGCTCAAAAAAAGGCAATGTTTTACCTTCCTTTTTTTTTACCAAAAATCGGCTACACCAAAATTTCTCGGGAAAACACTTTTTCTTATTAATTTTGGTGCGTAGAATCCAAAACAATTCGTACTTTCGATTGGACCTCTCCATCAAAAGTTATAGACTAGAAACCAATTTCGAAAAAAAATTCAAAGGGCTGTAACTTTTGAACTAGTAGCCCAATCTTGGAACTGTTTCAAATTATGGATTCTACAGGCTACTTACTTCTGGTATTTTCACCTGTAGATACGTTTCGTGTTACATCAATTAAAGTTGACGTTGGAGTAGAGTGTAGAGCTGTGTTTTTTGTTTTTTTATGTACACGCAATTTACCAATTAACGAGTTGTTTTGTCTATAAATTGATCGTAGACGTGTTTTTATGTATTCTGCCCGTTCTGGTTTATTTACCGCATTTGATTCTATACCTAATTTTTTGTAAACGTTTAGAGATGTTTGATTTGTATATTTTTCTCTTTTGCATTTTGTTGTAGTGGATTTTTTTTGTATTTGTGTGTTATGCCAGGTTTTTTTAATCTATAAAAGGCTTTCCTGGTAGATTTTCCACAGAAGTCGATTCGTTTATAGTCTTACAGATACTTACGTCGTTCCAACTTACCATAGGGTTAGCACCACCAAGCGTCTTTAAATACTTTACTATCCCTTTTAGCAAATAAACAATTGGGAAAAAATAGCTGAAAAGCAACAGGGTTAATGTCACACTCCCATCAAGAAAATCGATAGAACTTTTCGCACATTTTATTTTACCTCAAACCACAATAACAAAGAGTGATAGGAAATCGCAAAAGCAAGCCATTTGCATACAAAACTAACGGTACTGATATCAAACCACAAAGACAACTACACTTTAGGTATGCTAAATTGACACTTAGGTCAATGGAACCGATTACGTTACCAAACAAAATTCAATTTACAATGAAAATAATCGCTAAGCTGAGTGAACATGTGAACAGCCTGCATAAAAGTTCGACTTGCACCTGGAGACTCCACCAGAACGTTTACAGAATTTGCTCGAATCACTCCAGCGCGCACGGACCGCTTACAGAACTGGCAGTTGTCTTCCTTACGTCAACCAGTTCTGCGCCGGATGAATAATAATGCTCAATCGGTTAAAAAGTGGCGTAACCTATCTCGTAAAAGAACGTAGTTGGTGTAGATTTAAAATATTCGCTTACCAATGACGTAGGAGCTACGTGCAACTTTCAGATGAAACTACATTGAATAACGGTGGACAATCAGTTCACCAATAAACGCTACTACAGATAATGCAACACCAACACAGAATATAATAAAAATTCCACTCAAGTGCTCAAAGGATAACGCTACCACCTCTTCTTCCTGCGGTAGTTCCCTTTGTCTACAATCGGCGTGAAATTTGTAATCGCTGTCTACTTTATCGTAGAACCCGTTCTCTGTCAACGTTTCGATGATTGTGTTCAAACTGTTGATAATGCAGCTACTTGCCAGAGATGAAAATGTCTGCATCATGGGAGGTAAAATGTGATTATCGATAAAATAATTTGGAGTACGCAATCGTAAATTCAGTGCTTGTAGTGTTTTCAATGGGATAGCGATAGAGAAATTTGAATCTGCATACCAACCCTCCAGCAATACACGGGTATTCCTCGAGTTCATTAGACATGGATTTGCCAATATTTTGTTGTATATGTCTTCAAATTCTCGATTCCGATGCGCATTTAAGACGAATGTGGCACTTTGATCGAAGCAAATTGGGATATTAGCCTCTAGCAGTTCCTTTAAATTTTGTATAGGTTTCCTTACTGGAGGTGAAGTCATTAGCCGCATTAAGTTTGAGACGTACACTGTTTGTATGTGCACACTGTATATAATGTAGCATAGAATCACAAATCTTAATCTTGAAGATTCGGTAATGCGACTGGTGCTTCCAGATAGCGTGATCCCAAAAGTCTTCAGAACAATTTCACTTAAGCTTGTTTTGCATTTGTCCAAAACGTACCAAGTTATGGTAAATACCGCAAAAATCACCGAAACTAATATCCAAACTTCCTTATCAAAGTTGACTGCCAAAATTTCCAATGGCGAAATGGCATTCGTTTGTGGAACTACCCACACTACGATATCCCGTGTATAGACGTGACTCTCACGACTACCTCCCCTGCCAGAGTTAATTAGTAGTGCATCAGATACGCTAATTATGTTTTGATGCTTTTGAGGATTTTTTAAAGAAACATTCAATATTTCAACTGCGAACTCAATTGTCAGACTCCTACGATTAAATTGACCCAAGTATTTCGCGGCGTTCATCAGGCCACTAGATCGGAAATAGATGGGACATCCTTGGTAATTTCTTATAGTACGCGGAATTGTGTCAGTGATCGCATCGTCACAGTTTTGCAGATGCATTTTGTTTAGGGCTTTCCCGCAATAATTCTGAAAATCGTACGGATCAGCCGTAAATAAGAGCGATTTTGTATCGTCATACTTGTCAATCACCAAGACTGCGAGAAGTATCAAGTTCTCATACCACAGCATACTGAAAATCTGTTCAACTAGCGATATCTGATCGGTGATCACGAGAAATCTTCTATTGTCGTAATTATGCACGTTCGACGTGTATGAATGTTTCAAATCCATACCGATCTTTTTAAAAAAAATCATATTTCTCACTTCAAATACGAAATTGTACGAAATGGCCCTTTTCATGCGAGGCTGGAGACGATTAGTATTAATGATAATCCTTGGGTTACTAATATTGAACGGTAACAGGTGACTACTTTCATCGAAAATAAAGTAAAGGCTTTCTTCCCCAAAATTTGTTCGGATCATTTTTTCTGTACATACCTGCGACGACACCTGATTATTCTTCAATGCACTGCTACTTGTACTATTTAAATTAGCTGCAAAAATGACACAAAATACAAATGTTTTACATTTCATTGTCGTGTTGCTTTTATTACGTACTACACACGAACTAAATCGCTACGTACTGAGTGACAATTGGAAAAATCCATTTGCTGTGTGGGTAAACTGTATTATACGCTAATGTGTTTACCTTTACCGTACAGACTGAAAGCACTTTACGGCATAATAACTACGTTCTATTATATTGTATTTATTCAGTAAAGTGACTTTTTATAATAACTGAATCGATATGGACTTAGTAATGAGACAAATATATTAAAATACTGGAAAACAGAGGGAAACTGAGGTTCGCTTTTCCTTTTAACGCTTAATGTTTTATTCAAGGCTTCTAAAAAATCGGAGAGGAAATACTATTTGAAAACGTCATAAAGATCGAGAGATTTCTGCACTTGAGCAGCCATGAAAATCGCGCGGACTAACTTTAGGCGTTCACAGTCGCTACCCGTGTTTTTAGCGTATTTTCCTCAAAGTGAAAAATCGCTATTGACTGCACTTTAACGTCCGTCCGTCCGTCATACGTACTCCTTCTAAACCACTTAACCGATTTTGGCGATATAGGACCCATTTGAAAGGGCTTGGTAGGATTTCGTGCATTCCCATATTTTTTGGTTTTGCGCATGCGCAGTGTCAAAAATTTGGTTTAGCGGATGTGCGATGCTAACTTTTTAGCGTAATCTCAAAGCTATTGGCTGCACTTTGGCGTCCATCCGTCCGTCTGTCCGTCACACGTACTCCTTCTAAACCACTTAACCGATTTTGGCGATATAGGACTCATTTGAAAGGGCTCGGTCCAAGGACTCCGTGCATACCCATATTTTTTGGTTTAGCGCATGCGCAGTGTTAAAAATTTGGTTTAGCTCATGTGCGATGCGAACTGTTTAGCGTAATTTCCTCAAAGCGAAAAATCGCTGTTGACTGCACTTTGACGTCCGCCCGTCTGTCACACGTACTCCTTCTAAACCACTTAACCGATTTTGGCGATATAGGACCCATTTGAAAGGGCTTGGTCTAAGGATTTCGTGCATTCCCATATTTTTTGGTTTTGCGCATGCGCAGTGTCAAAAATTTGGTTTAGCGGATGTGCGATGCTAACTTTTTAGCGTAATCTCAAAGCTATTGGCTGCACTTTGACGTCCATCCGTCCGTCCGTCCGTCACACGTACTCCTTCTAAACCACTTAACCGAATTTGGCGATATAGTACTCATTTGAAAGGGCTCGGTCCAAGGACTCCGTGCATACTCATATTTTTTGGTTTTGCGCATGCGCAGTGTCAAAAATTTTGTTTAGCGCATGTGCGATGCGAACTTTTTAGCGTATTTTCCTCAAAGCGAAAAATCGTTATTGGCTGCACTTTGACGTCTATCCGTCCGCCCGTCCGTCACACGTACTCCTTCTAAACCACTTAACCGATTTTGGCGATATAGGACTCATTTGAAAGGGATCGGTCCAAGGACTCTGTGCATACTCATATTTTTTGGTTTTGCGCAAGCGCAGTGTCAAAAATTTGGTTTAGCGCATGTGCGATGCTAACTTTTTAGCTTAATTTCTTCAAAGCGAAAAATCGCTATTGACTGCACTTTGACGTCCGTCCGCCCGTCACACGTACTCCGTCTAAACCACTTAACTGATTATGGCGAAATAGGACTCATTTGAAAGGGCTTGGTCTAAGAATACCGTGCATACCTATATTTTCTGGTTTTGCGCATGCGCAGTGTCAAAAATTTGGTTTAGCGCATGTATGCTAACTTTTTAGCGTAATTTCCTCAAAGTGAAAAATCGCTATTGGCTGCACTTTGACGTCTATCCGTCCGTCCGTCCGTCACACGTACTCCTTCTAAATCACTTAACCGATTTTGGCGATATAGGACTCATTTGAAAGGGCTCGATCCAAGGACTCCGTGCATACTCATATTTTTTGGTTTTGCGCATGCGCAGTGTCAAAAATTTGGTTTAACGCATGTGCAATGGTAACTTTCTTATTTATGAAAGCAGTAAAACTAATACCGATTTCAAAAACACTGTTAACGCATGCTGTATGTTTTATTAATGAAGGTATTCATTGAAATTTCTAATGTAGACAATGCGCAATGCTATTTACGAAAGCATTTATGAAATGTTCCATATGTAGACATTTCGAATGAAAGTAAAACTAATGCCCATTTCAAAATTTGTATGCATTTGTATACGCTCCACTATTTTTCATTAAACTATAGCTTCGACGATAGGCGGCTCATTTGAAAGAGAATGGGGTAAGGATCTCGTGCCTACCGGTATTTTTTCCTGGTCCTAGCATTAATATTATTAGGAGGAAAATACGCTCTCGTCATTTAGTTTTGCATAATGAATTTTTAAACTTGTTCTTTTTTCTTTGTGCTTAGCTATTTATGTAAGACAAAAACGGAACCAACGCAATTTCCGCGACTATCGTCCTCTTTAAACCAATAGCAAACCAGCATATTTTGTTTACACTCCCTTTTGTCTCGGCCAAACCGGATCACCGAAGCAGCTATCTTGGTAACAATCGACGCGCACGTACAAAGCGGTACACAGGCAAATTTACGCGTATAAAAAATTATATTTTATCAAGTTTATCTATAATGAAAATGAGGCTGCCAGGCGAAATTAGTTTATCTGTAGATATCGAAAATTGTTGACCTTGCCCCCATACAACCGAACTTCTCACTTTGAAGATGACTGTCCAAACGATTGCAGTGGCGATTGCTCTTTTAGGTCAGCTTTCAGGTGTTTCCTCCGAACGACACTTGAGCTGGAGAGTAATCGGGGGACAAGACGCCGAAGATGGTTTGTACCCTTACCAGGTGTCGGTAAGGCATCAGGGGTACGCGTCGAGGAAAGTCAACGAAACCCACTGTCGAGATGAGTAAGTTTTGATCAGTGAGCTGTAGACAAACGAGTTCCGCTTAGTTTTTCAGCAGACTACCACTTTGGTTTCCACACCTGTGGGGGTTCTATCATCAGCAGCGAATACGTTCTTACCGCTGCGCATTGTGTTTCTTAGTAAGGCTCATTTCGATTGACACTTGATCAAATTACTTTTAGTGAGAAACCCGTAACGTTCCTGGTCGTGGTAGGCACAAACACCCTCAATTCCGGCGGTGAAGCGTACGCAGTAACGGAAATCCACTGGCACGAGGATTTCAGTATGTGGCATGGCCAGAATGACGTCGCCGTGTTGAAAGTATCACCCCCTATCGAATTCGCAGACAACATAAGACCCGTACGCGTGGACGAAGACATCGAGGTCGAAGTTTTGGACGAAGTCACCCTGAGTGGTTGGGGCACCACCGATCGTACCAGCATGACGCCCAACAAGCTGCAGCACATTAAGCTCAGATTGCTCGACGTGGATTACTGCGACAGTCAGCACCAGCTGGCGGTCACCGATAGTCAACTGTGCACGTCCACCTTTCATGGGAAGGGCGCTTGCAAGGGGGATTCCGGCGGGCCTCTCGTGAAGGTACACTCAAATAATGGAACCCGCCAGATTGGAATCGTGTCGTTTAGTCGTAACTGTGCGGCCGGGTACCCGGACGTTTACGCAAGAGTTGCCAGCTATATACCGTGGATTAAAGAAAAGTGCAATAATTGTATTTAAATGACATACCTAAAGTAAATTTTTCACAAACAAATCTTTTTTGTTTTTAGTGATAACTGTGAAATCCTATTAACCAAAGGCCGTTCACTACACACGTATAAATGAATAACAATAATGAGTGAATATTTAATTAAACAAAAAATAATCTTTTACATTCTTGACACACTATGTTCTATGGTAATGTTACTCTCTAACTGCTGCCAACTTCCTAACTGCTGACAACACTAAACTAATAATTTCATTGTATTTCACAATAACATTATCGCGTGTTTGGACATATTACCTACTCCGCACGCAGACAGTCGACATATAAAATAAGAAATTCTTAAATTACTTCTAGTTTTTTTCTTTACTTCATTTTATAACGCAAAATTAGATGACAAACAAAACTGGCTTGATGAAAATTTACGGTGACTGTTCGGACAGTAGACACTTTTAATAAAAAGAGAACCTTACCAAAGGCTTTGCTGTACTGCACTGCTATTCAAAACTTGTTTCGAAATCGAACACGCGTTAAATGTCTCGAACAACTTTGCTGAACGGTATTTTTTGTTATAAAATGTTACTTTTGAAACTTTACGAAACCTCACATCTACCATAAAAAAGCCTCCTTCTTTATGAAATTTCAAATAAATCGCCAATCACAACGGAACGCGCCTAACGTCCCCCCCCCCCCACTTCTCCAAAATGAAACGCGTAATTCTTCGAAACACTTACATCTCCTCGTTGTCAGCACCAGATGTGCTAAAACTCCTTATCGCAAATGACCAGATGTGTCTTACACCTTATTTAAATTAAATGATTAACAAATGCGCTAGAATTTAAATGAAAGTACTCATTTCCAAGATTTCTAAAAGGAAAAATGAACACTGAAATACAAATTCAAATGAAACGAATGTGGCCTGTAGAATCCATAATTTCAAACAGTTCCAAGATTGGGCTACTAGTTCAAAAGTTACAGCCCTTTGAATTTTTTTTCGAAATTGGTTTCTAGTCTATAACATTTGATCGAGAAGTCTAATCGAAAAAGTACGAATTGTTTTGGATTCTACGCCCCAAAATTAATAAGAAAAAGTGTTTTCCCGAGAAATTTTGGTGCAGTCGATTTTTGGTAAAAAAGGAAGGTTATACACTGCCTTTTTTTGAGGCCCCGAAAAAAAAATTGTCTCAGATCGACCCGGAAAAAAATTTTCTTATAGAATGTGGCCTGTAGAATCCATAATTTCAAACAGTTCCAAGATTGGGCTACTAGTTCAAAAGTTACAGCCCTTTGAATTTTTTTCGAAATTGGTTTCTAGTCTATAACTTTTGATTGAGAAGTCTAATCGAAAAAGTACGAATTGTTTTGGATTCTACGCACCAAAATTAATAAGAAAAAGTGTTTTCCCGAGAAATTTTGGTGCAGTCGATTTTTGGTAAAAAAGGAAGGTTATACACTGCCTTTTTTTGAGCTTCGAAAAAAAAATTGTCTCAGATCGATCCGGAAAAAAATTTTCTTATAGAATGTGGCCTGTAGAATCCATAATTTCAAACAGTTCCAAGATTGGGCGACTAGTTCAAAAGTTACAGCCCTTTGAATTTTTTTTCGAAATTGGTTTCTAGTCTATAACTTTTGATTGAGAAGTCTAATCGAAAAAGTACGAATTGTTTTGGATTCTACGCACCAAAATTAATAAGAAAAAGTGTTTTCCCGAGAAATTTTGGTGCAGTCGATTTTTGGTAAAAAAGGAAGGTTATACACTGCCTTTTTTTGAACTTCGAAAAAAAAAGTGTCTCAGATCGATCCGGAAAAAAATTTTTCTTATAGAATGTGGCCTGTAGAATCCATAATTTCAAACAGTTCCAAGATTGGGCTACTAGTTCAAAAGTTACAGCCCTTTGAATTTTCTTTCGAAATTGGTTTCTAGTCTATAACTTTTGATTGAGAAGTCTGATCGAAAAAGTACGAATTGTTTTGGATTCTACGCACCCAAATTAATAAGAAAAAGTGTTTTCCCGAGAAATTTTGGTGTAGTCGATTTTTGGTAAAAAAGGAAGGTTATACACTGCCTTTTTTTGAGCTTTGAAAAAAAAATTGTCGCAGATCGATCCGGAAAAAAAATTTTTCTTATAGAATGTGGCCTGTAGAATCCATAATTTCAAACAGTTCCAAAATTGGGCTACTAGTTCAAAAGTTACAGCCCTTTGAATGCTACTGAATGGCTGCTAACAAAAACCCTTTGGTTTAAACTTAACCTGCTACGATTTTTGTCTTACAAATACTCTATACGTCATTGTTCTTTGCGTTCTTCTGAGAAGAGCACAAGGGCGCCATTCGATGTTAAGAGGCGTCGCGCCGCGGGACGTACGGCACTAGGATACAAAGACGCGGGCGCGTTACCAAAAAAACCTTCCCGATAACGCTAAAGAGCATGTCTGGGACCACCAGCTTGGACTAGAAGACATTTAAATCGGAGCAACTGTCATATCAGTGCTGCTGGTGTGAAATCCGAAGTCACACTATGAGATATGTGACGAATACATTATGTTGTTTTCTGTATTTATTATGGAACGCGTCCGGGGAAAAAGGTTGCAGAAAAAAGGACCAAGCTGATAAAAAAGAAGATATTTATTTATAGGTGCACATTACATATGCCCCACCTTAAAAGGCACACTGCTGATAAATGCTCGAAAAATCGATTTGTCTGGATTTGTTTCCCGAAATAACCCACACGGTTCCCCCCTTTCCTTCAAGCATCACCTTCACAATGATCTTCGCGCAGTCGTCCGCCCTGAAAAATCCCGTTCATATTGAGCGACGTAAAACTTTACTTACGATTGCAGCACCGCCTTCTCTACAAATTCCTTATAGATCTCATGACTGTTTGGACAGAAGGAGTTCGTAACCACCTCCGTTGGATCCATATCAGTGACCGTCGCCCCGGGACACACAGTGAGAACCTTTACGTCGTTGTGGTCCTCGTAAATCGAGTTGCCCAAGCAACGGCCCATCATGGCTATAAACGACTTGGTGGCCGCGTACACGGGGAGTGGAGGTACCGGATATACACCACTTATGGAGGATAGATTTACAATCGTGCCCCCTCGACCATTTCGCTTCGTGCTCATATATTCCAACCCCCTGAGTGTTCCATGAACCGTTCCCATCTGACAATGACTAGGTATTCAGAGGGTTAATCCAAGAAGAACGCACTTACGCAGTTCGTCAAGATCGAAGGTTCCCAGTTCTGCTCTTCCGCAATTCCCGCATTATTGATCACTATGTCGAGGTGTTTCCAGTGCGCGACAGATTTCTTGAAGGCCTCCTCCACTTGGTTACCTTTCGAAATGTCCGCCTCAATAAAAATCACCTTTTCCACTCCGAATTCATCTTGAAGATTATCGGTAGATTTCCGGCCAGCGGCCACGTCGATATCGACTAAGGTTACCCCCTTCGATCTAATTTAGCCATCCTTTAAAACTCCATTCGAGTACTTACCTCAATTCCGTTGATAAGAAGTTGTTTAATGCAAGCGAAGCCGATCCCTCGAGCACCCCCGGTTACCAATGCAAATTTCTTGTCCAAGCCGCACATATTTTCGTTTTCGCTCTGTCCACATTTGGGTCTAGTCCATTTGCTATCAGCACTTTTATTTATCTCATTGAATAAATGTCAAGGTCAAGGGTGTGAGGTTTCCTAACATCCCACACTTTCAGACTTAATTGACTTGGAGAGCAATTATTGTGTAATTATAAATATGATTCAGGGGCAAACTAGAATTAGCCCAAGGATTGTTTATTCTTAAAAGATCAAAATTGTTGGTCTACTTACGTATTTGTTTGCAGGAAAGAAATAGGGCCCGTTTCGGTACCCCCTTCTTATTCTAGTTCGCTTCAAACCTAGATCTATCAAAACTTTGGACGATTGGCGGAGATGGGGGGTAGGGTATTCCATACACCCCCCAGACTCCCGGTTTTACATTCTTTCCCAAAACCTATAACCATCTAACGTAAGACAGGAGACAATCTCTGGTGTATGGAATTTTCGATGGCCGTTTATAGAAAACCTATCAAAATGTTCGGACACTTCTTGAACTATTTAGAAGTTTTCTCTAATCTTTGGGTCTTTTTGGGATATATAAAATTTAGGATTGAACGTATGATGTTTTCGCGAAGTTGTTGAGGTTTGAACTATCTACAGCACTCAGGGTCTATTACAATCACGCACATGCGATCGATTGAAACAGATTAAATGTCTCTAATTACGACATTCGCTTTTGAGGTAGTACCAACCTAAACGGGAAAACAAAAAATAACTAGGACCGGGCTGATGTTAGGTACATTCGCTTTTTTTTCGAAAATAATGGCACCGGGACCAATTCTCATCCCCTTTTTGGAAAATAGCCCTAAACCCCGACAAATTCGTCCCCGAAGTTGACAAATTGCGCAAGTGTGTGAGTGAGTGAGTTTTGCACGCGGAGGATAAGGGCGCCGTGGAGGCCCAAGGGCCCACCTAAAACCCTCTTCCTGTAGTTTTTCGAAAAGTGCCCCACAGTTCGAGAAATTCCCTTTTGGTTGGTCAATGGCGCGGTATACGAATAATGCAAGTTGCAATTCAAAATTGATTTATTAAAATTGAGTGAGTTTTTCACGCGAAGGATAAGGGCGCCGTGGAGGCCCAAGGGCCCACTTAAAACCCTCTACCTGTAGTTTTTCGAAAAGTGCCCCACAGTTCGAGAAGTTCCCTTTTGGTTGGTCAATGGCGCGGTATACGAATAATGCAAGTTGCAATTCAAAATTGATTTATTAAAATTGAGTGAGTTTTTCACGCGAAGGATAAGGGCGCCGTGGAGGCCCAAGGGCCCACTTAAAACCCTCTACCTGTTGTTTTTCGAAAAGTGCCCCACAGTTCGAGAAATTCCCTTTTGGTTGGTCAATGGCGCGGTATACGAATAATGCAAGTTGCAATTCAAAATTGAGTTATTAAAATTGAGTAAGTTAGGCACGCGGAGGATAAGGGCGCCGTGGAGGCCCAAGGGGCCACCTAAAACCCCCTACCTGTAGTTTTTCGAAAAGTGCCCCACAGTTCGAGAAATTCCCTTTTGTTTGGTCAATGGCGCGGTTTTAAATTATTTTATTTTATGGTGGATGACAATGTTTAAAGCGCGGTTATTTTGGGCAGTCGGCCCTCTACAGTCTACAGGATACTTTATTCCAGTATTGTTGTTTTAATTTCTTTTACGTTTTGCGGAACAAATCTTTGTCTTTGTCAATTAATTGTGTGTTTAATTGAATCCAAAGTGCGATGAAGTCGAAACACGATGAATTGTCGGAAGAGGGTACTCATAAAAGGCAAGTGGAACGTCAGGACGAGACATGTCTATTGGTGATGTCAAAGATTTCAGTGCAAATATCTGCAGAATGGAGTGTCGGGGGATGCCAGGCGGTCTCTAAATGTTTATGTGTTAAGGGTGTCCTCCCTATTAATCATCTACCAAGAAAGTAATCATCGATAGCATGCTACTACCTTATCCAACCATTTACTAAGCTATTTCAGTTTGAAAAAAATGCGCTTTATCTCGATTTTTTGGGGTAGCTTTTGGAGCCTTTAAAGGGCCATCAATTCATAACCGATAAAAAGTTTAATGACCAGAACCCGAACGGGTTATTTACCAATGTCCAATAAAAAGTGAATAAACTGACATCGTTTAATTACTCGTTTGTGCGTCTCCTTTCTTTCAATTACATCATCGTCCATCGATAACGTGTCGTGCAGGTTTTTTATTACAAGTACTTACAAGCGGCTATTAAAACATATTTGAGTAATTACTAATCACGGAACTCATCAATGCCAAAAATTATTTAATCATCTTCTATTGGAGGAAGAGGAGATCGTGCTTACACTCTCAAATTTTAAGAACTCACGTTTTTTGTCTCTCAGGCTGCCATTAATCAGTTGGGTATAATTGTACCTTTCATCTTTGACATTTGTTGATGGAAGACAGTGTAGTAGAGCAGAGAGAGGACTAATTATTTTAATTGAATCGATAATTACCATTAATAAGAATGAGTTCAGCTCAGTTTTGGATAATTGACCGTTAATTGATTGTGAAACAGGAATAGTAGGCCATCAGATTTAACCCCAAAATGATGTCATTTTTTTTGTGCGCGCCGAGAACAGGTCCACGCGCCTCCACCATTGAGGTATATATTTGAAATTGCACCAAACCGAAGGAACAGTTCTACCTCTACCACGCGATGGGTTTACACGTTTTGCTACCGTTGCTGATCTGTTCCGTTGTAAGCGCGAGGGTGTACAAGCGGTGCGAGTTGGCGCGCGAGCTTCTGGAAGTGCACGAAATACCAAAGGCCCAACTGGCCACCTGGGTCTGCATCGCAAATTACGAATCGCACTACAACACTTCGGCCCACAATTCGAGGAGCGGCGACCATGGTCTGTTTCAGATCAGCGAACTGTACTGGTGCTCGCCGCCGGGCGAAGGTTTGGCCTGCGGGGTCTCCTGCGCCGAGCTGAAGGACGACGACATCGAGGACGACGTCGTTTGCGCGCGTAGAATTTTCCGACAGCACCAGAGGCTTACGGGCGACGGCTTTAACGCGTGGGCGGTTTACAAGCGGCACTGCAACGACAAGGAGCACGTCAGATCGTTTCTGCGGGGATGCTCCGAGACCAACGGCCCAAAAGCTGGCGCGAAGAATGCCAATAATCTTGACCCAGACGAAGCAACGCAGGGTGACGTTTCGATCAAGCTGTTAATACTCAGCGAAAAACCGCGCGCGGTCTCTCGACAGAAAAAGGCGAAAAGTTTCAGAAAGTCAACGTCTTTAGACGAAATGGAAGCGGACCGAATTCCGATTTCGACCGTCTCTAAGCACACCAACTTCAAACCGACGATTCATCTGTTGAGTTAAGAGTGAAATTTTGGCCATCTCCAAGAAACCCGTAAGTGACTCACTGATGCGCACTGGTGATCTTTGCAAATAAAATGTGTACACGTCCACGGTATGTTTGAGAAAATAAAGAGTTTTTTTACGAGCTACGGGGAATGCATTTTTTGTTCGACGTACGCTTTTCCAGGTGTCATGTCCAAAATTAGCCGGTTGCTCATTCCGTTTATTCGCAGTTCTTCGAATCGTGATGAGGGTACGACTATAGTGATGCGGTTTTGCAGGGCGACACGTGAATTCGTTGATCTTTTGACAACAACAATTTGCATTCATTCTCCCTCACCTACTCAATCGCAGTTCGTTCCTTGCTTTCTCTCTCTCGCTTTCACTGTCACTTTCACTAACCCGAAACCACCACAAAAGTTTAGGTTGCTTTTTGCGGTAGCGATGAGATCGTAGATTGTTGGTTGATGAAGGCGATGATGACAAAGAACGACGCAATTTACGTCGCTTGAATGATGCAGACATGAGAACTACGATGAAGACTTTCACGGGGATCTTTAAATTAATTTCGGCGAAGTGACATGGTGCTTTTTAACAGCCACGTTCGTGTTGACGGTTGTACGACATCTTCTATTCGATTGTACGCATATTACCAACCAGTGGGTAGGGTATACGATTTTTCGACATTTAAGTCAATTACTTATCTTTCCCAATACCTTTCCTTTCTTCCCATCATTTTGTTTCATCTGTTCAACCCCTGTTGCCATTATTACTGTGTCATCAGCGTATGCCACGGACTATATCTTCCTTCTTCCCAATACTATTCCTCCGTTACACCCTTGTAATATTTTTTGCCCAGGGGGGAGGGGGGAGGGGGGTACACACATTTTACCCTTCACGGTATTCTAATGAAATTTCTCATCGAAATAAATTGGTTTGTACAAAGTATAACTTTCCCGTGTGACTCTTTTTCGAGATCAGAGAGCAATGGGGCCTGAGAGGGGGGGGGGGTTATAAATTAATGTTATCTTTCACGGTAGTCTAATTAAATGTCTTAACGAAGGGAACCGTTTTCTATACCAACTGCTGCTGACTTTCTGACCCCTTATTCTTGTCTCTCGCCCTTTTTTCCAATTCCTTCTCCACGAATCTGCGCAATACCTATATACAGTCGATCGTTCCCCTCCCATTGTTGGGCTCCTTCTAACACCCTCTTCTCTTCTATTTCTCATTCGCCGTGGTCATTATCGTGATCCCCCTATAATTTTCCATACAGTCTTTGTGGCATATTTTGTGAACCCCTTCCTTGCATTCTTCCGGGAGTCCACCTCCTTTCCATATCTTGTCTATTAGTTTCCTCTGATTCTCCTGGTACTATCTGTGACGAAAATCCATGCTTCATTTCTTATTTTATCCCTTCCTGCAGCTTTCCCTTTCTACAGTCCAATCTGATCTCTCGGAATCTCGCCTCCGTCCACCATCCTACACCCTCTGTCACCTCTTTTTTCTCCTGCTTTCCTTGTAGGTAGTATTTCTCCCCCACGTGTTCTGTTTTTTTTCCTTTTCCTCTATTTATTATCTTCCAAAAGTCGTTCTCTGTTATTTCCCTGATTTTTCTTTCGCCTGGACAGGAATAAGAGATATTCGTTTCTGTAGTTTTGACATCACCAATGGATATATTTCTTCCAGACGTTCCAATCGCCCTTTGTGAGCGTCCTCTTTCGACAATCCGTTCTGGAGATACAAGGGAATATATCCGATCATGGTAAGGGGTCGAGGAGGAGGGCTATAATGGTTGGTAGAACCACAGGCCCCGTCACCCACTGATCTCGAGAAAGAGTCCCGCGGAAAAGTTATAGTTTAAAGAACCAACCAATTCATTTCGATGAGACCTTTTATTGGAATACCATGAAGGGTAGAAGGTGTGTTTACCCCCCCCCCCTCAATTTTCTAAAGTTTTACTTAGCACCACTAAACGCATGCGTATGCAAAATTTGCGACCAATTGGTTGTCGCATGTAAAAGTTATGCACGTTTTACTTTCAAAAACAGCATCTTAGGATATAATTCATGCCCCCCCCCCCCGGCCCTTTAAGACAGCGAAATTTGATGGCCGTCTGTCACACCGTCAACGTATAGGCTACCTATTGAAAACCATTCCCCTAGAAGTAATTCAAAACTGCAGAAGGGGACGCGGACGGACAGACAGACGGGCAAAACGCAAACAATAGCACATTTTTTTTAATTTCTAAACAAATGTGCTAAAAATGTGCTATTGTTTGCGTTTTGTCCGTGTGTCTGTCCGTCCGGACCCACTTCCGCCGTTGCGACCTACTTCTAGGGGAATGGTGTCCTGGAGTCCTCGGGGGGGGGGGGGGGGTTAATTTTATCTATCGTCGTATTCTAATTAAAGGTCTCAACGAAAAGAACCGTTTTCTACCAACTTTTGTCCTTCTTTCTGTCCTCTTATCAAAGTACGTGGTGGAAGAGAAAGGGGGGGGGGTGGAACTAGTTTTATCCTTCATGGTACTCTAATGAAAGGTCTCAACGAAAGGAATTAATTTCTACCAACCTTAGCCTCCTCCTTGACTCCTTATTGGATTCGGATATAAATAATTCCTCATGTCTCAGATTGTCAGATGATGGTCCTTACAAAGGGCGATCAAATGGATCTTCCAATCTAAATAAATTCTAAATCGACAGATCCTCCTCCGTAAATCTTGATAATCCCAGAAGGGGTCGGCTACCTTGCATTGACTTTTCTGACATCCCCCATCGGCGCATTGACCTACATTTTGAAAGTTCTTGGGCTACCGCCGACTATTCAGGATCGTAGAAGCTCTTCGCAAGAATCCTTCCTAAAACCTTTAGTGAAGGTCTCTTTCTTCTGTTTATCATCCGATCTAAGGTTCAAGAAACATTTCACTTCTCCGTTTCAAAAATTTGGTTTTGATTTTCTGTTTTGTTCAACATAGGAAAATGTACCGCTTCATAGCCAACGTGAACAAAAGTATGTCTCGTAATAAAAAGCGTGCATTTTCGATAAAGGTGTGCATTTGCGAGATAAGCGAACGTAGTTACCGGATTGTGAGAGGGTTTTTGGTAGACGAGGTTAGACTGTTAAACGCGGTGTTACGGGCGAGGCGGGCGGCAAGAGGGGCGATATATCGGCGTTGGGTACGAAGGCGGCATTCGAGTGGAGTTATCTGGCGAGAGTAATGGCGTATAGTGTTCTCTATTTTTAGGGGTAAGTACATTGTATTTATATTTACGGTGAATAAATCGATTTACTGACAACGTATTATTTGTGCGTGGGAATTTCATTTTCGCATAGTTGCTTGTTAAAATGGAAGCTAGCCTAATTCGTAGCAAGGCCGTTGATTTTTGAGTAATGAAACGCTTTAAAACCAAACCGCGAGTAAAAAAAATGTTAATACGAATAGTTTTTTCGAATCGCAAAATATAACGGCTGGTTAAAAGTTTCTGAAATGTCAACGCTGTAACGGGGGTTACATGGTGGGAAAACCCTGATCGTTTAATCTGGTTTTCACGATAATGTTAATTTTTTTGTTTTTCAAAATGTATCCGCGGCTAGCTCAGTTTTACTAAAATATGTTGATACAATTTCTTTTGCAAAATGGACATCTGTTTCCAACTTGAAACACAAAATCAAAAATACCGACATATTTTGAAATTTAGATAAATCGTAGCCCTCTAAAACTATGGGTACTACATGCATTGAAACACCCAGTATCCAAAACGATATTGTACGTGGCCACGTTTTATTTTACTACGTTAAACAACCCCCTTTAACGAACAATAGGAACATATGGAATATCAGCATTTTTTACAAACAGCTTGAAGACATAAAATTTTTATACTTGACTCAGTTAGAAGATTTCAGGTACTTAATATTGAATTACAATTCTAACAGAATATTGGTTAAGGTGGAAAATTACACATTTCATACACTTACAAAATGATTGGACCAAGTCTTTAAAAACAAATTTCTCGAAGGTCGCGAACCATATTGAATACAAATAAAAAAATTTACGGTTTACCTTATTAATACGGTGTCTTAAACTACCCTTTGAATCGGTCAACGTTGGAAAACTGGAACAATTGGGAGAATGAAACCAAAATTTACTGACGTTAACTCCTGGATTTCCTCATTCGTTGAGTTTCAAAATAGAGGATTTAGTTTAAGAATCGAGCGTCCAAGCGACTTATTAAAGCAAGCGCTCTTTAGGTAATCTACCTTTTATTTAATCTATGAACGACATAGCATAGTATCACAAACAAAATTATATTTTCTTAGACGTTTCCCTGACGATCCGTTGCCGAAAAATCAACCTGCGTGGCCTCGTTTCCAGCGATAATCCATACGGTTCCGCTATTTCCTCTAACCATAACCTCTAAGATCAGCTTGGCAAGCTCTTCAGGTCTGCAAGTCGACTCTTACTCACTTTTAAAAAATCGGAAAGACTTACGTCTGAGAAATGAAAGCCGCATCACAGGTGCGATAAAACTCTTTAATGATCGGACAGAGACGCTCGCTCGCTATTAAATTGGGCGAATTACTCTGAAGCTCGGTGAACGTTTTTCCCGGGCAAATTGTGAGAACTGTTACGCCGTTGTGGTCGTAGTAGATGGGGTCACCGAAACAACGTCCCAGCATGACCGTAAAGGCTTTCGACGCCGAATACACTGGCATGGCGATCTCCGGATGCACGCCGGCGATTGAACCCATATTCACAACGATTCCGCCTCGGCCATTTTGCTTTTTGCTCATATATTCGAGGCCAGCTAACGTTCCATGGAGCACTCCTCCCTGATGGTAAATCATAGAGAAAATGGAAATGAACGAGGAGGACAACTTACGCAGTTCGTCGAGAGGGTAGACTCCCAATCTTGTTCTGCCAGAGTTCCCGCATTGTTTATTACTATATCCAGGCGTTTCCAGTGCTCCGCTGACTTTTTGAAGGCATCTATTATACAAAATATAACAAAATTTGATAATTGGGAGGGAGTGATATTACACACATTCCCTTAGAAAAATGGGATTATATATATATATATATATATATATATATATATATATACACAACAAGAACCCCTGGAGAATCTCTGATGGATCTTTGAAAACTATAATACTTGTTTGGATACTCTTAACAAAATCTCTTAAGGTCTTTTAGAAATCTCTGTAAGGTTTTCAAAGATTTTTTTAGATAATCTTCGAAGAAAATTGAAAAAGGATGTTAGAAATTTCTCGGAAGAAGCATTTCTATGTTCTTGAATCTAAAAGTCTTTTTAGAAATTCTCCAGTGAGATTATTGCCTTTCTTTAAATAGGGTGTTACGTTGAAGAAGAGGAGAAGAAATAGCGATACCGAAAGAGATTTTGGAAGGTGCAAAGAAGATGTTCCACGCAACCCTCCCACTACCACAATGACTTACCTTCAACTTGATCCTTTTTGGAAACGTCAGCAGCTACAAAAATAACCTTTTGCGTTCCAAATTCCTTTTTGAGTAATGCAGTAGATTCCTCTCCCCTAACCTCGTTAATATCCACCAATGTCACGCCCTGAGTAAACGCAATTAGTTCAATCTCATTATGGGGAGTTCGTTTACCTCAATTCCGTTGACAAGAAGTTCCTTAACGCAAGCGAGGCCGATTCCTTGAGCGCCACCAGTGACCAAAGCGTATTTTCCCTTCAACATGGACATTTTGTCATATACTAGATACACTAAATCGTATGAGATAATTTGGATACTGCTGAATCTGAGGTTATTGTGTCAATATAATTTAAAGGTTATCAATAGCATTACGCTAAATGCGAACGCTTGCGCCATTGAAACTGCACGATCTTGTAGAGTAAGTAAACAAGTATAAATTGTGCACAACTCAGCGTATTTTTTGATACCCAAATAGCAGACGTCTCAATCGCCCTTTGTGGGTGCCCTCTTCCGGCAATCCGTTCTTGAGGTATAAGGGAATATACCCGATCACGATAAGAGGTCGAAGAGGAGAGGTATGGTTGATAGAAATTAATTCCTTTCGTTGAGACCTTTCATTAGAGTACCATGAAGGATAAAACAAGTTCCACTCCCCCCTTCCCCTCCACCCCGTACTTTGATAAGAGGACAGAAAGAAGGGCAGTAGTTGGTAGAAAGCGGTTCCTTTCGTTGAGACCTTTAGTTAGAATACAATAATAATAAGCTGCTACCAGCTTAGATTACGTGCACACAGCCGATCGTTAAATTAAAAAAAAAAAAAAATAATAATAAATAATTATTATTCTAATAAATAAATGCACGATCATTAACAACACTAAATTATTTCCAACCTCAAAAGTTTAAATGAGAGATAAAATTAAATTTTACCCCCCCCCCCCTCAGGCGCCGTGGCTCACTGATCTCGAAAAAGTCACACGGGAAAGTTATAGTTTGTACAGGGTGGCCAACTAAGAATGCGAGGTACGGTATCTGAGAATCTATCCATCTTAGAGGCTTGCGGTAAAAAATTTATTACTAAAACGGCCACGAGCAAAACCTGGAAAATATTTTTAAGTTACTGAACTGACCGCTAGGGGGCGTAACTGCAATCTGGAATCTAAAAAAGTGATGTATATGTGAATTCTGCTATATTAATCTAACAAAAAAATGTCCGGTCTTTGAAGTTGACGATAGTCTGAACCTTTTTTGTTTGACAATTTTTCCTGTATCTCTAAAAATGAAGTGGCGGGGGGGTATTCAAAGGTTTCCGTAAAGAACACCCTGTATCTTCGAAACGACTGAGCCGATTAAACTCGGGTTAGTTCAAAAGAGCAATTCTTCAGCTACAAATATTATACCATTTGAAGTTTTGTTAGTTTCACATATCGCCGCTTGAGGGCTTTTTTCGACATTCCGACAGAAATGGTTAATTTTCTCAAAAAAATTAAATGCGTTGGTTTGATTTTTTTGCATGAAAAAGTAGCTAAATTATATAAATATATGTATATATCGTGATGGCCAGCATTTCGAGCATTTACGGCGGCATTAAAAGCTTCCTTTTTAAAATCGATCCACCTTAGGGCCACAAATTATATAATAAAAATAATTCCGGAAAAATTTGCTTAAAAAAATTAAATTTTGAGGGTAGAAAATTTCCTTTGGCCTAAATTTTAGGTTAGGAACAAAATATCGAGATACGGTTTTCGCGAGCTTCAGTGATGAGGTCCATGGCTTGCTTCCTGTTCGGTGACAATGGTGGTTTATGTTCCCCAAGTGTTTGCCCTGCCGCTTCCCTCAGCGTTTCGGCGATCAAGATGGTCTCCCTTCATACTTTTTGTTCCTGATCTCGTCCTGCTCCTTTCTGTACTCCTCCATTTTCGTCTTCCCTTTCAGAAGTTTTACATTCCTCTCTCCTCCTGGTTGTCAGCAACGTTTTGGGTTTGCTGAATGTGTTTTCCACCCTCCTTTCATGCAGATGTACCATGTTCCTAAGCTGCCTCGGTGTTTCCTGCATCAGTTGTAGTTCCTTGTCGCTGCCATCCCACTTATTAGTTTGGTTTCCTGTACACTGGCGACATCTATTCACTGTTTTCTTAATTCGTCGTCAATTAGCTCCTTTTTCTTTGGGTCGTTTCCCCCTTGTACGTTCCACGTGACTACACTCATGCTGTTGCCTCCTTCTGTCTCCTGGCTTCTATCCTGATTATTTCCGCTCCTCGGCGTACGGTTTTTTAACTGGTAAGAAATACAAAAGATAAAATATGTACAATACCTATAGTCTGCGTTATTTGAATACTCCATAGATATCCAAAGATTCCTGCGTGATGAATACATTACCCTAGGACAACGCCGGCGTTGTTGGTAATTGCAGCTTCTTTATGATACATGGGCAAACACTTAACAAGATTAACAATTTGTTTGTTACGATCTTAAAGATTAAACTCGTTTGTATTGCATGTATTTTACTATTGGAGAACTTGTGGATATTGGAATTGTGAGAGAATTAAAATTTTTAATGGACATCGCATAGTATCATCACAAAATAAAATTCTCTTAGACGTTGGCCTGGCGATCCGTTGTCGAGAAATCAACCTGCGTGGCTTCGTTCCCAGCGATAACCCATGCGGTTCCACTCCCTCCTCTAATCATAACCTCCAAAATCTGTTTCGCAAGCTCTTCGGGTCTGAAAACCATTTTTTATTCACTTTCGAAAATTGCAAAAACTCACGTTTGAGGTTTTAGATTCATTAGGCGGTTTTGAAAAACCGTTTGAATATTCGGACAGAGACTTTTGCTCGCAATTAAATTAGGCGCATTATGAACCATCTCAGTGATGGTTCTCCCCGGGCAAATAGTGAGAACTTTTACGCCGTTGTGATCGTAGTAGATGGGGTCACCGAAGCAACGTCCCAGCATGACCGTAAAGGCCTTTGTCGCCGAATACACTGGAAGGGTAGCATTCGGATACACGCCGTTAATTGAACCCATATTCACAATCACTCCACCTCGACCATTTTGCTTTGTGCTCATGTATTCAAGTCCAAACAGCGTGCCATGGAGCATTCCATCCTAAGGGCGCATCATCTAAAGAGAGTGGAAATGAACGGGAAGGGTAACTTACGCAATTCGTCGAAAGGGTAGGTTTCCAATCTTGTTCTCCCAGAAGTCCCGCATTGTTGATTACTACATCGAGGTGTTTCCAATGCTCGATTGATTTTTTGAACGCACCTAAAGCATTTGCTACACTTATTCAGGTTTTGGCTTTCTATGTGAAAGTCAACTACACCGGCATAACAACAGTTAACATGTAATGGTCCCGGGTTATCAAATTTGGAGAGGAAGGATTTCTGCATTTTTTGTGATAAGAAACACAACTCTGCCAAATGCCGGAGAGTGAAAGGAGTGACCTATGAAGATACGTAGAAAATGCTTGCTTCACGTGCTTGAAAATTGGTCACCCCTCTTGGAAATGCAAGAAGAAAGTCCGATGTGAGTCATGTAACCTTGTAATCATCAGCGCACTCTTCTACCTTGGTCTGGGGGTTATTGGGAAAGCTTAATTCACTTTGTAAAGGCCCCTCTCGAGAGGATAGTAGGAAGATAAGAGCTGGATTACGATCAGATGATGCACCTAAAGCATCTGCTACACTTATTTGGCTTTGGCGAGTCTTTTAGAAATCTCTGTAAGGTTTTTAAATATTTTTTTAGATAATCTTCGAAGAAAATTGAGAAAGGATGTCAGAGGTCTCTCGAAAAAAGCACAATATACATTTCTAGGTTTTTGAATCTAAAAGTTTGCAAGATCTTTAGAAATTCTCGTGAGATTATTGCCTTTCTTTAAATAGAATAGGGTCTTACATTGAAGAAGAGCAGAAGAAATAGCGATATCGAAAGAGATTTTGGAAGGTACAAAGAAGATGATCCACGCAACCCTCCCACTACCACAATTACTTACCTTCAACTTGATCCTTTTTGGAAACGTCAGCAGCTACGAAAATAAGCTTTTCCGTTCCAAATTCCTTTTTGAGTAATGCAGTAGATTCCTCTCCCCTAACCTCGTTAATATCCACCAATGTCACGCCCTGAGTAAACGCAATTAGTTCAATCTCATTATGGGGATTTCGTTTACCTCAATTCCGTTGACAAGAAGTTCCTTAACGCAAGCGAGGCCGATTCCTTGAGCCCCACCAGTGACCAAAGCGTATTTTCCCTTCAACATGGACATTTTGTCATATACTAGATACACTAAATCGTATGAGATAATTTGGATACTGCTGAATCTGAGGTTATTGTGTCAATATAATTTAAAGGTTATCAATAGCATTCCGCTAAATGCGAACGCTTGCGCCATTGAAACTGCACGATTTTGTAGAGTAAGTAAACAAGTATAAATTGTGCACAACTCAGCGTATTTTTTGATACCCAAATAGCAGACGTCTCAATCGCCCTTTGTGGGTGCCCTCTTCCGGCAATCCGTTCTTGAGGTATAAGGGAATATACCCGATCACGATAAGAGGTCGAAGAGGAGAGGTATGGTTGATAGAAATTAATTCCTTTCGTTGAGACCTTTCATTAGAGTACTATGAAGGATAAAACAAGTCCCACTCCCCCCTCCCCCTCCACCCCGTACTTTGATAAGAGGACAGAAAGAAGGGCAGTAGTTGGTAGAAAGCGGTTCCTTTCGTTGAGACCTTTAGTTAGAATACAATAATAATAAGCTGCTACCAGCTTAGATTACGTGCCCACAGCCGATCGTTAAATTAAAAAAAAAAAATAATAATAAAAAATTATTATTCTAATAAATAAATGCACGATCATTAACAACACTAAATTATTTCCAACCTCAAAAGTTTAAATGAGAGATAAAATTAAATTTTAACCCCCCCCCCCCCCCCCCCCCCTCAGGCGCCGTGGCTCACTGATCTCGAAAAAGTCACACGGGAAAGTTATAGTTTGTACAGGGTGGCCAACTAAGAATGCGAGGTACTGTATCTGAGAATCTATCCATCGTAGGGGCTTGCGGTAAAAAAAATTATTACTAAAACGGCCACGAGCAAAACCTGGAAAATATTTTTTTGAAATGACCGCTAGGGGGCGTAACTGCAATCTGGAATCTAAAAAAGTGAAGTTTCTGTGAATTCTGCTATATTAATCTAACAAAAAAATGTCCGGTCTTTGAAGTTGACGATAGTCTGAACCTTTTTTGTTTGACAATTTTTCCTGTATCTCTAAAAATGAAGTGGCGGGGGGGTATTCAAAGGTTTCCGTAAAGAACACCCTGTATCTTCGAAACGACTGAGCCGATTAAACTCGGGTTAGTTCAAAAGAGCAATTCTTCAGCTACAAATATTATACCATTTGAAGTTTTGTTAGTTTCACATATCGCCGCTTGAGGGCTTTTTTCGACATTCCGACAGAAATGGTTAATTTTCTCAAAAAAATTAAATGCGTTGGTTTGATTTTTTTGCATGAAAAAGTAGCTAAATTATATAAATATATGTATATATCGTGATGGCCAGCATTTCGAGCATTTACGGCGGCATTAAAAGCTTCCTTTTTAAAATCGATCCACCTTAGGGCCACAAATTATATAATAAAAATAATTCCGGAAAAATTTGCTTAAAAAAATTAAATTTTGAGGGTAGAAAATTTCCTTTGGCCTAAATTTTAGGTTAGGAACAAAATATCGAGATACGGTTTTCGCGAGCTTCAGTGATGAGGTCCATGGCTTGCTTCCTGTTCGGTGACAATGGTGGTTTATGTTCCCCAAGTGTTTGCCCTGCCGCTTCCCTCAGCGTTTCGGCGATCAAGATGGTCTCCCTTCATACTTTTTGTTCCTGATCTCGTCCTGCTCCTTTCTGTACTCCTCCATTTTCGTCTTCCCTTTCAGAAGTTTTACATTCCTCTCTCCTCCTGGTTGTCAGCAACGTTTTGGGTTTGCTGAATGTGTTTTCCACCCTCCTTTCATTCAGATGTACCATGTTCCTAAGCTGCCTCGGTGTTTCCTGCATCAGTTGTAGTTCCTTGTCGCTGCCATCCCACTTATTAGTTTGGTTTCCTGTACACTGGCGACATCTATTCACTGTTTTCTTAATTCGTCGTCAATTAGCTCCTTTTTCTTTGGGTCGTTTCCCCCTTGTACGTTCCACGTGACTACACTCATGCTGTTGCCTCCTTCTGTCTCCTGGCTTCTATCCTGATTATTTCCGCTCCTCGGCGTACGGTTTTTTAACTGGTAAGAAATACAAAAGATAAAATATGTACAATACCTATAGTCTGCGTTATTTGAAAACTCCATAGATATCCAAAGATTCCTGCGTGATGAATACATTACCCTAGGACAACGCCGGCGTTGTTGGTAATTGCAGCTTCTTTATGATACATGGGCAAACACTTAACAAGGTTAACAATTTGTTTGTTACGATCTTAAAGATTAAACTCGTTTGTATTGCATTGCATACTATTGGAGAACTTGTGGATATTGGAATTGTGAGAGAATTAAAATTTTTAATGGACATCGCATAGTATCATCACAAAATAAAATTCTCTTAGACGTTGGCCTGGCGATCCGTTGTCGAGAAATCAACCTGCGTGGCTTCGTTCCCAGCGATAACCCATGCGGTTCCACTCCTACCTCTAATCATAACATCCAAAATTTGTTTCGCAAGCTCTTCGCATCTGAAAACAGTTTTTTTTATTCACTTTCGAAAATTGCAAAAACTTACGTTTGACGTTTCAGCCTCTCTAATAACCCCTGCGAAACCTTGTGAATATTCGGACAGAGACTTTCGCTCGACATTAAATTAGGCCCATTATGAATCATCTCAGTGATCGTTACTCCCGGGCAAATAGTGAGAACTTTGACGCCGTTGTGATCGTAGTAGATGGGGTCGCCGAAGCAACGTCCCAGCATGACCGTAAAGGCCTTTGTCGCCGAATACACTGGAATGGTAGCGTTCGGATACACGCCGTTAATTGAACCCATATTTACAATCACTCCACCTCGACCATTTTGCTTCGTGCTCATGTATTCAAGTCCAGATAGCGTGCCATGAAGCATTCCATCCTAAGGGCGCATCATCTAAATAGAGGGGAAATGAACGGGAAGGGTAACTTACGCAATTAGTCGAAAGGGTAGGTTTCCAATCTTGTTCTCCCAGAATTCCCGCATTGTTGATCAATATGTCGAGGTGTTTCCAATGCTCGATTGATTTTTTGAACGCACCTAAAGCATTTTGCTACACTTATCTAGGTTTGGCGAGTCTTGAATTAGAAATGCTATTGATTCCAACTTAACCTGAAGAACTGAAGAATAATTTATCTCTAACATCATTTAAGATCTTTTATTTTGGATAATCTTCGAAGAAAATCGAAAAAGAAGATCAAAAGTTTTTCTGAAGAATTTTTCAAGCACAATAGACATTCTCTGCAAAATCTTTTGACATTCTCTAGTAAGATGCCATAAATGTGGTGGAACATATGACCTTTCTTTAAATGGGCACAATTTTGTTCGATGTTGTTCCATCAACCCTCCAAAATTGGCATAAAATTAAGCTGGACGTGATGATTTCCAAACGGTTATGATTTTCGATTCTTCAGGCTTGTACAAAATTACCCATAAGAATAGAATCCCATTTTTGAGGATGTCTTTTTATTCTGAAGAACTAAATGAAACCTAACCTCTGACCAAAGGACGTGGACAGCTTCTGAGGATTATGGTTGAGGAAGAGTTGAGAAGCAAGAAAAAAGAGGTTTTGGAAGGTACAACGTCCCACGCAATCCTCACACTACCACAATCGCCTACCTTCAACTTGATCCTTTTTGGAAACGTCAGCAGCTACGAAGATAACCTTTTCCGTTCCAAACTCCCTTTTAAGTAGCGCAGTAGATTCCTCTCCTCTAACCTTGTTAATATCCGCCAATGTCACGCCCTGATTAACCGCAATTAGCTCAAACTTATTATGAGTAGTTCATTTACCTCAATTCCGTTGACAAGAAGTTCCTTAACGCAAGCGAAGCCGATTCCTTGAGCGCCACCAGTGACCAAAGCGTATTTTCCCTTCAACATAGACATTTTGTCATATGCCAGGTACACTTAATCGTATGACACCGCGTCTTCAATTTGCACCGATCCTTGCCAATCAAGCAATTATACATGTTTTTTTTTTAATTTCAATCGTAACTAACTAATTAGGTCACTGTGTGCCGATATGCTGTTTAAAGGTTATCAGTAGCCGAGCTATTGCGTCACACCATGGATTAGACTATTGAAACTGAACGATATTATAGTTGACAAGCATTATCAACCACACAAACATTGTTGAAATGAGCACCAACAATTGGGCAACGACGTTTCACACAGAAATTGTTTACCTGAATTTGACACCCAAACTGTTGTCACTCGACCGCCTATTATTGTTATTATAATTTTTAAACTAATTCTGCTTTTACGACAATAAAAATCGCGCGGACTATATTTAATCGTTACCCGTCTTCTTCTTTTTTTTTGCGCTTCGCTATTTATATTAATGCGAAAGCGGAACCAACGAAATTTCTGCGACCAGCGTCCCCTTTATACCAATAGTTCCGAATCTCTCGAAAAAGTAACTATACTTTGAGCTGCACGATAGATAGATAGTGTTTTCCCGAGAAATTTTGGAGCAGTCGATTTTTGGTAAAAAAGGAAGGTAATCCACTGCCTTTTTTTGAGGCCGGAAAGAAAAATTGTCTGAGATCGACCGGGAAAAAACATTTTCTTATAGAGTTTGGCCCGTAGAATCCATAATTTCAAACAGTTCTAAGATTGGACTACTAGATCAAAAGTTACAGCCCTTTGAACTTTTTGTCAAAATTTGTTAGTCCATAACTTTTGATTGAGGGGCCTGATCGAAAAAGTACGAATCGTTTTGGATTCTACGCACCAAAATTAGTGAGAAAAAGTGTTTTCCCGAGAAATTTTGGAGCAGTCGATTTTTGGTAAAAAAGGAAGGTAATACACTGCCTTTTTTTGAGGCCGGAAAGAAAAATTGTCTGAGATCGACCGGGAAAAAACATTTTCTTATAGAGTTTGGCCCGTAGAATCCATAATTTCAAACAGTTCTAAGATTGGACTACTAGATCAAAAGTTACAGCCCTTTGAACTTTTTGTCGCAATTTGTAATTAGTCCATAACTTTTGATTGAGGGTCCTGATCGAAAAAGTACGAATCGTTTTGGATTCTACGCACCAAAATTAGTGAGAAAAAGTGTTTTCCCGAGAAATTTTGGAGCAGTCGATTTTTGGTAAAAAAGGAAGGTAATACACTGCCTTTTTTTGAGGCCGGAAAGAAAAATTGTCTGAGATCGACCGGGAAAAAACATTTTCTTATAGAGTTTGGCCCGTAGAATCCATAATTTCAAACAGTTCCAAGATTGGACTACTAGATCAAAAGTTACAGCCCTTTGAACTTTTTGTCGAAATTTGTAATTAGTCCATAACTTTTGATTGACGGGCCTGATCGAAAAAGTACGAATCGTTTTGGATTCTACGCACCAAAATTAGTGAGAAAAAGTGTTTTCCCGAGAAATTTTGGAGCAGTCGATTTTTGGTAAAAAAGGAAGGTTATACACTGCCTTTTTTTGAGGTCCGCCAAAAAAATTGTCTGAGATCGACCGGGAAAAAAACATTTTCTTAAAGAGTTTGGCACGTAGAATCCATAATTTCAAACAGTTCCAAGATTGGACTACTAGATCAAAAGTTACAGCCCTTTGAACTTTTTCGAAATTTTAATTAGTCCATAACTTTTGATTGAGGGGCCTGATCGAAAAAGTACGAATCGTTTTGGATTCTACGCACCAAAATTAGTGAGAAAAAGTGTTTTCCCGAGAAATTTTGGAGAAGTCGATTTTTGGTAAAAAAGGAAGGTAATACACTGCCTTTTTTTGAGGCCGGAAAGAAAAATTGTCTGAGATCGACCGGGAAAAAACATTTTCTTATAGAGTTTGGCCCGTAGAATCCATAATTTCAAACAGTTCCAAGATTGGACTACTAGATCAAAAGTTACAGCCCTTTGAACTTTTTGTCGAAATTTGTAATTAGTCCATAACTTTTGATTGAGGGGCCTGATCGAAAAAGTACGAATCGTTTTGGATTCTACGCACCAAAATTATGAGAAAAAGTGTTTTCCCGAGAAATTTTGGAGCAGTCGATTTTTGGTAAAAAAGGAAGGTAATACACTGCCTTTTTTTGAGGCCGGAAAGAAAAATTGTCTGAGATCGACCGGGAAAAAACATTTTCTTATAGAGTTTGGCCCGTAGAATCCATAATTTCAAACAGTTCCAAGATTGGACTACTAGATCAAAAGTTACAGCCCTTTGAACTTTTTGTCGAAATTTGTAATTAGTCCATAACTTTTGATTGAGGGGCCTGATCGAAAAAGAACGAATCGTTTTGGATTCTACGCACCAAAATTAGTGAGAAAAAGTGTTTTCCCGAAAAATTTTGGAGCAGTCGATTTTTGGTAAAAAAGGAAGGTAATACACTGCCTTTTTTTGAGGCCAGAAAAAAAATTGTCTGAGGTCGACCGGGAAAAAACATTTTCTTATAGAGTTTGGCCCGTAGAATCCATAATTTCAAACAGTTCCAAGATTGTACTGCTAGATCAAAAGTTACAGCCCTTTGAACTTTTTGTCGAAATTTGTAATTAGTCCATAACTTTTGACTGAGGGGCCTGATCGGAAAAGTACGAATCGTTTTGAATTCTACGCACCAAAATTAGTGAGAAAAAGTGTTTTTCCGAGAAATTGTAGAGCAGTCGATTTTTGGTAAAAAAGGAAGGTAATACACTGCCTTTTTTTGAGGCCAGAAAAAAAATTTTCTGAGGTCGACCGGGAAAAAACATTTTCTTATAGAGTTTGGCCCGTAGAATCCATAATTTCAAACAGTTCCAAGATTGTACTACTAGATCAAAAGTTACAGCCCTTTGAATTTTTTGTCGAAATTTGTAATTAGTCCATAACTTTTGATTGAGGGGCCTGATCGACAAAGTACGAATCGTTTTGGATTCTACGCACCAAAATTAGTGAGAAAAAGTGTTTTCCCGAGAAATTTTGGAGCAGTCGATTTTTGGTTAAAAAGGAAGGTAATAAACTGTCTTTTTTTGAGGCCGGAAAAAAAATTGTCCGAGATCGACCGGGAAAAAACATCTTCTTATAGAGTTTGGCACGTAGAATCCATAATTTCAAACAGTTCCAAGATGGGACTACTAGATCAAAAGTTACAGCCCTTTGAACTTTTTGTCGAAATTTGTAATTAGTCCATAACTTTTGATTGGGGGGCCTGATCGAAAAAGTACGAATCGTTTTGGATTCTACGCATCAAAATTAGTGAGAAAAAGTGTTTTCCGAGAAGTTTTGGAGCAGTCGATTTTTGCTAAAAAAGGAAGGTAATACACTGCCATTTTTTGAGGCCGGAAGAAAAAAATGTCTGAGATCGACCGGGAAAAAACATTTTCTAATAGAGTTTGACCCGTAGAATCCATAATTTCAAACAGTTCCAAGATTGGACTACTAGATCAAAAGTTACAGCCCTTTGAACTTTTTGTCAAAATTTGTAATTAGCCCATAACTTTTGATTGAGGGGCCTGATCGAAAAAGTACGAATCGTTTTGGATTCTACGCACCAAAATTAGTGAGAAAAAGTGTTTTCCCGAGAAATTTTGGAGCAGTCGATTTTTGGTAAAAAGGAAGGTAATACACTGCCTTTTTTTGAGGCCGGAGAAAAAAATTGTCTGAGATCGACCGGGAAAAAACATTTTCTTATAGAGTTTGGCCCGTAGAATCCATAATTTCAAACAGTTCCAAGATTGGACTACTAGATCAAAAGTTACAGCCCTTTGAACTTTTTGTCGAAATTTGTAATTAGTCCATAACTTTTGATTGAGGGGCCTGATCTAAAAAGTACGAATCGTTTTGGATTCTACGCACCAAAATTAGTGAGAAAAAGTGTTTTCCCGAGAAATTTTGGAGCAGTCGATTTTTGGTAAATAAGGAAGGTAATACACTGCCTTTTTTGAGGCCCAAAAAAAAATAGTCTGAGATCGACCGGGAAAAAACATTTTCTTATAGAGTCTGGCCCGTAGAATCCACAATTTCAAACAGTTCCAAGATTGGACTACTAGATCAAAAGTTACAGCCCTTTGAACGTTGTGTCGAAATTTATTAGTCCATAACTTTTGATTGGGGGGGGCCTGATCGAAAGAGTACGAATCGTTTTGGATTCTACGCATCAAAATTAGCGAGAAAAAGTGTTTTCCGAGAAGTTTTGGAGCAGTCGATTTTTGGTAAAAAAGGAAGGTAATACACAGAAGGAAATTGTTAAAAGTTTGTTTAATAATGATCGTTATTGTTATTGATTGTAAAAGCTCGGAAATTTAAGTCGAAATAAATTACATTGCAAAAATAAACTTTGAAAATGGTAGTTCACCGAATAAAAATAGAAATAGGCTGGGAAAAAAGAACTTACCGATAAAAAAACCAGCCGTCAAATTAATATTAAATTGTGTAGTAAAATTAATTGTTTGTAATGATGTGAATGCGTAACATAAAATTATAACATCACAAAAAGTAGCATGTAGACTTCAAGAGGTAACAGTTTTGGGAATTATGGGTCAAGTAAGCAGGTACCAAGATTCTAAGAAAGGGTGAAATACACAGGATCATCTTTGGTGCAATAGAGTCTTTTTGTTAAAAATAAGATGGAAAATTACATGGTCTTGTAGGCAAATTTAACAAAAAACAAGATACTGAAGAGCTTTGATTAGCGTAATCCCGCTCCGGCGAGATAGGTAGCCCGCCCCTGGTTTCGGGGTTTCGAGCCTGCAGTTGATAGTCGAAGACAATCACGGAATTAGGTGTCGTAGCTCAAATGGTTACAGTTTTTACCGCTTCATTCATGGTAAACTCAAAACGATCGGCATTGGTCTTGCTTCAAAAAATCGGGAGTGACCTCTCGGAATTTCAAAGTCTCGAATCGACCTGCGACCCCCAAAGTAAAAATAAACATGGTCAAATCTGTTCGATTTCGGTTTACATAAAGACTGACCGTGCGTGACGCATTCGAAAAAATCTCTTCGCAAAGCTCGACTAAAGTACAATCTGACGTAAATGATGGGAGGGTGGTATATCATTAGTGTGTATGAAACTTAAAAGTGGGCTAAAGGAACGTGGAAAGAAAAAAGGCGGCAGCAACGTGTGGCGCGCAGTTTGCTACCTGCGCTCTGATACGAATGTATTTAAACAGTTCCTATCCACCCGACGCTAAACGTAATTTTCTTCCTATTTTTTTTTTAGAAATGTCGCGTCTTAATTAGCTTAGTTGAATGGAAGTGTGCCCGCCGTTCATTACGCTCCTTTAATTAAATAGCAGTGCAACATGTGATTAAAATTTTGGCGATGCAATGTTTTGTTTTCGTTTCGGCGGTTTTGATGGGTTGATTTTCTGCGTTTCGGGTAAGTAAAACGCCTGGGTAGTGGACTCTACCTTTCGAATTATACAATTGCATAAATTAAAAAAAATCAATGCGAAAAAGATTAGCATATGTCTTGTTCGGTGTAATAATCGAAGCCGAAAGGCGCGCGTGTTTTCTGTACAGGAGAAGAAGAATTTCAAATTTCGTCGGAATCTGATGAGAACTGTATCCGGCCCGATGCCCGCCTTGTAAAAATAGTCGAGCTATTTTCGAAACTTTTAAAAAAGAAATGCATTTCCACGTACCTATAGATTGAATCGAAAGGGGTAGTCATGCTTATGAGCGCATTTTCCATTTGGAGCATGAATGTTTTCATTTACTGTTACTTGTATTATCGCAATTAGTTCAATTAATCACTGATGGTGTAGGTACGTGAAAAGAAATTTCGTTTGAAAAAGAAAAAAAGTCAAAAAGAAGCGTTTCCTATTTATACACTTCCCTCGTGTGGGATCCAAATCGGGAATGTCATCTCTTGGTATTTGATATTCCCAAAACTAAATCCTCCTCCGAAGAGAGCTGTGTGAAGTTACCAAAAACTGCATATTTCTTTGCAGTAACGATACAGCAATAAATATGCATATAATTAGAAATTCTATTTAGGGGTATTTGGACACTAATTACATCAAATGTTGCGATTGATATTAAATTTGCTGCACACATCATCCCTTAAAAAACTTGATGTGTACCCGTACGCTGTGTGAAGATAATTCGTACCAGAACACCCTAATTTGGATTTGTTTGTCCCCACTACATCCACTAAAGAATAGAGGGCAATTTTGTTAAGAAAAATAAAATTCACGTGTATGAATTTAATTGTCGATTCGTAAGGGATGACACGTGTAGATACGGATGCTGTGTGCGATGGTAAACGGTCACTAAGCCACCCACAAAAGACCAATCCAGCTGGCTCTCGATTATTTATAGGTACATTGTTTAAGTCACGTCCGACCTCAGCTACAATTAAAAAACAATCTCGATAAAGACCTAATTTTATTAATTTAGGAAAAACTTGGATAACACCGAATATAATTTAGGTATCACCAGAAAGAAAATTATCATGAAAACTCTAAGCTGAGTCGCACTTTGGGTTCGATGAAACACACAGCACTTAATTGAGAAAAGTAAATTCAGTAAGACACATACGCCGAAAGAAAGAGATGCTTTATGGAATACCCCCCAGGAAAAAGAAAGGTTAAAAATTCCTTTCCTTACACATATCATAAGATCTTCTGAACACTGGAGGGCATTCTATGCCCCCAGACCCCCCGGTGTGGTTTTCAAAAAGAACACTGCATGTTCGTTTCCTGAGCAGCATCCCCACCTCCACAGATGTCTGGTGTTACATTTGATGACCCTTTTCTAAAAATTACGATACAGGTGCCAAAGGTAGGTGGGGGAAGCGTGTAAAACCGGGGGGTTTGGGGGGTATGAAATACCCCCCAGGAACAAAAAAGGTATAACTTTCCTTTCCTTACACATATCATAAGATTTTCTGAATGCTGGGGGGCATTCCATGCCCCCCAGACCCCCCGGTACAGCGTTCCCCCTTAAAACATTCAGCCCTAGGGACTCCGATATAGTTTTTCAAAAAGAACCCAATGTTCGTTTCCTGGGGAGCATCCCCACCCCCACAGATGTCTGGTGTTACATTTCATGGCCTTTTTTTTAAAAATTACGATACAGGTGCCAAAGGTACAAATTATATGGGGGAAGCGTGTAAAACCGGGGGGTCTAGGGGGTATGAAATACCCCCCAGGAACAAGAAAGGTTTAATTTTCCTTTCCTTGCACATATCATAAGATTTTCTTAATGCTGGGGCCATGCCCCCCAAACCCCCCGGTACAGCACTCCCCCCTTAAAACATTCAGCCCTAGGGACTCAGTTATAGTTTTCAAAAAGAACCCAATGTTCGTTTCCTGGAGAGCATCCCCACCCCCCCAGATGTCTGGTGTTACATTTCATGACCTTTTTTTAAAAATTACGATACAGGTGCCAAAGGTACTAAATATGTTGGGGAAGCGTGTAAAACCGGGGAGTCTGGGGGGTATGGAATACCCCCCAGGAAGAACAAAGATTTAATGTTCCTTTCCTTACACATATCTAAGATCTTCTGAACGCTGGGGGGCATTCCATGCTCCCCAGACCCCCCGGTGCAACAATCCCCCCTAAAACTTTCAGCCCTAAGGACTCTGTTACAGTTTTCAAAAAGAACACCGCATGTACGTCTCCTGAGGAGTATCCCCACCCCCAGAGATGTCTGGTGTTACATTTCATGGCCTTTTTTTAAAAATTACGATACAGGTGCCAAAGGTACTAAATATGTTGGGGAAGCGTGTAAAACCGGGGAGTCTGGGGGGTATGGAATACCCCCCAGGAAGAACAAAGATTTAATGTTCCTTTCCTTACACATATCTAAGATCTTCTGAACGCTGGGGGCATTCCATGTAGTTTTTCAAAAAGAACCCAATGTTTGTTTCCTGGGGAGCACCCCACCCCCACAGATGTCTGGTGTTACATTTGATGGCCATTTTCTAAAAATTACGATACAGGTGCCAAAGGTACTAAATATGTGGGGGAAGCATGTAAAACCGGGGGGTCTGGGGGGTATGGAATACCCCCCCCCCCAGGACAAGGAAAGGTTTAATATTCCTTTCCTTACACATATCATACAGATATTTCTGAATGCTGGGGGGCATTCCATGCCCCCCAGACCCCCCGGTGCAGCATTCCCCCTTAAAACATTCAGCCCCAGAGACTCCGTTGTAGTTTTTTCAAAAAGAACCCAATGTTCGGTTTCGCTGGGGGCAGCATCCCAACCCTCACAGGTGTCTGGTGTTACATTTGATGGCCACTTTGTAAAAATGACGATACAGGTGCCAGAGGTACTAAATATGTGGGGGAAGCGTGTAAAACCGGGGGGTCTGGGGGGTATGGAATACCCCCCAGGAACAAGAAAGGTTCAATATTCCTTTCCTTACACATATCATAAGAACTTCTGAATGTTGGGGGGTATTCCATACCCCCCAGACCCCCGGTGCCGCATTCCCCCCTTAAAACATACAGCCCTAGGGACTCCGTTGTAGTTTTTCAAAAAGAACCCAATGTTCGTTTCCTGGGGAGCACCCCAACCCCACAGGTGTCTGGTGTTACATTTGATGGCCACTTTGTAAAAATGACGATACAGATGCAAGAGGTACTAAATATGTGGGGGAAGCGTGTAAACCGGGGGGTCTGGGGGGTATGGAATACCCCCCAGGAACAAGAAAGGTTTAATATTCCTTTCCTTAAACATATCGTAAGATCTTCCATAAGCTGACCCCCCGGTGCAGCATTCCCCCCTTAAAACATTCAGCCCTAGGGACCCCGTTATAGTTTTCAAAAAGAACCCAATGTTCGTTTCCTGGGGAGCATCCCCATCCCCACAGATGTCTGGTGTTACATTTGATGGCCACTTTGTAAAAATGACGATACAGGTGCCAGAGGTACTAAATATGTGGGGGAAGCGTGTAAAACCGGGGGGGTCTGGGGGTATGGAATACCCCCCAGGAACAAGAAAGGTTTAATATTCCTTTCCTTACACATATCATAAGATCTTCTGAAAGCTATGCCCCCCACCCCCTCCGGTGCAGTATTTCCCCCTTAAAACATTCAGCCCTAGGGATTCCGTTATAGTTTTCAAAAAGAACCCAATGTTCGTTTCCTGGGGAGCACCCCACCCCCACAGGTGTCTGGTGTTACATTTGATGGCCACTTTGTAAAAATAACGATACAGGTGCCAGAGGTACTAAATATGTTGGGGAAGCGTGTAAAACCGGAGGGTCTGGGGGGTATGGAATACCCCCCAGGAACAAGAAAGGTTTAATATTCCTTTCCTTACACATATCATAAGATCTTCTGAAAGCTGGGGGGCATTCCATGCCCCCCAGACCCCCCGGTGCAGCATTCCCCCTTAAAACATTCAGCCCTAGGGACTCCGTTATACTTTTCAAAAAGAACCCAATGTTCGTTTCCTGGGGAGCATCCCCATCCCCACAGATGTCTGGTGTTACATTTGATGGCCACTTTGTAAAAATGACGATACAGGTGCCAGAGGTACTAAATATGTGGGGGAAGCGAGTAAAACCGGGGGGTCTGGGGGGTATGGAATACCCCCCAGGAAGAAGAAAGGTTCAATATTCCTTTCCTTACACATATCATAAGATCTTCTGAACGCTGGGGGGCATTCTATGGATTTCACAAGAATCTCTGTCTCCCACCAGACTTTTACTTAAATAGCTAGTAGTTGTATCAGAGTCACAAAGAGAGACAGTGTAAAATGGAACATAATTGATAAGCAAACACGCCCTCAAATACCAGTAACTCCTCTTAAAACGGTTTTTATCAGAACTTTGCGTGTCGCTCTCCTACCGATACCAATTATCTTTTAAAAATTCGTTATGTGGGTTACATAAGCGCAAGAAGGTGTAAAAGGTGGAACATCGTACCTGTTTCCCTAATTCCTTTTCAATCACCCACAACAATAGGTAATCAGGATAGCATCGACTCAAGGAGGCCTTTTGCGTATTAGGTGCTCCTAATAGCCAATTCAGTACTAACAATACACTCTATTAATGCATGTTAATTGAATTCTTTTCACAATTTTCTTATAAAAGGAGATCAAAAGACCTAGAGCACCGATCGAAGCTTCAATGAAAAGAGAAAACCCTCACCTGATGACAGTTTAAGAAACTACTTGATGTTCTAAGGACGAAAACGAGGCTATAAACATTACAAGCTTAATATTGTCGTAATTACTACAATTGAGTCAAAACGGAAGGAACCAAGGAAGCGAATTAGTTAAACAACCATCCGACGATACCTCCCAGAGAGGCCACCGAACCATCGCCTAATACCACTAATCCAAATTGAAAAAAACGTGTCGAGCACAAATGCCTAAAATCTGTACGAGACAATTGGCCAGAACGCCACCGCTTTAATCTTGTCGGGCCCAGAGAAAGCTCCGAGTAGAAAAGAAAATCGACCATTTTGTCGCGAATACATTTTACACGTTTGTAATTACGAATTGTTATAATGAAGCGTTCCTAATTAGCTCGATTTCATCACGATTACGTCTTCCTCGTTCGAAATTAATGCGGGTGAAAGTTTGTTTAATGGCGCAGAGGGGACCGCACGCGCAAATGGCACTGCAGATTACGGTGATTGGGTTTTTTTTTCTGAAAAGGGGGTCAAATTCGGCACTGTAAAACGACACCGTTACCAAACCGTTTAGATTTATGCAGAAATCAATTAACATTGATGACGAAGGAGATCTGGGCGATGTAATTAAGTTATCCATTATAAAGTTTGCTTATATAATACTTTTAGTCTGCAGAATACATGAGTAAATACAGTATTGTTTATTATGTAGAGATTCCGTGGATATCGTGCATAGATGGTCTAGAAATTCCGTAAGCAAATTGCAGTGATTTTCTTGAGAATTTGTGCTCCGTAGACACTGTAGAACGATTATGTGAAAATGAGATTATTTAAGGATTCTGAACATGAAATTTGTCCCTAGAGACCGTAGAGATTTTACATTTCGTAAGGGTTTCATAGTATGGTAGGATTTATTATTATAACGTCATCACTAAGTATGTTTACATAGCCTGCATCATTCAGTTGGGTGGAAGAGAAACCTTCTTCGGGACAAAAACCCTGGCACCCAGTAATAAAACCATTCATGTTTCCGGCATGTAAAACTGCATACCTTAAATAGTTATAAGATGATATTGTTCTGATCAATACCAGTTTAATTTTTTTTACGTTACCAAAACGGAATTCGAGTCGCGTCTCCGCACGTACGCCTAAATTAATGCTCAAAAGAATCGTGCACCTATATCTTCGTTACCTTTACCGCGATAAGTAATTAAATTACGCCCGATAACATTTCTTATCGCAAAACGACCAGATAGCACTTAAATGCACTCGGCCAGATGTGCCTTAATTTTAAGACAATTTTTATCTTATAATTTAAATAAACAAATTTAGATGAATGACAAAATGTAAACAAGAAATTAAATCATTAAAACAATGCTAAATGGAAAAATAGACACTAAAATAACAAACTCAAATGAAATAAATGAATATACATATAATCTGTACGCAATCTGTACTGATTCTCTACAGAATCTAAAGAATCTCTGTAGAACTAATACTTTTAAGTAATATAAAATCTGCGGCATTTGCGGAATATACATACAATTTCTGTGTAGTATTCTGTAGATACTTTTTTGAAAACCCTCAATCGGTCCTTTGGAGGTTCCCTATGGATTTCGTGGAAATTCTCGAATGGTTTCCGAAAAACTGACAAATTCCGTAAGAATCATAAAGTTACTGCAGTCTTCGTAGAGACACTGTAAAGATCTTATATTGCGTAAGGATTTCGTCACAGTTTTATAGAAACACTTTTGATTCTGCAGAGTTGGTAAATTCTACAGATCATGCAGAGATTTTTAAAATATTTTGTGGACACCCTGTGTAGGTCCTGTGGAGATTCTGTAAGGATTTAGCAAGTTCTGTATCTATTTTGCGTATTCCGTAGGTACCCTGTAAGTTTCCGTGAGGATTATCTAATAGTATCTTTAAACTGCAGAGAGTCGGTGGATTCTGCAGATTATGTTGAGATTATGTAGGTATTCTGTAAATATTCTATAGATACTTTGTAGATATTTCGTAGATGTTCCGTAGATATTCCGTAGGTACGTATTCCGTAGATATTCCGTACATTTCTTAGATATTCCGTAGATTTTCCGTAGAAATTCCTTAGTAATTCCGTAGATATTCCGTAGATATTCCGTAGATATTCCGTAGATATTCCACAGATATTCCGTAGATATTCCGTAGATATTCCGTAGATATTCCGTAGATATTCCGTAGAAATTCCGTAGATATTCCGTATATATTCCGTAGATATTCCGTAGATATTCCGTAAATATTCCGTAGATATTCCGTAGATATGTGGATATTCTTTAGGTATTCTGTAGATATGTTGTGGAAACTCTGCATCGGTTCTCTCCAGATTCCGTATGGATTCCATAAAGATTTTGTAGAAATTTTGTAGAATATGTTGAGATCCTAGATACCTTTGCAGCACTTGACAATGCTGCTTCTAGTAAATTTTGGAGATATAGGTACTGTGGAAACACCTTGGAAGGGTCTTGCTAGTTCTGATGACAGAGACTGCGTAGTGCTTCTTCACAAACTCTTTTTCTATCAGAGCCGTTAACCAAGAATGGTGAACACTAATTAAGTACACGAATGCTAACGTGTAAAAATTGAAAACGCATCGCGTTGTAATAATAATTGCACGTTACGCCCTAGTTATAATGTAAACTAATTTTAATATTTATGACTCTTATATATTTCCAATTTCTACACAGAACCAGTGAAAGCACGCGCCGCTTACTCAAGAATGCATTAGATTTCACAAAAAGCAATTCAGTTTCGGTTAATAATTATTTACTAATCAAAGATTCAAACGATAATTTTCATTTCAGGCAGTAGACGATGGTGATGGTTCGGTCGATGTGCTGAGTGTGTCGGGGTGCGGATGATGAAGCTCGAAGATGTGGTCCTCGGATGAAGACAGTCAGCTGCGCCAGCAGCAGCAGCAAACCCGTCGGGCCGGAAGGACCTTCGAGGCGGAACTGCAACTGAGGTACCTATCGCCGGGTGCATTTACGATATTGCCACCCGATGTGCAGGGTGCGCCGCCGGATTCTCCTCCGGCAATCAATAATTATAGGTAAGTGAGGGCGAATCTTTGCTTTTGTGACCAACATCCTTAAATTCCTTTGTCAGTTGGGAAACTTCAGTTAGGGATACCTTTAAAACAAAGGAAAATGAAAGAGGAAGGGATTCGGTGAGCGATTAAAAAGATATTCAACAGATACTCTGTTTCTGATTCTTGAGAAATTGACAAGAGTCTCTAATGCATCTTTAGAACTTCATGGCGACTGTTGTAGAGGTTCTGTAGTGTTGCAAACTTGGCTTAGAGCTAACAATAAAGGGGATTTTTAGAGGGAACGCTTCAAGAGCTTGTAAGCAAACTTAAAAATATTTTCCAGGTTTTTCTCGTGGCCGTTTTAGTAATAATTTTTTTTACCGCAAGCCTCTACGATGGACAGGTTCCCAGATACAGTACCTCGCATTCTTATTTGGCTACCCTGTACACTGGGGGTATTCTATACCCCCCAGACCCCTCGGTAATACTTTCACCCCCAGAACGTTCAGCTTTAAAGCCTATTTTCAAAATTATGGTGTAAGTGCTAAGGGACAAACCATTTTTGGAAAGAGGGTCTGTGGGGTAAGTCCGCATGTTCCCACAACTGGCATAAAGACCTTCGAACACTGGGGGATATTCTATGCCCCCCAAACCCCCCGGTGATAATTTCACCCCCAGAACGTTCAGCCTCAAAGCCTACTTGCGGAGTACTAAATATTTTAGGGAAGAATGCAGAACCGTGGGCCTGGGGACAAATATGGTAAGTCTTCTTTTACCTACAACTGACATAAAGACCTTCGTAGGGGGGGGGGGGGGGGTTCTATACCCCCAGACCTAAAAGTGTTGGGTAAGAATGTAGAACCGGTGGGTCTGGTGGGTAGACATACCCCCCAGGCAGGAGAAATGGTTAGTCTTCATTTTCCTACAACTGACATGAAGACCTTCGTGCAGGGGGGGGGGTATTCCATGCCTTCTACATCCTCCGGTGATACTTTTCATCCCCAGAACTTTCAGCCTTAAAGCCTATTTTTAAAAAAATACGTGGTAAAGTACTAAAATTTTTAGGAAATAATGTAAAAAGGGGGGGGGGAGGGGGGCCTGGGGTTATGGAATCCCCCTGGTCAAAGAAATGATAAGCCTCCATTTTCCTACATCTTACATAAAAACCTTCGTGCACTGGGGATATTGAGACTTTCACACCCAGAACGTTCTGCCTTACACCCTCTTTTGGAAAAGTATTGTGTAAGTGCTAAGGACATTAACATTTTGGGGAAGAATGTAGTACCGGTTTAGGGGGGGGGGGGGGGCAAGAGAATTGGAAAACCTCCATTTTCCTACAACTGACCTAAAGACCTTCGTACATTGACGAATACTTCATACCCCCCGCACCCCCAGGTGATACTTCTTTCACTCACTCTGTAGAAATCTGTAGATATGCTGTAGAGATTCTGTAGATATTCTGTAGGGATTCTGTAGAGATTCTGCAGGGTTTCAGTAGGAACTCTGTAGAACTTTATATATAGATTGTCTAGAAATTGTGTAGAGATCCTGTAGAGACTGTAGGGATTCTGTACAATTTTTTTTGGAGATTATGAGATTGTTGGGACTGTATAGAAATTCTGCGAATTTTGTAAAAATTCTGTAGAGATTCTGTAGACATTTTGTAGTGATTCTGTAGAGATTCTGTAGATATTCTATAGAGAAACTGTAGAGGTACTGTAGATATTTTATTATATTATTAGAGACTGTATAAAGACATTCTGTAGAAATTCTTTAGATATTCTGTAGAGGTTCTGTAGAAATTCTGTAAAGATTCCGTAGAGACTGTAGACATTTCTAGAGATACTGTAAGGATTCTGTAGAGATTATGCAGGGTTTCAGTAGGAACTATGTAGAACTCCTATATAAATTGTCTAGAAATTGTGTAGAGATCCTGTAGAGACTGTAGGGATTCTGTACAAATTTTGTGGAGATTATGAGATTGTTGAGACTAGAAATTCTGTGAATTCTGTAAAAATTCGGTAGAGAATCTATAGAGATTCTGTATAGATTCTGTAGAGATTTTGTAGAGATTCTGTAGAGATGCTGTAGAGATTCTGTAAAGATTCTGTAGAGATTGTTGAGACTAGAAATTCTGTGAATTCTGTAAAAATTCGGTAGAGAATCTATAGAGATTCTGTATAGATTCTGTAGAGATTTTGTAGAGATTCTGTAGAGATGCTGTAGAGATTCTGTAAAGATTCTGTAGAGATTCTGCAGGGTTTCAGTAGGAACTCTGTAGAACTTTATATATAGATTGTCTAAAAATTGTGTAGAGATCCTGTAGAGACTGTAGGGATTCTGTACAATTTTTTTGGAGAATATGAGATTGTTGAGACTGTATAGAAATTCTGCGAATTTTGTAAAAATTCTGTAGAGATTCTGTAGACATTTTGTAGTGATTCTGTAGAGATTCTGTAGAAATTCTGTAAAGATTTGTAGAGATTTTGTAGGGGTTCTGTAGAGATTCTGTAGATATTCTATAGAGAAACTGTAGAGGTACTGTAGATATTTTATGTATATTATTAGAGACTGTATAAAGACATTCTGTAGAAGTTCTGTACAGATTCTTTAGATATTCTGTAGAGGTTCTGTAGAGGTTCTGTAGAAATTCTGTAGAGATTCCGTAGAGACTGTAGACATTTCTAGAGATACTGTAAGGATTCTGTAGAGAATTATGCAGGGTTTCAGTAGGAACTATGTAGAACTCCTATATAAATTGTCTAGAAATTGTGTAGAGATCCTGTAGAGACTGTAGGGATTCTGTACAAATTTTGTGGAGATTATGAGATTGTTGAGACTAGAAATTCTGTGAAATCTATAAAAATTCGATAGAGAATCTATAGAGATTCTGTATAGATTCTGTAGAGATTTTGTAGAGATTCTGTAGAGATTCTGTAGAGATGCTGTAGAGATTCTGTAAAGATTCTGTAGAGATTCCGTATACTGTGTAGAAATCTGTAGAAATGCTGTAGAGATTCTGTAGATATTCTGTAGGGATTCTGTAGAGATTCTGCAGGGTTTCTGTAGGAACTCTGTAGAACTTTATATATAGATTGTCTAGAAATTGTGTAGAGATCCTGTAGCGACTGTAGGGATTCTGTACAATTTTTTTGGAGATTATGAGATTGTTGAGACTGTATAGAAATTCTGCGAATTTTGTAAAAATTCGGTAGAGATTCTGTAGAGATTTTGTAGTGATTCTGTAGAGATTCTGTAGAAATTGTGTAAAGATTTGCAGAGATTCTGTAGGGATTCTGTAGATATTCTATAGAGATTCTGTGGAGATTCTGTAGAGTAGAGATTCCGTATTAACTCTGTAGAAATTCGTAGATATGCTGTAGAGATTCGGTAGATATTCTTGTAGGCGATTCTGTAGGATTCTGCAGGGTTTCAGTAAACTCTGTAGAACTTTATTATATAGATTGTTCTAGAACTGGTGTAGAGATCCTGTAGAGACTGTAGGATTTCTTGTACCAAACTTTGTGGAGGATATGAGATTGTTGCAAGACTAGCAAATTCTGTGGATTCTGTAAAAATCTCGGTAGAGGAATCTATAGAGATTCTTGAATAGATTCTCTAGAGATTGTACAGATTCTTTAGATATTCTGTAGAGGTTCTGTAGAGGTTCTGTAGAAATTCTGTAGAGATTCCGTAGAGACTGTAGACATTTCTAGAGATACTGTAAGGATTCTGTAGAGAATTATGCAGGGTTTCAGTAGGAACTATGTAGAACTCCTATATAAATTGTCTAGAAATTGTGTAGAGATCCTGTAGAGACTGTAGGGATTCTGTACAAATTTTGTGGAGATTATGAGATTGTTGAGACTAGAAATTCTGTGAAATCTATAAAAATTCGATAGAGAATCTATAGAGATTCTGTATAGATTCTGTAGAGATTTTGTAGAGATTCTGTAGAGATTCTGTAGAGATGCTGTAGAGATTCTGTAAAGATTCTGTAGAGATTCCGTATACTGTGTAGAAATCTGTAGAAATGCTGTAGAGATTCTGTAGATATTCTGTAGGGATTCTGTAGAGATTCTGCAGGGTTTCTGTAGGAACTCTGTAGAACTTTATATATAGATTGTCTAGAAATTGTGTAGAGATCCTGTAGCGACTGTAGGGATTCTGTACAATTTTTTTGGAGATTATGAGATTGTTGAGACTGTATAGAAATTCTGCGAATTTTGTAAAAATTCGGTAGAGATTCTGTAGAGATTTTGTAGTGATTCTGTAGAGATTCTGTAGAAATTGTGTAAAGATTTGCAGAGATTCTGTAGGGATTCTGTAGATATTCTATAGAGATTCTGTGGAGATTCTGTAGAGATTCTTTCAAGACTCTGTAGAGATTCTGCAGGGTATCAGTAGGAACTCTGTAGAACTATATATATAAATTGTCTAGAAATTGTGTAGAGATCCTGTAGAGACTGTAGGGATTCTGAACAAATTTTGTGGAGGTTATGAGATTCTTTTGTTTTTATACAAATCCTAAGGATTATTGAAAGATCCTTTTATACAGTGTCATATAGTTGGAATCCGTAGTCTGATTTACAATAAATAATAGCGATATTCCTCCCACTTGACCAGCCTGTAACGCAACGGCATCGCCCTATAAGACTTTGGAAAAATAATTTATCCTGAGCACTAAGAAGTGGAACACGTGTACGTTAATTATTTTTTCTTTACACAAGACGTGACCGAACAAAAAATTAATAATCGCATGCGTGTTGTAAAACACTTCAAATGGGATCGATTTGTTTAGCGGCCTATTTCCACGTGCATACATTTTCCCGCTTTTTATATTCTTCGTGCTAAAGAATTCCTGACTACAATTTCCAACTTTTCTTTCAGGCTAACGCCCACAGCACGTCGCCATCGAAATGCGGCATTTTCCATCATAGCCGAATCGTGTAGCAATCCAGGATCGCGCAGCCCCTCTCCAACGGGAAGAGTCAGTCCTTTCCGTGGTCGCGGTTTTAATCCAATAGGTTCACGACATGCGTCGCCAGCACCATCTCCTCGGCACGATGACAGCAGAGGGCCTTCCTTTCACCACCAGCAAAGGGAGGAGACGTCGTGCGGCAAACAACGGTCGAAAATACCAACGCTGTCGCGCCGTGGAAGCAACGCGGACCTTTATCTGGAGAAGCCGGTTGCTGGACTGCCGCCGAGAGCTCTCAGATCTAGAACGAATCTCACGCGAGAGTACAGCAAGAGCATGACGAACGTCTCGCCGAAGCAGCTAAGCCAGAAGACCCTGCACGCTCCGAATAAACACGCGAAACCCCCGGCCTTTCAGAAGTTGTCACCGATCGTCGGCAGCTCGCCGGAGCGAACCCCAGAATCCGGAAGGTTGAGACCTTCTCCGTCGAAGATACCCCGAAGCAGAAGCCAGCCTCCCGCTTCTCGCGCCTCGGGAACGACCAGCGAAACCGGTTCCAAATCCAGTTCGAGAAACGCGAGTAGAGACCAAAGTCCGCTCAAAATTCCTAACAAGAACAATTACAAAAATGTCAAAGCGAAAGTGAATAGTTTTAATTCGATTAAACCGAAAGTGCCTATCAAACCACAAGTGCCTATGCCAAAACTAGAACGAAAAAACAGCAAAGTTAGTGTTACGCAATCGAGTAGTGCCTCAAACAGTCCCGCAAAGGGCCGGACGAAAGTTAGTGCAAAAAGTGAGCCCTCCCGAATTGAGCTGGACGATATTGAAAACGACGCCGTATCGTCCAAAGCGTCCAGCCCCCAGAAGGCGGCGGATACGTTTACAGCATCCTCGACCGTCGTGTCCAGCACGACCACAACTGCGACGAAACCTCTCAAAATCGACCTGGGCGACAACGACAAGGACTATCTTCCCGACGTGCGAGCCTTGAGCGCGACGAGCGTTTCGACCGCCCTCAATCGCATGAACGACACCGTCTTGGACACAAGGACCCTGATGAAGGACACGAACATGTCATCCCGAATTCCGCCGACCGTCGTGTCGGCCGAAAATTCGCCGGCCACCGAGGCGACCCCCGCGTTGGGGATGAACAACAACGTCGAGGAGGTGAACGCGAAGAGCGGCACGAACGGAAGAACGCACTCGCCGCGGCACAGCGTCGTGGGGCTAGACGTGCTGCCGAAAAGCGCGAACGAAAGGATTCGGGAGGCGAGGACCGTCGTCGCAACCGACGTGCAACCCATACGGATTATGGTCAAGGAGAAGCCCTCGAATCCGGAGGTGCAGAGCGGAAACGTGAGGCTCGCTGTTAGCGCTACGAACGGGATCAGCGAGCGGCCAGGGTAAGTTTCCTTATTTATTAAACTAAACTTGTCCGTTCAGGCGGATTTATCGACCTTTTCCATTTCGTTCCGTGGTCGAATCGATTCTATAGCATTTTGAAACGAACTTCCACAGGAAATCTGTCGAATTTAATCGATTGATTTATTCAGAAACACCTGAAACAATTAAAACAAAATCCCTGAGAGAAAAGCTTGTTTGGAGATAATACCCCGCACACATGCGGTCGATAATTAAAAATTGAGAAACCGCACTCGCTGACAGCTTCAGGAAGCTTCACTTTTGATTTATGAAACTATATGGATCAATGAATTGAACTGCAACCCTCTTTTTTTACGTTGATTCCAGTATTTAAGGTAACACCACTTCCACCATAAAATTAAAAAAAGTGTGTTGAGTGCTGAGACCTTTCAGTATTTTTTAATGTTTTTTTTTGGGTCATATGGATTTCTTACATATCCCTTACAGATATGTTGAGATTCTGTTGAAATTGTGTTGCTGATCTTTCGAATCTGTTGAGGCTATGCGGATACTGTTGATATTGTGTTGATCAAGACTGTTGAGAATACGTTCAGATTCTGTTAAGATTGTGTTGAGGTTTTGCTCAAACCGTTGTGAAATCGGATTCTATTGATGCTGTAACGAGCGTAGGTTGAAATTCTGTTGAGTTTGCAGATTCTGCAGAATATATATATATATATATATATATATATATATATATATATTATATATATAAAGCTGTAATACATTTTTGCTCTTAAAATAATTGGGGAGCCAATAATCGCATGTTATGAATTTTACATTGAAATCCCTATGATGCGTTACGCAAGTCACCACCCTGTATATATATATTGTCGAGATTTGTATTTAGTCCATAACTTTTGATTGAGAGGTCTGATCGAAAAAGTACGAATCGTTTTGGATTCTACGCACCAAAATTAGTGAGAAAAAGTATTTTCCCGAGAAATTTTGGTGCAGCCGATTTTGGTAAAAAAGGAAGGTAATACACTGCCTTTTTTTGAGGCCGGAAAAAAAAATTGTCTGAGATCGACCGGGAAAAAAACATTTTCTTATAGAATGTGGCCTCTAGAATCCATAATTTCAAACAGTTCCAAGATTAGGCTACTAGTTTAAAAGTTACAGCCCTTTGAATTTTTTTTCGAAATTGGTTTCTAGTTTATAACTTTTGATTGAGGAGTCTAATCGAAAAAGTAAGAATTGTTTTGGATTCTACGCACCAAAATTAATAAGAAAAAGTGTTTTCCCGAGAAATTTTAGTGCAGTCGATTTTTGGTAAAAAAAGGAAGGTTCACTGCCTTTTTTTGAGGCCGGAAAAAAAAATTGTCTGAGATCGACCGGGAAAAAACATATAGAGTTTGGCCCGTAGAATCCATAATTTCATACAGTTCCTAGATTGGACTACTAGATCAAAAGTTACAGCCCTTTAAACTTTATATATATATATATATATATATTCTGCCCGAATTGTGACTTGATTCTTCAGATATTCTACACGTTCAGGGTAATTATTAATTAACTGTTTTCCTGAGACGCAATTTTAAATTTTCCGTCGTGCGAAATTGTCCCCATTTTATTAATTACCCCCTAAAATTAGGTTATCTGCACCATACGTTTTGTTTTTGGGGCACTTAATTACGAATAGGCGTTGAGTAAGGTTTATTTTTAAACGAGCTCGGATGATTTAAGGGATTAGCGCCTAATTAAATAAATTAAAACGGAGGTTGAACAACTCGGCTCTGGCAATTAAGATTTTATTTTCGCCATAAAAAGGGTTGGTAACGCACCCCAAACCTGCGGATCAAGTGGTATTGAACTTTTCGCGAAAAAATGGGAAGAAAGACAAAAGCCGAATTCACAAAGGGGTTTTCGTTTTAAAGGGGACTAGGTCACATGACCACCGGTCAGCGATTGTTTGAATATTACGGCTAGTCACGCGATTAGGCCGGTATATCGGGGCTGTACAAATTCAATATTGCCGATGGTCAGTCTAAGTCATAGACGCGGAATCTAAAAATTGCAAGCCTAACGTAATTATCGTGTTGCTCACTTGAACTCGACAAAGTTCCACAAGTGATGCACGCACGCCCTTAAATATTTAAAATCGACTTTAAACCTTCTCGTGAAAAACACAACGTTTTTGACGTAATAATCGGAAATGTCTAGGAAACGGTCGTGAATAAGCACTTCGGTAAACTTTCGAGAGATCAGATAAGCACCACGTTTGGGGCCACGCCACCACACTGCCTGCATATGATGTATGGCCAATAATTTTTTTTTAAAGATAATTCGTTGCCAATTCTAAATATGTACCTTTTCTTTCTCGTTTCCACTTCCTATCTCTCTCTCTTTTTAAATTTTTAAAAAACAATATTGCGAGTGATCGCAGAAAATCCAACGCGGAATCTCTACAGTAAAAAATGACTTGTTCAAAATTAACTCGGTCACTTGGATTGCTCAACATCGAACAGTCCCTTTGCAAATAGTAAAGCCTCCCCGCTACGAGACAGGAGTTAACGCCAGCAATTTTCCTGAATGCTAAATGGAGGTTGATCCAATTTTCCAAAGTTGGACGACTCAGGGGGTAGTTTAAGACACCGTATAAATAAGGTAAAGCGTAAATTTTGTATTTGCCACTGGAATTTTTAGTTTAAATAATCAATATTCGTGTATGAACGGACGGTTTTGCGCAATTTTTGTTTAATTTTACTTAAATGTTTAATAAACTTTTTCATTAAATCGTATATTTATTGCAATCACACTACAGAGATCAAAACAAACATTTTTAAAGAGGAAATTGTTCTTCTGGTCCGTTTATAGAGGTTGATGGTTACAGTTATTCGTCTGACATTTGAAGCAGTTGCATCTTTCACTAGTGCAAGGATCGCTCCCACTCCGCACAAAATCACACTTTCTTACTTGACTTCCCACACCTATAGAAAACAGTGGGCATTTACAACATTATGAAATCATTAAATCATACATCTGTTCGTTCGATAAGCAACACAGTATGCTACCAGATCAGAAGAAATGGCCCTTTTTTTCAAAACACTCAAACTGATATAATATTTAGATAATATTTGATTGAAACTTCCAGTAAACAGATCTGGGGATATATTGTATCCATAAAGAACAATGTCGAATTATCGTTGACAATTAATTTGTGACTTTTCAGTATAATCTTCGTCTATTTCCAAAATGTTGGTTCACCTTCATGTAAAAAACGACAACAAGTTTTTCATTTTCGTAACCACAATATCTAGTACTTGTAAAAATTTCGAGAGATAATAAGTTATCAAAGATTAAGCTGCGCCTTAACTTCAGACTGTTGTGAAATAAGATATTTTTGTAAATTCGATATCAAATACTTAATTTTAGATGGCGTTTTCGGTTTTACAATTTGCGAATGTTCGTATTTTCGCCATATCTCTGCTTAGAAAACAAATATCAAATTTTCACTGATATTCTCCCTTTTTCATCTTATTTGATAATATCATATAATAATTATATCGTTACATTTGAAATTTTCAAAAAAACCTGCAAAGTTTATGTTAATGTCCCATCGCGCCCTCTACCACACGCTCTTTCCAACAAGATCTATTATGTGAAAATCTGTTAACCTAATCCGAAGTTACATTCAATTCCTTAAATTTCCCCTTCCCCTACCCCTAATATTTTATGAGCTAGAGCATCAAAATGATGCAAAATTGATACAAGATTGCTATGCATGTATTTTGTATGCATGTTTGATGGGTATATTTTAGGAAAAAAGTCATTTTTCTACTTAACCATGAATCGTACGCCCTCTAGCGACGAAATTGGAAACTTGAAAATAATCTCCAGCGATTTCTATTGGCCCCTTTTGTTAACAAAATTGTTTCCCGAAGCTGTGCAATTAACAGTTCCATAGATATTGCCTGTGACCATTATTAATGGGACACCCTGTACATATATTTTATTCATTTACAAAAATGGATGACATTTTTATTTGACTTTAAAATTCGGAACGCTGTAAATTGGTAACTGCATTGAAATGTGTTTTCCATCGAGAACTCCGAAATTGGTGAACTTTAGATTTTACAAGAAGCCATTTAATGGACGGAGTATTATCTTTTTCGACCGAATTGACAAAAATCATTATGATTTCAATGTATTTCCCTTATTTTTAAAGTAAATTGCAGGTATAATAAACAAGTATAAATTGTGCACAACTTTTGTGCAGATAAAGCGCATTTTTTTAACCGAAATAGCTTTTGTTTTGACATCACCAATGGATATATTTCTTGCAGACGTCTCAATCGCCCTTTGTGAGTACCCTCTTCCGACAATCATTCTTGAGGTATAAAGGAATATACCCGATCACGATGAAAAGTCGAGGACGAGGGCTACGGTTGGTAGAAATTAATTCCTTTCGTTGAGACCTTTCATTAGAGTACCATGAAGGATAAAACTAGTTCCACTCCCCCCCTGCCCCTCCGCCCGTACTTTGATAAAAGGTCAGAAAGAAGGGCAGTAGTTCGTAGAAAACGGTTCCTTTAGTTGAGACCTATAATTAGAATACAATGAGAGATAAAATTAATGTTTCACCTCCCCCCCCTCAGGTCCCATCGCTCACTGATCTCCCCCCCCCCCCCATTTTCTAAAGTTTAACTTGGGACCGCTAAAGGCATGCGCGTATGCAAAATCTGAGACCAATTGGTCGTATGTAAAAGTTATGGACGTTTTACTTTCAAAAACAGCATTTCAGGAAATAATTCGTGGGGGTGGCCCCCTTTTATACAGCGAAATTTGATGACCGTCTGGCACACCTTCAAGGTATAGGCTACCTACTGCAAAAAATTCCAGTAGGACCTAGAAGTAGTTCGAAACGGCAGAAGTGGGTCCGGACGGACGGACGGACGGACAAAATGCAAACAATAGCACTTTTTTTTAATTCTTAAAAAATGCGACGGGATACCCTGTATTTGAGAAATCTAGTAAAGTA